ATATATATATATATATATATATACGCATAATACTTAAGACAATAAGAAATGATTAACAATTTGCCCGCAATTCGCGACCGTATACGAGACCTACTCCGGTAGAAACCAAGGCACGTAACATCCGGGTAAAAGCCAAGGGGGACAGGCACTCTCAGGACCATTTGGTAAATTTTAAGGAACGGGATAAAGGGAATTGAATTATGAATAATGGATAATGGATAGTAATTGGGAATTCACGATAATCTTGTACTGCGATTGGCGATGAACGTAGAGTAATTCTTTATCGTATTACCCGCCCCCCCCCTCCACTCATTTCTATATAAATTAATAATTTTTAATAAAAATATATAATTATCTCTGAACAACGCATCGAAATTCGAAATTCGTCACGTGACGAAGATAACGCTACATAGCTGCCTGTTTAGGGCTGGACGGATGTGATTTTCACAGTATTATAAGTAAATTCTTCTCTTATATCACACACACGCACTCTCTCTCGCTCTTTTCTTCTTTATCTGTAATTTTTCTCCTGGACTGGCCACCATCTTTTTATCCTTCCCACGTCATTCCTTAGACCTCCGTCGAATGGGTCTGAATCCGCACCTTCTTCTGAGATCCGTTCCTCGACAAGGTCGGACTGTGAGCGGAAAATCCAGGATTATGAATCCCAAGAGGCTTCGGTTTCTTCAGAGAACTTCTCAATGGAGATGCTGTACTGGCAGCGCTGCTCACTGATGCCATGGACCCATTTCCGGCACCACCTGCGTAAGGCTTTCCGCTGGCGTCTGTCATCGAGATACCACCACCTAGAAATCACATAGTAAACAACACCTTCAACGTGACATTTACAACGAGATTGAGGACGTATCTTATCTATGCATCCCCCATTTCATCTGATTCCGATGGTACGAATCCCTGAGATTTCCATCAGGATTACCCAGCATCCCGGCTTTATTCACAACGAGCGACCATACTCTCGATTTATTCAAGAAACGTATACGAGCACGACCACCCTATGTCCACGGTGTTTTATAGCCTTCAGTTCTGACACCATCAGGGTACCTATGGGTACGCACGTTGTATTTTATGGATTGACGGAAGTGTCGATAAAGCATATCGGTGACTATGCTCGGTCGTAGGACAGAACTTCGGAAGCTCGTTCAGAAATAATAGAATCATAGAAACGCGTCATTATTACCGCTGTGGAAACAGAACATTCCGACAGGAGACGAATGAACCATTTTTCTCGAGCACTTAGCCAACACGTACCTCCCCTATAGATATATATACATTCCCGAGAACAGGCATAACACCATATACCAGCCAGAAAACACATAACAGTTCAGATACAATATTTATATGCAAACCGTATAACACAAAACAGTAATGCAATCGTTATGTCTCGAATATTATTATAATTATTAAATTACAGTTACAAAGCACTTGGTAAGTAATTCCCGGTATACCAACTCTTCCCATATGTATATCCTATTATACATTAGTTTGTTTAAGTTACAAACTGATGTAGGTCTATACTACAAGGTCGTATAGACCTGAAGCGTCGCTCGACGTTCTCCTTAAGTGCATCGTGTACAGCGGTCCGTCTACTCGACTACTGCCAATATTCGCGTGCGTTTCAGCTTCATTAGTAAATATACCAAGACGATGTAATTTACGAAACGGCAACGTCCGACCTGGCATCTCCAGAAGCTCGTGTCAGACTAAGGGTGAACGTGAAAAGCTCTAAGGGGCAAAGCGCAACCTTATATCCCGTGCGAGAGTCTCGTCGAACGGTGTAATCAATTGGTTGACAGTTTTACTCCGTTTCGTGTTCCACTTGCGTTACTCACCGTTCGTAGGATGATGATGCTCCCGGTATCCAGGATTGTTAATGGTGGTCGCATGGGAATTCGTCACGTTCCTAAGTTTCGTTGGATCGCCCCCGCGACGCGCATATATACCCTCGTAGACCGATGATATGAGGACGCCGAAATTCAGGACAATGGCTGCCAGCTGCAACGATAACAAAGCAACGGAATTACTACTAGGAACGTATAAGCACGAGTTTCTGTAGGGACTGTACCCTTTTACGGTAAGGTCTACTTTTGTTGTCTCTCTATTTCATATATCTATGTAACTATACTGAATCCTCTCGACATCCCCCCCCCCTGTGAAAATTGTTCAACGTAACTCGAAGCTTTCGGCTGTTCTCCTCGTCCATCGTCACCACCATCTTCTAACCAACTATATCTCTTCTTTCTTCTGCGAATGACAACCGAGAGGTTGGCTTGGATTTCAGCGTGGAATTCAATTAGGATGAACAAAGAACGCGCTTGGCATCGCTAGCTTGGTTATAATTAATCCTACGGCACCATGTTTTTCCGTCTAAATGACGAGCCGCGACATACGTATAGAAACCTATACAGTTAGATAGAAAGAGAGAGAGGGGGGGGGAGAGAGAAGACAGATAATCGTAGGGTGAATTCAGAAACCAAAATCTCTCGATCTGTACCCCATCAGAGAAATTGTAATTGTAATCAGAGAATTGTATGAACTATCAACCCTCTGGAACACGGGAAGAATATAAGGGGGAGTGGAGGGGGGGTTTGAACATTTCACCAGGGGTTATACTAATTTAGGAAAACAGCCCCAAACACCACCCTTCGGTCAGCACTAATTAAAATTTTTAACGAGACGGCCGTGTGGCGTATAAAAATACAGAAAATATTTTCGTAAGGTAATAAGTTGGTTATTATTAAAAAAAAAAAAGAAAAATTATAATAAAGAGACGAAAAGAACAGGGTACTGTAATAAGGGTGTGTTCGAACCAATCTCCCTTTTGTTACCTTTTCTGATTTTTGTCTCTTTTCACGTCCCAACCTGACCTCATCCTTCGCTTCCTTCAATAGATTACGTCGTTTTCCATTGATCTCCAAACCATTCTCGACTCGCGCACGTTGATGCATACTCGATGCAATCGATCGATCGAGTATCGGTGATAACCGATATTTCACTGGTCAAGTAAAAGGCGGCGTACAACTGGCGTAATAATGCCGCGGGTAAGATCGAAGTGCGAACTGAGGGATCGGCAGTGTCATCAGATTGTTTTTAATGTGCGACAAACGACACTAAGGACTCTTGCGCGTACTAAGTAGTCGAGGCTTAATGAGACACCTGCAAAGAGAATCGCGCACCTGCAAGAATAAGCCACAGCTTTTCTCGCTCTTGCTCGTTCAATGATCATTGGGCTCATTCGTGCGCTCACGTACTGCCGCGTACTCGTTCTGTCATCCGAATTGTCGAGGCCGCGACGCTACGAATCGGGTTTAAATCCTGAGCACGAGGCCGACTCTCTTTCTATTCTCACCTGCATGTAAAAGGCCTCGCCTCTGGTGATTATGAAGCTGTTGGCACGATCGTCCGTCTGTAGGGCGAAGAGACTGGCTGCCACGATGGCCAACGAAGCTGAAATACAAAGGAATATGATTAGAGCCTCAAACGGAGAGTGTCAGACATCGAAAGGGAAGCCAACGATCCGTGACAGTGCCTTTTCTTACTTCGAGAACACCCACCGTGGGTAGAATGAATTTTATTTAATCCAACTTTGTGAGGACAAGACGTCGGCTTACCGCTCGAGAGACTTTTCTACCCTAAGGACTCATTGGAGCTAATGACTTATCGGAAGACGTGCCTTGTTAGAACTTTCAGGTCCAAGAGCGATGAAATTAGCTAACTCTCGATAATGAAACAGAGTACTAAGTTATTATATAAATGTAGTATGTATATATATATATATATATATATGTATAATTGAAGTTTTTTTTTTCATATACCGAATAGCACAGATACGCATGATCAATCAGGCCTCATAGACTTTAAAAATTGTTTAGTTCGCTGTACCTGCTGTGAGTGCGAGAGAGACGGAGTTATGGGCGTTCACGTGAATAAGAGTGAGACGGGGATAGTCGTGAGATGAAACAAGGCGGGTTGTACCCTCGACCGAATTTATATTCCATGAATGTGCTAGAAGTTTTGATAGTTTCTAATCAAGCTAAAACCACTGTTGCTTTTAATACTTAGGACGTTGACTTTCGATTTATGATTTTCTCATGAATATGTATATTTGACGAGTTCTCAATGAAGGACCAAATGATACAGGCTGCTTGGCCATATGAAAAAGGATCGTTTTACCGTAACGCGATCTGGCGCTGATATTTGATTCCCTACAGCTTTACCCTAAGCCAAGTAGGCCAGTTACTAGGAGTGCAACTAGTAATCCTAGTGCACGCAAGTAGTATCCGGTCCTGCGATTACCACCCTTCGTGCCTTTCTTTTAAGAATGCTGAAGATCGTAAAGCGTTGGGTGTAGAACGCGGAGGTAGCCAATTGGTCGAGCCTGGTGGGAAGAGGAATGCGAGAAGAAAGCTCGGTGGATCCTAAGGTAAGGGTAGACCCGTGAGTCCGATGAGAAACGCGCGTAGACGTTCACGCATGCATGTCCATATGTGCAGAGTTGCGTGGCGGCAGTTTTTCCAGCGTGAGAGAGCAGACCGTAGCTAAACGTAAGACCTAAGAAAAGTTTAGTTTTACTGAGAAATACTCACTTGCCAGAGTCGCAAGGGCTACCTTGCTGATCAAAGCTGTACTGTACGACATGATTAATCGGGTCGCTGACGATGCCATTGCCAATTGAAGTACAGCCAGTCCTACGATAATAGCCAGCAGAGCCGAAGCTCCTGCAGCGGCTAATCCAGCCACCCAAACTGCCACTGGAACAAGGTTGGACAACTTGATAATTTGATTTTCTTGTCCCTCCTGGGCACTGGGACTGGGTGGTTAAGTTGAATGGGACTAACGGGCGGTCTAAGGGTAGTCGCTTTAATTAGCTACGGGAGTTTTTTCTACAACTTACAAACTGGCTGAAACCTGGATACGTTGTGGCCGCATCTCTCACGACTGTACTCTAGGAACTTGCATTGACGCCACGGTCCGAAGTAGCCTTTCTCAAAGACCGATCCGGCTGTAACATAGAAACAAGTAGAAAGAGGAAGCAAAGAAGGAGCAAAAATTATTGGCACGTCAATTCCCATTTCCTAGTAATACGTAGGGCCTTCACGCATCGTCGGCTCGACGCGATACGCAACCCAGGAAAAGCCGGCTTAATTACTTTTCGGGAAATTAGCTGAACCCTTTCTGCGAGGTTTCGCTAATGTTAGACGAAGGTTCAGACACCCGTTCACTCTATCGCTTATTCTCCCGGAAGAACGTTAATGGGAGGTCGCACGACGGACAGCGTCGGAACGCTGGTAATACGTACCTATTTGATACGACACTACGTAGATACGGTGCTACAACCACAGTCCATCTTTTGTACCTTTAAACTCTAATCTAAATTACCTGTTTTCAAAGTATAGCACGTACGAAACGTATTAAACAAATAAATTAGTCACAGAATAAATAATGTAAATTTCCACTAAGCATCGCACCCATTGAATAACACGTACAACAAAATTAGGGAGGGTCCATCTACGTGTCTCTTTCTCGTTTCCGGTCAACTGTACTTCCCCTTTAATCTAGAATAATTCGAGCCACTTTGTAAAACAAATTAAAAAATGCGCAAAGTACCCCAAAAGTATGTGAGATAAAATAAAAAATTTCATTTCTTCGTCGTTTAATTTAAAAAACAAAACAAGAAAATATTCTAGGACAAAAAATCAAAGCAATGCACGCAGCCTGACAAAGTTGCTCGAATCACGTAGAGAACCTTTCACCGTAACCGGTCAATGAACTTTCCCTAAAGAACTACACGAGTTTCATTCAATCTGACCCACCGAGGAGTGTCGCTAACTTATTGATAGCGAACGAAACTTCATGCACGATCGAACATTCACGCAGAGCCTTGAAATTTGGTGTCAATGGCTCTGCTAGACGTTGGAAAAATTTGGAGGTAGAATCAATGCATTTTATGCAAAGCAATACGTGACTGTATTTCTACATACCATAAGCATAAGTGATAGCGCAGCTAATACAGAGAATTCACAATACTAATAATGCATGTACATAAAAGGTAACATTGCACAATCAGAAAGAAAGATGGCTACCGTGCGTGACCTAGATGCGCATACTATTTCCTATAGTGGTTACGATATTAAATTGTACATTGTGTTGGTCTTGTTTTGCGTATACTAAATGTACCTCTGGATAGTGAGAATATACTGTACGTGTACAGGTACACAATTACTGATTAGGAAACTCAACTGACCGTTGGCATATATTACGAACGTATACGCTGTGCACTTTTGAATGGCAGTTACGAATCACCGTAATAACTGTAAACTATCAAGCGGTGCTGCCACTCGATTCCTTCTACGTTAAAGTATAGAACTGCCGTATATCCCACTAACGAAAGGAAGCGCCCTGAGATAGTGGCGAAGCAGCGGCGAGCGTTGGTACCTGGAGAAAGTGAATTGGCCACGTAGTAAATGGAAGTAACCTAACCGCAAGGGGCTATGGAGCATTCGAAGATATTAGCTGAAACGTACTATACATGTAAATATGACTAGCGTTGTTGTTCCGCTCGTAATGAAAGTAGCATACGGCTAGTATGTTACGTGGTCGTATAGTAAAATGTGAGAAGGTAGTGGTAACCTTCCTGTTAATAAATACCCAACATCACATAACCTATAGTTCCACAGCGGCGATGCTGGTTGTATCCTGTAGCACTAGGATAGTATAGCACACTGTCTAGTACTATAGTTAGCAGCTAGGGGCTTGGTGGCCAACGTAGAAACGTTATTTATTCTCCGAAGGTTACAAAGCGACGTGTTTCGCTTCGACTTTTAGCGCGCTCGGTCGTCTCATTGCCGGCATTTTTTATCTTGTCTCCTGACAGGCTGTCCTTCGACTTTTAGTGCATAGACGAAGGAGACGGTGGGAGGACACTGGAATAAGCGTCAGGAGGAAAAAATTCTTGAAAAGAACTAAGTAGGTGTCTCTTGTAAATGCATCTAAAGGGATAACCTTAGTCCACTGTGGCATTTACGTGTTAGTTCATGTCGGTATATACCTACGTGGAGCGGATGGGTGAGTAGAAGTGAGACGAAAGGACTTCCGGTGGCCGCCACCCGGAACACGAAGTCGCTCGAGCGTATGTGATATCAGCGTAGTCGACGAATAGAGAACGCGCCGGAAAAACGTTTGTTCCGTTGCGATTCCGCTTCGGAGCTTCTCCCACGGAGAATTAGTGGACTGGGAGGTATGTATAGCGTCTTCTTCAGGAAGAATTACGTGAGTACTGGACGAATAGGTACTGCGCTGCGGAACGACCTGAAGAACCATTGAGGTTAAGTCAGTAAGCATTCGCAGAGCGCGACTGTCAAAGCCGGTCATAGTTCGAGGTTTTCTCACGAGATGGCCACAGCTCGTTGCACTGTTAAAGCGGTGGATTCTATAGCATCTGTCGGTCTCATGTAAACTGCCCAGGAGGAATGAGAACGATGCCTAGGTACGATTGCGATATAAGCGTACGAATTGGAAGGATGAAAAAAATAAAATGATGACTAGAGAACAGACGTTGCTTTGGCGATGAAGAAAGGCTTTTGGAGTAGTTCCAACACACGTGAGGGTACCGCCCAACTCTTGCACCGTATCTATTCTATTTTGGCGATGGCATATCCAGACACTCGTAGCATCGAAATTTTCAATTTATACCGTGACAGCTTCAATAACTTTCCATCTGCATTATCGAACGGTGACGTCACCCTTTTAATGAGCATTGTCATCGAGAGAGTACTGTACGTGTCTTGTATAAGAAATTCAAAGATGTTTTCAGACAAACAGAGAACGAGTACAGTAGCGAGGTATGTGGGGTTGCCATAACGAGATACAACATAAAATAATGTTCCCGGCGAGAGACAAGGACAGTGGACAAGTAGTCAGCTAAGGCTGACTCTCTGTTGGTTGAAGGTGAATTTCCAGATCCAGATTCAAGTGGGAATGTCTCGAGTCACAGGGAAGTGTCCGTTAATCGTGTCGCGAGACGTAGTAGTAGCTTGGTGAAAAGCTGTACGGGATTCACACTGTATAGTTGCTGGCGTTGAGAGCTAAGCCAGGTAAAGGCCGTTGCACTCGCGAACGCGAAGACTTCTGTCGTCGTTTCATAGCGGTACTTCACTGCTCGTATCTACTTACTCAAGTTACCCATACGCGTCCGTCTTGCCCATTGCGTATCGTGAGTTGCGTATTGCCTTTATATTAATTCAGACGATCCTAACCGAAATGGCTTACAGGGAGGAGGTGGAACGGTGAGATTTGGACCTAAAAAAAATGGTATCTCTATTCTTTTGTAGTCTATGTCTGGGACGGACAAGAGAAACCCAAGACGCCGAATATGTCGGGGCTGAAGACGCTGGTGGCATATGGCCTGGGAGAGTCAGCTGCGGGACTTAATTGATATGCGTGCCTCGCACGTTGTCGCACGCATGAGAAGCGCGAGTGAATTCATCCGTGAGTCCTAGTGGCTCCCACTGAGGTTGCAGGCTCTGAGTTACGACCACAGGGACATTTGTCTTTGAGTGAAAGAGAGAACCGATCGATACAATGGTAGGTCCAGGATAGGACGAACGAGGACAGGCAGGTAGCGGGAGAGTATGCGTTAAACGGTAGAATTAATTACCCCGGCAATAGGGGGAATCTTGTTGGGATAAATTAGGTCAAAAGTTAGAGGAAACGTTACGGGTCTTCTTCATACGCACGTAGACTGGTGTACAATGGAGGTAATGGCCGTTGTTATGAATGGTGTATTATATTGAACTTACCGTCAGGATTGGAAAAGTATCCCCACTGTGGGGTCGCCGTGGCCGCCGCCTGGAGGACCACAGCTAGGATCCCTAGCGCCAGTGCACCGGCTGCACCACGAGCAGCCAGCGCACGTTTCCGGCCAAGCTGTAAATCGGGCGTCGTCGTCGCGACGTCCCGAACACCTCGATGACCATTCGTATTGGCCATACCTCATACCGTTGAACACTTTGGATTTTCACTTGATTAACCAGACGAACAACGTCGGCGGTCTCGTCGCCTTAAGTCCCGTTTCCAAGAGGCGACCGGTGACGCTTCTAGAATACGTTGATCGCGATACCAACTGAGGACATCGGCGTTGAGTTACCGTTATCGGCGCAAGATGATTTTCTCGATTTAATCAAGTCTGTGCGATTCCATGCGAAACGGAATCGTGGACAGCGGACAATTTCAATTAGTAGGAGGAATGAGAATCGTACTTCTTCCACAGGAATAATCCAATGGCTGCTAATATTCTCGTCGTCTAAATCTTCTCTTGGTATTCCCCTAAATTTTATTCCCAAGGCACAAGGATACTCGTTTGCTTTTTATTTCTTTTAGTCCCTCCGCAAGATCACGAAGTTACCTTAATTTGATCCAGACAATTTATACCTATTAGCTGCTCCACTAAAAAGAATCAGCATCGTCCCTGCTGAGTTCTTACTCCTCGGTGACCTTCCTCGAGTTCGTTTCGTAACTTCCGAAGAATTGAAGGATCAAGGATGGGCAGTGTAAAAGCTCCTGCAAGTTATGTCCACGTGGGCGTGACTATACTTCTTTAGAGAACCAAGTATACACTATCGATCCGATAAGAACATCGTGTAACAGGATAACCAGAAACCCAACAACGTTGACAATAGAAATGGCAGTGAGGAATCAATATATTCCAGTGAAATTCTCGAGGAATCTTCCGACGGCGTTATGATGATAATTATCGACCGTTCATAAACACAGGAAAAGAACGCGAGGAAAAGTTTCCTTCTCGGTAAACTCTCATCTTCCTTTAACACGTACGTTTACGCTTACGTTACACGTTCCCTGGATTGGACTATAGGCCACGTATAGGAGACGAAACCGGTTTTTGCGATGCGATGGAGACGCGATGCGCGAAGCAACGGCTAAAAATAAGCTCTCTCCTTCGTTCCTCGTTCTGTACGAAGTTCCTTCCTTGCCGGTTTTACACCTGGACAGAGATGCACTCCCCTGTGCTCCTTCGCCAGTACCTTCAGTCCTGCAGAAACAAGGCTAATTCCGCATCTAACCTATACACAAGAATTCACAAGGCTCTTCTTCGAGTCTCCCGCAAGCATCCGGGGAGAAATAAAAAAAATGTCAAAGTTGTGGCCGATCAACGAATACTCTCGCGGTCTACTCGTTCGTCCATTTTTCTTTAGCGTGGCAAATAGCATCGGTACTACAGTAGAGGGGAGATCTTGCGCTTCTGCGCTTAACGATCTATCTGACTGCGATCGAGCTCCTTATGCTTCGGGGCGTTAAATGCGCCATTTATTCGACTCTGTTTGTTCTTCGACCCATCCTGAATTCCAGGCATAGTGGTAACAGACTATAAGCCGTTCCGTGGGTTCACCTTTATCCTTGGCTGTCGTGTCTTCCTTCCCGATTCTTGCATCGGCTAAAGAAGTCCAGCTGGAGTCGCGTTACGTGCGACAGGAGGACTACAGTCTAGAACCTACTGCGTGTGTTCCGTTATCGATCGCCAAGTAGTAATGCCGTTCCGACGTTTCACCTGTCATCTCGTTCACCGTGTTTAGCCTTCACGACGTTTCACCTTGCCCGTTACTCCTGGAGTAACGTACAGGCTCGTTCATTACACACGCTGCCAATTGCGATGGATCTAGTTGTATTTACCGTCCATTAGATTCGATTCGTATATGCACTTATACCTGATGAGGATGTCACTGTATATAATACGTGCATGTTCCGTCCTTTGCATCTTTCATCGCCATCACCTAACCTCCTAGCGAGCTCCCACGTCAAACTATACTAAAGCCTCCTAGGATGCCACGCTGGTATCCACGTCCGTTAATATTTAAAGGCACAAAGACGACACGCTAAACCGCTTCGAGGAAACTTTCGTTTCCGTTTGGACGTCCCGGCGCTCCCCGGCACTCCCGTACACACCTCCCGTCACGCCGTGTCTTTCGATTCCTCCGTCAACTCAAGCACCTCCAACACTGCGAGCATCACCAGATAACAATAGCACAGCAGTACATCAGAAACCACGAGCACCGCCTTCTCACTACCTTGGGCAATTCAAATGCACGGATATTAAATAAGTAACATTGTCCATTGGATAATCACTTAAAATCGCACTTTCTCGACTTTCATTCTACTTCGATCCTAGATCCAACAAGTCCTGTGACGTTATCAGATGGCCGCGCAATACTTTTTGGAGGGTTCTCAACTCGGCGTGAAAACTGTCGGCAGCGTGTTTGTACCTGCGTAGTGGAGAGAGAGTAACGTGTAGTCAGGCCTGCGCGTTAGGCAGCACTGAGAGCACCGTTGCAACCGGGTCGCAGTGAAGGCGCCCGCCGCTGCCGCCACCGTCGCCACCACCGCTACCAACGCCGTCGCTACAGCCGCGAGACACTCCCCAACGATATACTCGTATTCGAGTTGCTATCGCTTCTTCATACGACACTAAATATCGTTTCAACAACCACCAAGAATTTTCCAAATGTTCGTCAAGTGCTTGTTCACTTTTGAGACCTGGTACGCATTTCGTTATCGTATCAAACATTTTATTCTCTATTAACCTAACAATAAGTACATAACTGTACGTAAGCGCGTACCTATAGTCGCACTGTGTACAAAAGTCTATACGACTGGAATTGCTATGACGCAAGAAGCCTTTAACGTTTGCATACTTCAACCGTCAATGTTCCTCCAAGTTTAAAACTGCGTACACCATTTCACCACGTAACATTCCATAACCCGAAAGACTACAAAGACAGGATGCTTCGCGAAGCATTCGCGACGCCTGTCATTCCGTAATAATGCACAGGAACACTCTGGCTGGAATTCCTTACGGCAGCATGCACGATACTCCGTTACGCTAGGGCCAAGTATATATATACACATATACACAAAGGTATTTATCGAGGAGACCGTATAGGCAGAGCAAGCGAAGGTTAATTCAGTAGACGCACAGTTCCTTTCGCAATCGAAGTTCGTAGCGCATACGCGACTCGTGCGTAATATCTTAAGAGACCTAGTGCACCACACTGGCACTCACGAGTCGCTAGTTGTAAATGCGCACAGTCATAGTTCTGTGTCGAGGACGACGTTAAAGCAACAACTTAATGTAATCAGTAACAAATTTAATGGAAATTCATCAGGAGCAAAATTGTCTCCAATTACTTATCTAAATCCTTACGATATCCCATCTTTATCTTCTTGTTCCTCCTAGTTAAACCCTCTTCACAGTCAAGACGCTGGCGCAGTCTTGTTGAGGGTCAGGCAGGTCATAAGGTCATGGAATGGCAAACGGTTCCTTCGTTTAATCCATCCTGACGAGGAATCGTGACGCTGGGATCTTCATGGTTAGTCCCTCTTACCAAAGGTATGCATAGGTACCAACCCAACAGCCTGACAGTCTGGAGTCATCGAACCTTGAGGCCACGGCTCGTACTGTTTTTTATTCCTTCCTCCTCTCTCCGAATCCTCCTCATCCATCCTTTCTACGTTTTTCGCTGCTAGAACTGATTTCATCAGAGACGCCAGAGCTAATGCCTGCTAGAGATACTTGCGCAAGACCTTGCCCTTCCTTTTGAGCTATCCCTTTCGAATCCAAAGTAGCTAAGGTGGTACCGCTACATCAGTATCAACCTGGTCCCAGAGCCACACGAGTTCAGGGACCAAGGCTACGTCCACTCCTGGCACCCGGAAACGTAGTGGCTGGTTATCGCCTGTATTTCCCATAGATACGTACCCATGGGCGTCGCTACGTATAAACCATACATGTATAAAGTACTTAATAAACACTAAAAGGCGCCGTAAGAAGTTTCGTAATAGAGCAATGGCTCTATAGATTTTTCAGCTTAACCTTAAGTGATGACACCACTGTACAATGATAATTATAAGAGTAGGCGCGAGAACTGTGTTTGCAAGACTGCTTAGTATGTCACTTAGTATAAATATATGTACGTACAGTAACTCAAACTTGAATCGCAACATGGTAAAATCGATAATAAATTTCTTTCCAGCTAAGGAAATATTTCCTCAGAATTTACGACGTACCTAGTATGAGTGCAATTACTTTTTTCTCAAAGTCTACCTCCCTTCAATGTAATCTCTTCTACGTAAGAATACACGCGAGTCGCGAGACATGTTAATTCATAGTTACCGCGAGTTCTTTCTATAGTAAATTCAACGCATGACCTTGCGTCGCTACAACGACGCCTAGGATCAGCAATTGACCTACGTGTTATTCACCGGGACTAGTTCCTAATTGACGCTCCATGCCTTCGAGCGCCGTGCGCGCACCTTTGGCCAATGATATTTCTTCGAGTTCCAAATACATTAAAGAATTCTACTCCGATCCATGAATCGCTAACGATTTAGGGAATTTGCGAGAAAGGATCAATCGGCTCATACGCTAGGCGCGTGGGTGGCAGCGTGACACAATGTTATTTACTGGACGGAGTTGACTCGACGCACGATGTAGGTCGAGCCTACGGGGTTAACTCGGTTAACCTTCCTGAATCAAGTACAAGAAGGAGATCGAGATCGCGCGAATCTTAAGATGAAAGATGAAGGTGACAGTTGAATTTGAACTGTCACGATCTGGTACAACTATAGACAGCCCATCCTTTCTTCCATAGGCCAATTATACATACATATATTTTCATTGGTATTACATAGTTACGTGTGTAAGTACATCCATCGATTGGATATAATGTATAACATTTATAATATATTATGTAATTGTGTTATGTATGTTATTAATGTCTATAGGTACATGGTACTGTAACATTAAGAGGTATACGGATATATTTAATGCAGACTTTAAAATAGTACGACTCTCGCGGTCGATTCTTTATCTTTTTTCTTCTTTTTTCTTTTCCTATACTTCTTCAACGACTATTCCTCGTTATCAATTACAAGACAATATTCGAATTCTAATTGTGTTCTTGGACTTTAGCTATACTCGTATCAATCCCCTTTTTGTTCACTGCCATTCCCTTGGTCATTGTCCTCGTCATTCTGGTCCTCCTATCATCGTCTTCCTTCTCTTCCTTCCAGACGTTTTCCGTACTCACGATCACGAGGATGACCACGACCGTATCGTCCAGTCGAAGAGAAACGGGAAGAGTCGTAACGCTCTGATTAAGGGAAGTGGCTGGAAGTATCCTCAATCAGAATGCAGCTCTTCCCTCATAGAAAAGGAGATAAGGAGTCGTCTCGGCGTTAGGCGAGGGGTATATTACCGTTATGAGGAAGAAGAGAGGGGTGGTGGATGAGGGGTGGTTAACTCAATCCGAAGGATAAAATACATTTGAGAGAATTACGATGAAGTCAAGTTGGTGAAAGTTGGTGGGACCGAAAAGAGAGATTGGAGAGGCTGGTGAAGAGTCCAGATACAGATGCTGAAGCTGATTCTGAGACTGTGCGCAGGGCTAAGTGTGAATAAATGAAGGCGAGGGGTGAAGTGAATAAGTGCGAGGGTGAGAATGAGGCTGGTACGGGCGGTCGGATTATCCTGGAAGAGGACAGCGAGGCTGACGGCCGGCTTATCCCCATTTCTGGAACAGGCCCATACGTTGACATCGGCAATTCGAACCCCAGAGGTTGCAGCGGCAGCTTGAGTTGTAGCAGCAGTCGTTTGGCCGATGATCACAGTTCCCACCGCGAGGCACGCACGCTCGCCTGAACAGATAGATCAACGAAGACCGTCTACGGGAGATTAGGGCGATCGAGTAGGCTCTTTTATTCACAGTGATAAACAGACTACTTCGCGACAATTATGAGTTCAAGCGTATACGTTCAGCGTTCAGTGTGTTGTATGGGTATTGCTGGACGTGGAGCGCTAGGGGCGCTAGATTTTTATTAGTTTTTCCTGCCAATTGATTTGGAAATAAAGGTAATTGTGAAAAAGATTGAAAAAGCCTTTTTAAAAAGATTGAAATGCTCGGGAACGAATATAACGGCTGACTCACTTTTGTTGCGCCGCTCGCATTAGATGTTCCAACGCGTTCTCGGAGTAATCCGAGTCGACTGGTAGACCTTCTTCTTCTGCAACATAAGACATCCGTTCCATTAATCGTTATCATTCTGGTATCATCCTTCTCAAGTTCAAGGGAAAGGATCGCATTGTCTAATACACGAGCCTCTTAAGGTGTATTGTCATGTGTGCTTTTCACTCCTCTCCATCAATCCACGCGTCAGGCTGGTGACGGGTAAATGACGTACTAAAATGGCTAACGGAACCTATGTGATATTGATTATGCGGAGACACCTTGGAGCAACTCGGATCAAATGTTGTGCAAGAGGTGTCCGTGAATGGAATCTGATCCGCGAAGCATAAACTTCGAAACCTATTATGAAAATTTGCTTTCGAACCTGAAGATGCTCCTGCCGGCGTTGTTGAGCACTTGGGGAAATCTCGATGCAAATCTGAATGTTGAATATTCATTGTTCACGTATTTCGCAACTTTTGTCTTTATTTAATAGCGAATCCTTTCTAATCTGCTTCGGGGATATACATATGGATGAACATCTTTGCACTTGGGATTATAAGAAAATGAATAAAAGATATGAAGAAGGGAAAAGGTAATACTAGGTACGCGGATAGAGTGTGATTAAATTACGGAAAATCCGATTCTCTAAAGAGATTGAAGGAATTGAATTTCTGATACATTTAATCAACGAGGTTCACCAGACAAAATTTATTTCACCTGGCAACGATTATTCCCTTAAACCATTTTCAGGAATAAATGACATTAATCGGTGGATAGTCATCCTACTCTTTCTTTTATCGGTACCAAATCCTACCTTTCAGTTTAACGCAAAGCGTCCTTATCTACCGACCAACCCTTATACCGGAACTAATCCCCCCCAGAACTCTGTGACGCGCCAATGCGCCCGTAATGTAATCTAAGGGATGTACGAGGGTGGACTTCGTTAGTCTGCACAATCGGATGAAATCGTTAATGAATCCCACAGAGGTTCCAGCCTCCTGATATGGACCAATGGATTTTTTTTAACAACCCAACAATATTCTGTACCGAGTACAATCTCATGAATGACGTGTCAAAAATTAATAAAAAAAAAAAAGTTTCAAAGCTGTCAATCCTACGTGCAATCTCGAAGTCTTCCTCGACTTACCGTCGTCGAAGTAGGGACTGCCCAGGACCCGCTCTCCCACGATAAGGAGGATGCAGATCAATCCTAACAAACCGATCTTCATCGTACCGTCGGTTCGAGTTCGTCGCGTGTCGTTATAGGGGAGACAGGCTTGCACCCAGGTTCAAGACTGATCCCTCCTGTGGTGGTACTTGGCGGTGTCACAATCGCGCTCTTCAGGATGCGAGTGACGCGCGTCTGAGCCCTCGACCCTTATATAGACAGCGGGGGCGTGACCAAGTCTACGTCGGTACGGAAAGGGGTCTGGGAATAGGGGGTTACTCCTACTGGAAGTGGTGGTGGCGGTCGCAGTGGCGGACGGTACCACCCTGATGAAGAGAAGAGGTGCGGAGACCAGAAGGGTAGTTGGTAGGGGAATTGGATTCACAGCATCACCGTCAGCAGCCACAACCACCGATACAATAAACACCCCCGCGAATTCCCTCCCCAGAATCCAGCAACAAGATAGAGAGGGATGGTAGCAAGGATAGGGGGGATACAGCGGGCAATCACGAATTGGACCCATTGTAACAGAGACGTAGTCGTAGACGACAAGGAGCAACTGGTGATGCAACTGGTTATCCCGGCGCTCTTTAATAGAATCTTGGGAACCTTCAGGAAACTTGAAGTTTTTACTGTACACGTCAGGGCACATGAATAATCAATAAGGTCGAAAACGACTACCACCGGCACAAGGACCCTAAAACTTTTTTCCCATAATAGATCTCTCGTGATAAATGATAAGATAGATGGTGATGGACCTTGGTTAAACAGGCGTAAGGAAAACTTTAGAAGAAAATAAAGCGGTGGGTACGGCAATGGTACAATAGGGAGGAAAGGATCGAGCAACAAGTTGTCACGGCGTCACCAGGTGTTTTTCAAGAGATAACAAGTTGTGCGCAGCGACTTGTGATTGGTAGAGCCGAGTATAAAGAAATTAATCACTGCTGGAAGGTCGATCCAAAATTTAATTAACCAGGATGCGAGAATGAGAAACCTCACGTTGAAACGAACGACAAAGAACAAGCTTCGTCGTATCACTTTCTCTTATCTCTCTCTCTCTCCCCCACACTTATCTCTATATATTTATCGCTATCTCTCTCTCTCTCTTGCTCGCTTTTTCTCTCTCTCTCTTTTTTCTTCGAAAAGAACCCCTAAATTTCCACGAACTTTAAATATGAACCGATCGACCTTTACGCCACCCACGAACAAACTAATTCTCCCACAACACTCATTCATGCGCAAGTAGTCATTTTTCTTTTTGAAGTTATTCAAATCCCTCCGCTGTGCACGTACAAATTTTTCTTATCAATTTAATTTTCTTATCAATTTACTGAAACACCAACAATCCTACGTACGCGGTATGCGTACTAAGGCAGGGTTTTAAATTTACAGGTAGCTAAGTAAGGTACATACCTTTATGTAGATTCGCAATGGCGATGCGTATAAGCGCCGCCTGACTCTTCGAAATTCGAGTTGGACCTCTAATTGGCGTTTACGATGCACCAGGGTACCGTTCATTTCTGTAATCCGTATCGTTCTAGTAACGAACCACTGAGGGGTGGCTGGAAATATTAGAACTACCTCTTAAGCCTTTTCTTAACTGAGACACACTTGACCGGTTGTCCCTTTCCCAGGAACGTTCACATATAACCTCAACACGAATTTACCCAATAGCAATTATTAAGTTTAATGAATATGCATTACTGATAGACCGACACTCCGTGGATATCCTTATGCCGTCAACTTGTTTTATGATTATCATAGTTTCAACCCAGATGTGATTATTTTGATAATATTCTCGGGATATTATGTACGTTCTATTCATAGAACGGGATTTATCCTTTATATCATCACAGAAGCTATATGAATATAATCGTATTATTGGAAATCCTCACAAAGAGAATTAGAGGATACTTCCGAATTAGATATATCCGGATCAGCCCACGCTGTTTGCTTTCCTAATTATTAAAGAACTGTCGCCATCTACACGCAGAATCTTGAACCTCTAGCATCTTTAAATAAGTTTAGCTGAGTTTGTTATCTCAACCGTCGGGAAGTTAGCGACAAAAAATTTTGTATGCTTTAAAATTACTCCTTAAATGCTCTTTATATTTTCCTAATTGTTCCGTTGCTATTCTACAATGATTAAAAATTATTTATTAAAATAGAAACAATTTTTTTTATGGCTATTCCAAATAACCAAGCAGATTTTCATATGTTTTTCTTAATCAATGAATTTGCTCCATTTTGCTTCGCAATTTTTTTATTTTATTAAACATCTTTAACCCATTCCGCCCTGAGCTGAGCGAAGAAAATCTTTAGCTGTGGCCTACCCACTTTTTACGATAAAGCGCGCGTTTGCCTGAATATGTATGAAGTTTCAGTGCATGAAATTTTCGTAAATAGGTATATTAATTAACAACGAACAATTGACAGCAAAGCACATGTACCTGTACATGTAAAATATTTAATGTATCTCTAATGGTATTGTTATTCCTAATCTTTCATAGGCCATATATGTGCATCTGTACTTCATATACTGTGTCATTATTTTATTTGCCGAATAAATTATCTAGAAACATTTGTACGTTGATTTCTCTGTGAATATCTCAGACTACGAATGAGTTCTGTCTCTCTCTTACTCTCCTCCGTCCTAAGTGCATCCTTCTCCTTCACCCTTATGCTTCGACACCCTTTTCAGCTATTTTATATTTTACCTGCTATTATTTCCATCGTTTTCCCTTATTTCATCCCTCATTCGTTTAGCTTTCATCTCCTGACTTCATTTTTCTTTATCAATATTACCTTCTAAATACTACACCTCTATGATGCTATATCCCGAAAATAGCTGAGAATTCAGGTTTATCTTTGATCGTTTTAGTATTTTTAATTCAGAAACTATAATGGTCCAAATTAAGTTACATGAATTTGCATTAGTTTGAATTTTCATCGATAAATGGATAGCACCTCCTGGGCATGTTAAGTGGCGGCATCTCTGAAACTACCATTGAACTTTCTACTCTAAAATGATTCCGAATCTAATTTGAAAATCGCATTATCGAAACTTGAACGGGTCAATTCATGTTGAATAATCTTGCATTAATTCGAATTTTTTTCCAATTTTTTAATCATTGGATAATAGCAGCGTAGGAATTAAGAAAACATAAGGAGCATTTAATGAATAATTTTTTAGGCATTCAAAACATATAAATTTTTATCCGTTGACGCTAACTTTCCCGACGGTGATATCAGTATAGAAAATCATAGGTTACCGACTGAAAAAACTAACGTTACAATGTTACGAAAGATGGTGTGCTCGCTAAGCAAAATAATAATGAACGGTGCAAAATGTCAATTGTGACTTAATATATATCTTATTCACCAAGGAGGTTCTAGAACATTCTATGAAAAATAAGTAATAGGAACAGAAGATTTTCAAAGTTTTTATTGTCATATGCGATATCGTAAATTGTAAAGAACATATTTATATCATTTGCTGTCTATGAAATAAACAAATATATTAATTTCATGACTATATTTTGCAACTTTCTTTTTAGCATTGGTACAAGTGATATTCAAATCAGTTAATTATTGAATTAAAATGGAAAATCAACGAGATTTTTATATTCAACAGAATTTGATATTTATTATTCCTTATCGTGCCTCAAGTAAATATGAGGATAATAAATACAGTGGTCTTTCTTTTTAAATAGTAGAATGCGTTTTCTACAGGAACTGTTAACGAGGATCACATAACTCATTTAGTGCCTTTTCCTCAAAGAAAAAAATACTTTTAATAATATTTTCTTCATTTCCTACCTATCAATGTATAGATAACGTTATTAATGATTTAACTAGTTTATATTTATTATTCATCAATACAAAATAGCGTTTCTCGAAACACATGAGTTATATTATGTATAACCGTTTGTATTGTAATCCCGCCTATCCCTTTTTTACCTGTTAATCCATTAACGTAAGTGCAACGATACTTACGTCGTGAAAAGAAAATTTTAGAAATAAAAATATAGCAATTTATAGCTTCATCATCGGCGATCCAAAAAATGTATAAAATGACATGCTTGAGATGTTTAATTTTGAATTTCGTCATTTTTATCTCAAATTCGTAATCAGCGGCTCCAAAAACTTCTATATACAAAGGTTTCATCGTGAAAATTCACCTAGAACATACAACTGATGTCCGCTTGGACGTTATTGGGTTAAATATGATTAAATAAGATATTGAACTACATAGAATTAATATGCTGGCTATTTACCGATGTAAGAGGGTGACTCGCCACACGGAATCGATCATGGGAGCCTTATCACGTGTCCCTGACCGCCTTGGAAACGGTTCACACTACGTCCTGATGGTCAGTGTTAGCTATATTCGCATAACGTTATGTCATTCTCATGGACGCCCTAAGAAAGCTCATTTTACGAGTCGTAGGATAAATTGTAGATATGCTTTCTCATAACATTTTCTGTTATTTTCTTATTATCACTTTGTGTGATATTAAATAGACATGTAACAGAAAAAAATTATAAAAAATAATTGTTTCTTGTAAAATTCAAAAATCCCATCTGCATCACTCTCCGGTTACCTATTGTCTGCACCGTCTATTCATTGGGTATTGTTGCTGAAGACGTTGCACCACATTCTGATATACTCGGGCATTCTTTTTTACATGCATATGAATTCCATCATCCTGAGAATTTTTATTTCTGGTAGGCTTCCTCTTGATACCTGGTGTGTGCACCAGGAAGGCGCCATCCAGCACCACCAGACGATAGTTCAAAAGGCACATCTCGAACATCTATAGGTAATAATAAATTGGCAAGAAAATTGAGCTAAAGAATAAAATATAATATATAAAGAAATGTCATTATGCTCACCTGAGTCATTTTATCTTGTCGACCTTCCCAGGACATGTCCTCCGTATAAAAAGGATCATCGCGTGTCCCTACAAAGACCGGTTCCCATCGATGATGAGGAAATTCTCTTTTAGTGACAATGAGGGGTTTCACTCTACCAGGATCAGGTCTGAGCATCCACCTGGTTAGCCCAGGAAACCTCTGGCAGTGAGCACACTGGAACCTGTGGAAGTAAACAGCCAGACCGGATCTAGCGGCGGCGAGAAGTTCCTTTTTAGTGCTAGGTGGAACCTCATTGGATTCGATCTCAAAAACAGGAGTTACGAAGACGACACGAGCACGAGGTACGCGACCCCTGATCATTTCTAAAAAGCCGGAAGCCAGATTTTTACTCGGTAAAAGTTCAATGTCCGATACTAGAACTTGATTGGTGTACGCCTTCATCCTGGCGACGTTCCTGGCTACGTTTATGGGGTATACCATGTCATGTATCCTCCTCACGGTCTCTTCTTCCCGCCATTGCAGATCCGAGGCTGCGCAATTATTCTCTGGATGAATTCCAGGTTCCAAGGCGGGAGGATACCCTGTGGGAAACACTAGGTGCACAGAGACTTTGAACATTTCCGGTTCGCAGTGGCAAGCACGATCTAGAAGAGACACGGCCAAAGCCGCATCCATCCCAGGAACAAAAATTGCCATACTCAGAGGACCTTCCCATCTTCTTGCCAGCTCCACCACGGCGTAGACCTGATCAGCAGTAGCGTGGGTGCACAAGGTCAATCGAGGTAGTTCCTGGAAAGGTTCTTTAGGTGGCGAATGCGCTCCGAGTATAACCGAAGATAATACCCGATAAGGGCCCCTTTCCCCGGCCTCAGGACTCCATTCAAGATTTTTCACCGGATATGAAAGACTATGCGGGAGTCCGTAACGCCATTGACATGCGCTAACATTTCCAGGTCGACGACCAGTCATATAGAGCCCAGCAGTGTAAGCGGGTGGACGACTTTCGTCCCGAGGTCGATGACTGTGCTGCTGCCGTCGAAGGAGTCCGGGGATCCCGGCTGAATGAGGTTCCTGCCGCTTTCCCGAGGTACCAAACACCGGCAGGAATCCTTTGGAGAGAAGTCTCAATGCCAAAAGAATGAGAATCGGCACTCCTGTCAGCCACGTGAGGAGACGGCGTGTACGGGCGCGCATGCTTCCCGGATAACGAACCAGGTTCCTCCCGCGAAGAGCGCCCGCACTCCCGTGGCTACCCCATCGACGAGCACACGCGGCACTGCCGAGCGCATTGTACGAACACATTGGCATCCGTAGGGCCGCATGGCCTTACAGTCATACAGGCACAGTGGCATACTGCCGTAGAGGTAGACGGGCAGATCGATGCCTGCGCAAAACTCAGGGACGACTGTGGCCAACTCCAAATCCCTGTGCACCAAGCAACACCAGCTCAGGGAGACGCGACACGCGACTCCCTCGTGACCAGGACTACGGCATCGATTGCCAAGGCTCTGGATAATTTTAGACTGGCATTGTGCTGCGGTATTCACGTATCTACTTCGATACATACGTGTCACTCGTCTCTACTGTCCGACTGCCCTTTCGGCTGACATCCGATTTATAGCCGATTCATGCTCGGCATGCGTCTCCTGCCAAGAGAGTGAGGAGGGAATACAAGAGAAGGCGAGAGAAACGCGTACCTTCTAATTAGAGTGGGCTGATGCATCGGCGACGATGCATCGTTAGAAAAGCGAAGACCATGCGATGCACATGCCGCGTATCGATCAGCCAAGAACGCGTGCTACTGGCTCGCGTCTCTGAACGCGTCAAACTGAACGGATATAAGTCGACGAGGCGAGTTCTAATCACGGCGACTTAACAATCAAAGGGTATTGCTGGACGGATAATACGAGAGGAATGAGTACAATTTTTTTTTAAGTAGAAAGATTGGGTATGAGGACAGACAACTGGACCAATAATAAAACTCGTGTTAAGGTGCTGTAGTCGTGCAACTCATCTTCGGAAGTTTCCTTGGACACGAGTTTGTTCGAGGATCGGCAGGAGGCGTCGTCGCATGGACGTCCCGCTTTTCCCAGCGCCTCCGACGATCGACGGCGCTGCTTTCCCGCTCAGAGACGTTCCGGACGTCGCAGCGTCGAGACGAGCGACGCCGCCTCTTCCGTTTGTCGCGTATAAGCGTCATGTCCTGGCCGACGGTCTCCCGCGAAGTTCCTCGCGCTGCACCCGGAAGCGGTACTTCGTCCGCAGGAACCTCGTTCATCCGAGACCCTCGAGGGAAGGAGCCCGCGCTCGCCGTCGTGTGACCGAGCTTCGATTCAGGATGACTCGTAGACAGGATCATGACGGCGACGACGACGTCGACGTCGTTTGTGCCAGTGGCACGTCAAGTGTCATTTCTGGATTTGATAGCGGACGTCCTGGGGAACTATCCATCTCGACAAGATCGATCGCTGTTCAGGCGTCTTGTGGAATACCCTACAGACTCCGCGTCATACCGGTTTGGAAGGACTTTGTTGAGGAGAGTAGCGGTCCCATATCTGATCCTAAAGAATCCTCTAGGATTGCCAAATACCTACGATTCCTGGGACGCCTCTCATTGTGTCAGATAGGTAGACCTTAATTCATACCGTCAATATCACTGTCGTTCACGTTTTTCCTGAGAGCCTTGTTCATTTGTCAGGACTGACCGCGCTGTTGATTCTGTGGGCACTCGGTGGGGCTGCATCCTTCTACGCGACGGAAGGGCCACGAGAAAGAGAGCAGGTCGTAGAATTGAAAGATATGCAGCGTGACCTGGCCATAGGTCTGGCGACAGAATTACGCCAATTGAGAAGCCAGGATCGCGAAGTCGAGCCAATCTGGAGTAACAAAGTGCAGCAGTACGTTGCCAAACACGAGGAATTACTCCTGGCAGCTGTAAATGCAGGCTACGGAGAGAGTGGAGGTCAAGGACAAATCTGGACCTTTCCCGGATGTATTCTCTTTGCGATATCACTCCTGACTACCCTCGGTAAGTTTCAGGATCTTCCTGAGGGTTTCCACGACGAACGACCCACCACGCTCTTGCAGGTTTTGGAGCTCCAGTGCCTCGGACGACTCCAGGGCGCATTGTAACAGTTGTATTCGCAGCCATTGGGATACCAGCGCATTTTCTTCTGGTGCTGAACATCGGCATACTCTTGGCAATTAGACTCCGAAGATACGCCGTTCTTCGACAGAGGCGGCGTCAAACTGACAAACAACACGGGAATAGGAACGACATCGGGGACGAGGCCGAAGAGGGTCTTCTATTATCGAAGTGGGTTAAGTTGCTACCCTTCGTGTTCATCGGTAAGAAAGAACAGACAACGATATCCAGGAGTTCCTAGGATAAGGTTTATCTCCTTGGATGCAGGCGCGTACTACCTTCTTGGTATCATCGGTTTCGGAGTAGGACGAGCTCGACCATTCGCGGCCTGTTTACTCTTCCCATTGGACTTCACTGTAGCCGGTGGTCTCGCGACAACTTCCGGTCCCGTTCGAATAATCTACGCCATCTACCTGGAAGGCGCTGTTACTATAGCTGCAGTCGCTGTTGCAATTTTACGTGTATCTGCAACACAAAGTCTCACTAACGTGGGCTTGAAGTACGGCCTGCTGACGGACGCTTGACCTGCAGCCATATCTACGATTTTCTATTAATAATAAACGACAAAAGATATAAGTCAAAGGTGAAAGTTTGTACGACATCATATTGGCGGTAACTTGCAGAATTTATTATTTACTTATAACCAACAAACTTCACTTCGACTCTATACGACACGAGCGCACTGTTTTTTCTGTACTTTACTAATCACCAGCAAGCGCCGGCCAGAAATTACCTCAAAAGTTTACCAGAAACACTTAAGCTAAATCTTTTGACTAAAGGACAGATTCTTCTAAACTGTGGCTATACAGTGTCTAAAAATGCTCAGTAAATCACTTTGAATCAGTCAAATCAAACCATCTCTTGGCGTTTCTTTTGAACATCAACGTTGTCGTTGTTCTTGCTCTTCTCCTGGCTGCTGCTCTTTGGAAGCTTTGAACTAGATTCAGCAGTAGTCCTCGTCGTCGTCGTCGTCGTCATGTTGTCTGGTGAATTCTGGGCTTTGTCACCAGGACCCTCTGGTTCTAAGGATGTTGGAGACGTCTTCTTGATTGGGCGATCTCCTAATGCTATTCGTATCGACTCCATCAAGTCGTACGGTTCAGCAAAACATTCCTTTGTTCCTGGAGGCATATATTTTCCATTCTATGGAGTTTATGGTTGATAACTGATATTTTCTATTATCCAATGAAGTTGGGAGGACGATTCTAATCGGAGGAATCTGCAAGGCAAGATTCTTCACAGTGAAGGATCCAGCACTCACCTATTCAGTAACTCTATCCAAATATTGCCCTCTTGATTTTATCGAGCAGACCATCCCCATCATTGTCCTGAACTTCTTGTTTTGCTTGAGTTTTCATCTCGGCACCTGCCGAGTCGCCTAAAAAACCAAATTGATATTTGGTACACGTAAACATAAGAACCCAACTGATTTTGATCAACCGGCTAGACGGTTTGCTCGATAAAGCAAGAAGTCAAATACCGATTATCTTTTCTATATTTGTTGGAACTGTACGTCACATCTAAGCTCTATAGTATAAAATGAGATGCACGAGAAACGCATGATACAGCTTTCTTATGTTATTTATTGAAAGCCTATGACTCAGGTACACTTGGACGAACCCAAGCGATTCTCGTTCCTAATGAAAGGTGCATGAGTATTAATAACGAGAATATTAATAGGGATGTTCGCGCCCTGATATTAATTATAATACACGATATTACTAAGGGCATTTTTGGCAGAAATATCATATAGGATTGAGTCTATATAATCACGAGTTCAACTCTCGTCACGCCTTTTCTTACCGTCCTTCTTGAATGTCACCCCGTAGATGGTACCAGGCGTGTTCTTTTCTAACTCCGCGTATGCCTGTATAAGGGCCCGCTGCTTTTCCGTAAGCGTTTTAGGAACGCCTATCTTTATGTTGACGTAATGATCGCCATTGCCAAGTCCATTGACCTTTTTCAATCCCTTGCCAGTCAAACGTATTTTTGTGTGAGATGAGGTACCCGGGCGAATTTGAACTGTCTGATCTTCGTAGACACCCTCGATCCTGATGGTACCACCGAGTACGGCTTGCGACAATGAGATTTCAGCATCCGTATGTACATCTGGACCGTCTCTGCGGAAATATCGCGACTTTTCTACACGGAATGTGATAAAGATTTCCTTGTTGCCGACAGCCATGCGAACTGTTTGACCATCTTCGACTCCTGCTGGTACCGGCACTGTGATTTTTTTCCGCTGCACCTAGAAATAAGATTAAAATGATTCTTTAGAGTCATCAGTTTAGTAAATAAATTAATGTATCATCTGATGATTGATAATTACCGTCTGGCCTTTTCCTTCGCACTCTAAGCAAGGATTTCTTATATACATTTTGGTTCCATGACAATAGCGACAAGTCGAGCGCATGATAAAAGGTCCAGTACTGATAGTTTCCATTCCAGTGCCATTGCAGAATTGACAATTTACTGGTTTTGTTCCTAGTTCGCATCTACTACCACGACATTTGGGACAAGTATCAACAACGTTTACTGAAATGTCTTTGTTAACTCCTCTAGCAGCTTGAGAAAATGTTAAATTCATTATAACCTGAAAAAAAATATGATTGAATGAATTAAAAGTTATTTTATAGAGACAATTGGCATAATAATATATTAAAGCAAACCTCTTGAGCAGCACCAAATCCATATTTGTTTTCTGCAAAATCATCAAAGTCTGCAAACCCACTGTTTTGAAAACCAGCATCCCCAAAAATTTTTCTAAATAACTCTTCAGGGTTAACAGAGGACTTAAATTGCCAGTTTTGATGAAAACTATGTGAACCACGATCTTGATGTGCCTGATTACCGGCACCACCACTACCACCCATACCCATTTGTTCTGAAGTAGCTCCCCAAGTATCGTACTGCTTTCTCTTAGATTCATCACTAAGAACTTCGTATGCCTCAGAAACTTCTTGAAACTTTTTACTAGCGTTTGGATCATCCTTGTTAGTGTCAGGATGATATTTTTTAGCTAATTGATAATAAGCCTTCTTGATATCCTTTGCAGCAGCATTTTTCGAAACACCAAGAATTTCATAATAGTCACGTTTCACCAGCAGTCTTGTTGACGTGTGAAATCCTCGACGACGTGTTTCGAATTTGTCTACGTCTACAAAAAAAAATATATAACCGTTTAGACTATGAGAGATAGGTTAGTACAACGCAACGGTAACGCTCGAACATCGACGAGTCATCAAAATGATCTAGAACTGCCAAGCAAGAAGTATTTGAAGCAGAATAAAACATCCATATCTTCAAATCGTCATGTAGTGACATAGATTTGAAAATTCATTATGTAGGATCTAATGATGTAATAGAAAAATCGCGAACGTGCAGTAGGTGGATACATTACGTTTGTTGACGAGTTCTCGGTTCCAGGCTGCGACACCCAATGTCAAGGTAGCAAAATGACGTTGACAATTGTTGCATTTTTGTAGGATATCACTTTGCAATTTATTTAATTTACTACACCCAATCAGACTAATAGTTTTCGGTCTGAGAATTACTGCAAGTCCCCTGCCGGTGGCCATGTTGGATGAAAGTCGCATGCTGACCAAAAGTCGTCACGTGATATAGATACACGTTTCTTGCACTAGTTTTGTACTCTTTTTTACGGAAGAAAGCGCTTCCTTTGCGTAATCACCTGTAATCGCGCCTCAATACAAGTCAAAATCATTTCAGATACATCAGAGTATTTGCAGCACATACATTTGCATATCTTCGAGGAATTAAAAAGAATTCTAACTCTTGGCACTCTACTGTTGTACATGTGCATACAAGGTTCAACCTGCTTAGTTGGCGGTTTGGTGAAAGTTGAGAAAACTCGAACAGTTTCAGAGCAACTAGCGACGTTTTCATAGTCTTACGTTACGTTCACTGTTACGCTCAAGATTTAGTAATCAGTAGTGCCCAGTAGAAATTTTTAGAAGAATATAATGGCGTAAGTGTTTTATTAATGACTTTTTACTCTCGTTTGAAGTGATTTTAATGATTCACTCTTTAACGTGGCTGAGTGTTAATGAATTCATTCATTGATTCTCCATGTTCCTAAATTTTGACATATGTCAGTAATGAATGACCATTCAGTTGTCTGTATTATTTCTTTTTTCTCTTCAGGTCGAAAGTCACGTTCAAGATTACATTAACATCAGATCCAAAGCTGCCATTCAAAGTGTAAGTACTTGGCTCCAAATTGGTATGTACAATGTGGTCAGAGAACAATCTGGGGAGAAAACATCTGCGATAAGATTGTGTTAAGACTCATTAGTCAGACTGTTTTGATTGGTTGCTCATCATGGCTGCAACAGATTCTGATTTTATAAACTTAGCTCGTATCTTCGATCACTATTTGATGATTTTAGAAAACCCCCATGTAGGGAAACAAGTGACCATTGATAATATCGCACAAATGTTTAAGTGTTGTTCAATTGTGGAAACAGCAATAGCCATGGTACGAGAAACAGGGAAAGAAACACTACTTGAAAATCATCTGCAGGAGCGATGGAGGCTGCAACAAAGGTCTAGAATTTATAAATTAAGTGACATAGAATTTGCATTGGATAAAATGTTGGAAGTGTGCCTAAAAGATTTATCGATACCTATCAAAGCTGTAGATAAAATAGTTGGAATGTATGTTGATCACTGTGGGAGTGAAAGGCTGAAAAATTTCCTGAGCAAAACCATGAGTATTTCTATGTGTAGTAATGCAATCCTTCAATCATTAGAAGAATTGGGTGTGTCTGCCTCTACTTTGGAAAACGAAGCCTTGATCGCTTCCTGGGAAGAAGAAGTTGAAAATGGCAGACAAGAACAAGTGACCACTTGTATAGTCAATATGTTAGAAGATGGGCACATCTCAAGGATCATTGAGTTCTTATCAGAATTTCATATGAACAAGAAGCTTGATCAATTGATGGAAACATGCATATCTTCAAAAATCATAAACAATGACACAACAGTATTTTTAGCATTCATAGAATTAAATACAACGTCGCTCCTGAATTTACTTAATAATCGTGATAAGTTGCATATCAGTTTCATCGATGCTTTATTTTATTTTGCTAGAAATATGAAATATGTAGGTAACAAGTGGATATCAGAGCAAGAAGTTACCTATGAACATATTCTCAAACTCATGAAGGTGTTTCTAAGTGATTCCAGAAAAGTATATGACCTAATAAAAGGCAGATTACAGTTAGCCAAGCATCAACCTGATTGTTCAATATGGAATGATATCGAGAAGGATTGCTTACAGCAATAATGAATTTTTACTCTTCCTGATTATTGACTTTAAATAAAATAAACGTATTTTTTTCAAAACTTGTGTACTTCAATTGAATTATATTTGAAAACCCAAATGCGTTGTATGTACAATGCATGTGTTATCAATTCTGTTGCAGACTAAGTGTTCCCGAAAACACACCATTCACTGCAGTCCTCAAATTTGCTGCTGAAGAGTTCAAAGTAGCACCAGCTACTTCAGCAATCATTACTGATGATGGTGTAGGAATAAATCCACAACAAACAGCTGGTAAGTTAATTTAAATGGAAATATAAATGCTGATTCTATAATCAATCAATCAAAATAAAGTGGGATTTATTTTTCAATGCAGGAAATGTTTTTCTAAAACATGGCTCAGAACTCAGATTGATTCCAAGAGACAGAGTCGGTAGTGCCAGATGATTCTGGAATTCAAGAATTTTAGATTTTTTTTTTCATTAAAACTTGATCCCATATATAATATGCTGAGCCTAGGGGATTAAAGGGCCGAAGACAATTTTATAATATAAGTTAAACAACCAGCAAACAAATAATAAAATTAATATACAATAATTATCTACTTACATTGTTTCTCATTATTGACCTTCTTTTAGTAACTGTGTATAGTGGATTTGGTATGAAGGATATAATTAATAATTCTTTTGCTATTTGATAGAAATATTTTATAGATGAAATACATTTACGATATAAGGTCGATACAAAGACATGTTACTACACGACAAAGTTACTCGTTAGGCGGCCATTCCTGGCGCAGCCATGCAATTGCCATCTCGTTTACATAAAGAATAAGAACAATTGTTATTCCTTGAGAAGACTGCGTCAGGAACAAGCATGCTGTATTATTGGAAGTCTGGCCACAGGGATCTAGTCTCAAATAAGACGAGTGAGTGATATGCATAAAATAGCAAACAAACACCAATTAAAAGAACTGGTGACATTGCTAGACAATATGCATGAATTATAAAGACCTTAAAGAAGCATACGATAAAGATAAAATTGTAAATCGAGTAGTTAATATCAAACGAATAGGACAAGGACATACCAATGTCCCAATAATTTGTCTCAGCAATTCAAAAAAAACCTAAAGCCTCTCGTTGACAGTGTTGAGAATCGATAACGAAAGTGAGCGCTCGAATGGACAGTCCGCATAACAGCGGTGGCGACGGCGACGAGATTTCCAAAAATATAAAATACCTTTTCTACGGAATGCATTATGAACGATTGAGCGATTTTTGTTTGCTGATCCTTCGATATGGTATGAGGACCTAATTGTTCCCGTCGTCGGATTTTTATCTATTTTATTTTTTGTTTTGGCACCTCGCGTTGGTCTATTTATTGAGAGTTCTTTCTTTTATCTTTCTTTTGCGTTACTATGTGCCCGTATCGGTTAACTTGCTCGGCGTTTCACGTCGACTGGAAGTACGAGATCGGCCGGTCGCTGATTCAGACGCACAAGCACACAAGCTATTACCCACGCACGCAAAAAAACACCCATCCATTCAGTATAACTTACGCAGAAGACACTGATTAGGTCGCGATCTTGATTCGAGCTCGTCTTCACGATTCGCCGTTAACCGCTTAAGCTCCCGGGAGGGACATAGCACCATAATAAGTTACATAGTCTTTATGTACTAAAGGTAATAAGTTTACAACATTCAAAAGTAAAACGCTCACGTGAGAAAAAAGTCTCGTACTAAAATACACTGTGGTAAAAACGTTTGAGTCTTCCGTGTCCTATCGTATGCATATTAGTATGCATTGATGTAGGTATGTTATGCATTGTTAATTAATACGTAGTTGAAAATAACGATGTCTTCGACAAATATAAAAGTGCTTACGATATAAATAGGTTTAATCTCATTACATTGTCGGATGTCGAGTCGGCACGAGAGGGATGCTCGAATTATTATCGGATATTATAATTTCGCACGAATTGATGTTTCTTTTTTTATCTTTCCTCATTATTTAGGTAATACCTAACACAATATTATAGCGCATATCTGGTATATATAACTGCTATTCGACATCTTCTTTTTGCCTTGCCTAAAAGTATGCGGCATGTGCGTACGTATTTCCACAGATTATCGTTAAGACATTTTGCTAATTGTAAGTGTGTAATTTGCTAATATCACACGTGATTCAATTTGTAACGTTAATATCGCGATGATCAAATTGAAGATTATTTGAATTTATTTTCCTTGTTTCTCTTACGAGCCGGAATATCTTTATCCCACTGTGGAATGTCTCGTTTCGATTTTCATTAGCCCTTAGCCCGCCGGTATGGTGCCATTTGGTGTCACCTAATGACTCGTACACATTAACAAATTCACGAACAACATTTATATAGGAATGTGCACGGAAAGAGGCTTAATTTCGACTTTTAAAATGCCGGCGATCTAAGGGTTAACGAATTGAGATAATGTCTCACGAGGGAAACGACCCCTCATCCATTTCTATTAATTATCATTTATAAATCATCATTGCCCCCTCCATATACTTAACATACTCTAGCGCTATAATCTAGCCTTAATATAGTCTGGCGTACAAATCTAGACTAATAATGTTAAGATTAAGTGTGCTAAAAACGTTACTTAATGAAAAATGATAAAGAATTGAGAACCACCCCGGACTAGAACTACGATCACGTGTCTTTGTTGTCCTCCATAATAAGCAATGATCCATAAAGAATTCATTTCTGAGCATAGATTATTAATGGCAGCAGCAATCATGTCGTCGAGTGCTTCGAGCTTTTCAAAGGATCTATATAAATTGTAGATTCGCGAAAACGCGATGGGGATCGCCCTTATGGCGTAGTACCTCGCACTACGATAATAAGAGAGAGCCAATACAATAAAATTGTCGCTATTAATAATAATTAGTAAAAAAAGGATTATGCTGTAAGCACGGCAGTACAGAAAAATACTAGGGAGACGTACAATGGTAATTATGTCGGCCAATGCATTCGAACTGTTCGTGAATATTACTTTTTTGGGGAATTCTGCTTTGTGACTCAGACCCGCGTTGCGATTATCCAGACAGCCAGGAAATTGCAATCGACTGATTGGTTTTTTTTCTCGGATGCGTAACGTAAATTCAATGCATTCCGCATGCATTAACGCTATGCGTTTTTAATTACAAGCAACCATTGGCACGATCAGCTCCGCAATCGTTGCAATTTAACGAGTCTTTCCTCGAGTATCATCGTTCAGCCACGACTGCGACATTTCTTATGACATATTTGGCCTTAATTTAAGTGTTCTATATCCTGATGCATCTTATTCACTCGTCCTATAATAAAATAGATAATTATTACGGACTGATCAATGTTAAAATTATTATTCAAAAGGTGCAGATAGATATTTGACATTTTTATAGAAGAATATTAAAATTCAATAAATCTAAATCTAACATCAATTACAAATAAAGACCTACCCATTCGTGCTCGTCAACTCCTTCCATCTGATCTTGCTCCAGTGGACGATTAATTGCCTCCCCCAAATTGGTGCTCATAGATTTTAGGATCTACCACACATATCACATACGTACACACACAAGGCTTAATAAATAGTAAAATCCGAAAAGTTTGGTTCCATAAGATGTGCTAACTACTTGTTACATGCGATAAGAATATTTATTATCACTGACCTCGTCCTGCTTGACCTTTATCTGATTGAAGTCCGAATTCCATCCTAGTCTGCCATAAGGTTGTGTTGGCGTTGGAAATGAGCCTGATGATTGTTTAGCTGCTACAGGCGCTGTAACTACACCCTGACCTTGATTCTCAGTCACTGCAATCATACAGAAATATTTATTTTAATTTTTATAATTCATATTATTTTATAATTCTTCAAAATTATTTACTTACGACAATCCATGCCCGGTGGTTTTAGACTCACGCGCGGTGCATGTTTATTCACCCCATTAAACCATTCTGTGGCTGTTAGCGTAGGTGCCCATGTAACTCTCGTTGGTGGAAATAAATCATCTTGGAAGAGTTCGCTCTGTCAGACAATGAGGATTGATTATTCGCATATTAGAGATTATATAGATTGACTTAATTAATTTAAAAGAAATTACCTTGATACGTGGCACCGTGAAACTCAGAGGCTCTATCGTGTTATTCGTTAATCTCAGGGCTGATGCAAATTCAACGCTCGCGACGTCACATCGGTTTTTCGGAAGAAATGATAATCCTTGATGTAAACTTGCACAACGATGATGACTCAGAGCACAACAATACGGAGCTTCTTCCGTAACTTCAAACGCGTATATTGTGGAATCACCCTGATAAAAAAAAATTCATCTCAAGATCTAGTTATTGTTTGAAGACTTATCGCTGTCATCTATGATACCTACACGGCCTGTTAAGAAAAGGGTTGAACTGTCCTCATCATAATATGGCATCAGTATGGCTGGCGAAACATCTAATCCTACAGTGTTTAATGGAGAACTGAGATTGTCTGCTTTAAATACCATTATCTGTCTTTCTGAAACTCTAAAGAATTTAAAAAAAAAGAGTTGTAACCGATTTTATTTTACAAAAGTTTCTGGGTATGTTAATTTATAGATTGAACACTCACTTGTCGAAGCCCATAACAACCAAGTATCTACCATCAAGGGCCCATACGACTCTAGCACCTCTAGTTCCTACAGGACCCTTCCCTTCCTTAACTGGGACGTCACTGCTTCGCGGTTTATAAATACGAAGCTTTCCATCCTTGCAAGCACTAGCAAGATACTGTCCACATGGGGACCACGCCAAACTGAATATCTGATCAGTGTGACCAGTCAATGTGAGTTTAGCAATGGCACTGTTGTCATCTGTCAATGGTAACAAGTCCCAAATCTTAATAGTTGTGTCATACGAAGCTGAGGCAAGGACACCCGATGCCAATGGATGAAATTTAATCAAATAAATCTTATCAGTGTGTGCTTCAATAGTGAACTGTGGTTCATTTGTCGGTTCTGTCAAACCGGTCTTTGGTATATCCCACAGTCGAATCATACCGTCATCGCAAGCTACAGAAAAAATAGATTAGTGGTACTGATATCTGCTAGTATTAAGAAAAAGTGAAACCGCATATCAGCTATGATCTTACCAACAGCAAGTCGCTGATTATCGAATGGATCCCATTGGAAGTCCATGACTGCTGCTCCGTGCACTAGAGCCGGCATTACGCCGTCCGGTAGTCTACCAGTTTTTTTAAGTTCCAGCACCGCTATTTTACCACCTGGTCCACTTAGGGGTACCGCAACGCGATCAGGATTGGCTAAACAAATAAAATTGAATGAATTGTAAAATAATCCTAACAAAAATAGAAATAACATTAATTAATAATTATACCATGAAAGCCATCACACTCTCCAGATATTTGTCGGCTTATATTTCGAATATTTTCTATGTGGGTAGATTTGTGACCAGGTGTCCCCTTAAGGTGTCTGAATTTCGATACTCTACCTGTAAAAGACAACGATGAATTATACAACTTTATAATTATTAACTAATTATATTATTATATTAATTCGAATCCACAATATACCGAATACTGTGGATGTTCTTTTTGGTGTTGGCGTGGTAATGGGCTCGGGTTTTTCTAATCGGGGATCCATGCTTTGCTGACGTAGAACAGGCGTCACTTTTTTAGTATCATCCTCTTTGATAACATCACTCTTAGTTTTGAAAGAGTCACGTCGCCTCAGCGCAGTTGGTGACCCCATAGCCTTTTCAGCCAAATTGCCATCGGTCACAGATACAGAACGACTCTCGTAAAGACGTCTACGTTCAGCAATGGAGTTTCTATTGATCCCTCCACGTTCGAAAGTTCCACATTCTTCATTCTCGGGAGATTCATCCTTCACCTTGGTCTCAAAGAGTTTACGTCTCTCGGCAGTGCTCGGTGTCTTAGGCTTATAACCAGAATCACTTGAATTCGCATCTTCCTCCATTGAACTAGAATCACTTTTTCCATTCTCGGACTCCTTAATAGGTTCATTCTCCGCACTAGGTGATTTATCCACGGGTATATTACATCCATCCGACTGTACGATAGTATCGTTAGTGTAACCATTGCTGTCACTATTGGGTGCGACCGGAACCGAAAAAACCTTCTCAAAGGAGAATTCTTGACTTCCGCTTTTGGCTTGAAAGGGTTTTGGTCCAAGACGAGGCTACGGCACACATTAAAATTTCATGAGGATGATTACCAACTGTACTGTCCTTTGATTTAAAACATTAGCAAAGAACTCGCAGAATATCGAGAACGCAGTACAGAACAGTGTCGTGGGTCAGGGCGTGAATTGCTAGGATAAGGATTATGAGGACGGTATGAAAAACGCAGCAGCAGAAGCACACACTCGGCCGAAAGAGAAGGACGTTCTCCTCGGATTATCGCCTAAGTCTACGCTATCCTATTTCCAACCTTATATCCTCCGACCATATTAGGATTCACAGAAGTAACAACAGGTCCTGGTGCAGGTGTAGTTCTGGGACGTGCAACGGGCTTCGGTTCGTCTTCGGAGATGCTGTTCGTCCTGGAAGACCTCGGTAAGGGTTTAGGCGGTACAGATTGACCACCACCGACGCCACCGTTCTGCAATTTTGCTTTATCCTCGTCGGCAAAGATATCAGCTATCATCTCCTCGTTGATCACTGTCTCGTTCTCCAATACCTTCTTCTCCTTCTCCTGGACCATAGACTGCACCTTGGAATATCCTTTGGGTGTAGAGATGCTGATAGACTTCGGCGCTTTTGTCGCTTCCTCTCTAATCTCTCGCTGACTATCTTTCAGCATCGCTAAGTTTCCTTTGTGTACCTAAAGGTACGTTAACTTTCTTAATGAAACGTCCCGTTTCCGCCATAAGCAGAGCGAATAATCGTACTTCCACTTTCGACGCGAGAGCTTGCGTCCGACTTAATAAAGCAAAATCATCTCTATATATTATATATATGTATATATGTATATGTTCTGTACATGGAGAAAAGTTGGTGGCAATCTCTCTTACAAAAATATTGTAATCATTGATGTATAATATAGCGAGCTTGACTTTTTTGAGAAGTACAATAATCATTGTCCTACAATATGGTAATAAAAACAGTTGTACTGTATGATTAAAGATTTCAATTAGTATGATACTATTATACAGTCAATTTACATGATAATTTCTGCAAATATCAAATATCGTAAAGATTTTCATACTGTCTTTAAAAAAAATGCTACGGTTAAGTAAAGCTTATAACTCAGGTAATCTTTTACACCATTTCTCATGCAACATACAATATAAGTAGCAAAGATTTCTTCTTCTCTATAGAAGAAGAAAAGAGTTAGCATTGTTCATTTAAAAACAAAGAAACATCTATACTTCAGTTCTATGTCGTATGAGAGGTGTATAAGTTTTCATAGAGTTCACTGTAGTATGACAGTCTTCGCTATACCTCCACATGAATAGCTGTCAGTTTGTGTTGACATTACTGCTACGATAGTGCAATTGTATAATACAGATTAATTATTCACAATAATTTTGTATTCCAAAAATGACAAAGTTGTTCACTCATACCTCTGGTACTAATTGATGTACCAATGAAGAGAGCTTTACTAAATTTGTTATTCACAGAAGTATACCTGTAGTACAGGCACGCATAGTTAAGAGAGCAGTCAAAGTTACTATACAATTTATAAGAATGATTGCCATTCTCTTTTCGCCATTTATACTGCATACACATATGTATATACATTACAAACCACTACTTTCGCACACTAATGTTTCTACGCAATTCGCGATCACATCCTCAAGGAAGTCAGCTGAACATTGAGAAAACTTCTCCAAGTGTCACAATTTTGTCTACCTTGAGGACGTAATCGTGGCGAGCAGCTTACACATCGAACCTTAATGTTACTTACGCATGACAGAATAAGCTAATCAACGTCAATCGGCAGCTAAATTTTACGCGTGCCAGGAATGGCGCGCGGTGATAGCAGTGCTAACGGATAAACTATAAATCATACATTGGCTATCTGAAACGTGAAAAAATTCAATATATACATGTACAAAAAAAGATCAGCCTCAGGAATTACACAATCATACAGATAAAGGATTTAGGATGCTGCACAAGGGTATTTGCTATTGAAACATCTAGACTATTTATTTACATAAGTAACTTTAGGGATGCTGCATAGAATGAATTGGGTGTCTAATGAATTACTTTTCTTATCTCATGAATTAAAAATTGCGCATTTGGCCAGCTCGCTTTTATCGTACCACAGCAAAATTCTTTTTTTTTTCTTACTTATTAATTACTCTACGTGTTACATATACTTCACTACGCTCTCATATAATGCGGACAGTTAAACACGTATTACTTGAAAATGCTCTATCGGCCGATCCACATGAAATAACCACACTCACGTTCACCGTTTAATATGAATATACGTAATCGATAAAATATAGAATATATGTACAAGTGTGCGTGCGTGCGTGCTTGCGTGCAATTACTTTTGCAAAATAAAATGCCTTGTTTTATCATATTATCTCCTTTTTCTCTGTGTACATTTGTAATCGGCATGCTCATTTTTTTTTCCTAATTTTACAAGCTAGTCACGAAAATCGGAAATGATAAACGCAGTACGTAATAACTGAGATCATTTTTTTTTTATTACAAAAAAAAATAATCACTTACCGTAATTGGTTCTTCCCCTTTGGCTCGTTTAGCAGGATCTAAAGATATTTTCGGCACTGAAGCATCCTGTCCTTTGATCCAAGCCGCTGCCGTGTTCTGTGCGACACAACCAGTCGTGTCCGGATAAATATCAGCATGGAAATCTCTATACGTCTGTAACAAACATAATATATGCTTCCCGAATTTTTTGTCTTTAATATCTTCAATGTTTGAGAATATCTTTTACCTTTCTCGGAACTTGATACATAATAGGAATGACCATATTGGATGTAAGCTGCAGCAATCTATTAACTTCAGCCTGCATAACGTTAAGGGCGCGTTTTGGTACTAAGCAACCGCCCTTAGTTTGTTCACCGCTATGTCGAATACCTTCAACAAGATACGGATCTCTATCCGTTACTTCCATATAAGCGATAGTCGTATCGCCCTTGCCAGCAAGGAAAAGCATATTGGTGTCCGGATCGAAGAGAGGCATAAGGATGCTGTGAAACAAATAACATTATGTCTAAGAGAGAAGGCAAATAACTGTATAAAATTTGAAATAATTTAATATTTCTAGAACTCACCCAGTGCTGCAATCAAGTTCTAAAGTTTTGACAGGATCTTTAAGGTTCCTCAAGTCGCGTATGAAGACCTGGCGCAGGCGGGCAGCGTCGAATCCTGTCGTTAAAATTCGGTCGCTATCACCGAGCCATACGATTCTGGAGTCCTTGATGCTTTGATGACTGGCTACTGCGTTAACAATACATTTTGCGCCACGAGGATCTATGATCCGGACTTGCTTGTCTTTACACGATGTGGCTAGTATAGTGCCGTCCTGTTTCCAGCTTAAAGATTGTATTACCTCTGCATGTTCGTTGTTGGCTGTTGAGAATTAATTAAATAGTAAATCTAAGGATTGATCATTGTCGACAATAAGTATTTTTTGTTAGCTTATTAGCTTACAAAAAAGTTCCTGCTGCGAGACAACATCCCACAAGGAAAGATTTGTGTAAGAGACTGTTGTGAGAAGATTTTCTGCAGTTGGATGCCAGCGTACAGCTTCCACTCTGCGTTGCCTGTGAGAAAAGGTACACTCTGGATTGCAGAGAGATTCTTCTAGACCCGCTTCGGGAATATGCCAGAGCTTGACCTAGGATAAGTTTATTGTTTTTGGGGTGGATAATATAAGAGATTTTGATTAGAAGGTGTAGTCTTACAAGACAGTCTTGAGATCCAGTGGCAAGTAGACCATCGTGAAATGGAGAAAAGTCCATGTCAGTAACTGTGTCAGCATGAGCATGAAGCAGGGGCATTGTCTTGCTTTTCCTCCCACAATCATCAAGAGGCAACACTGCCAGACTGGATCCTGTTAATGGGACATTATCCAAAGAGACATATAGAATGAAGTTAAAACTAACTCCAGTGATAAAAATTCTCACCATTATGGTCAACATTAAATGCCATAAAGGCAGCCGATGCAGCAATATTATTTCCATAGGTTTGATAAGAACCTACTGATATATCCCTAATACAAGCCTCTGGTTTAGGGACAATAGGTGCAGCATTCTTGTACTTGGATGCTTTAAAACGCCAGGCCATTCTGAAGGTAGTAGTGGGTAGTACTCTGCTGTCACTGACTGCTAGTAATGCTCCCCCCTTCTTGACTCACTTCATGTAATCTATGGAACGGAGTAATAAGTCAACCAAATGTAATCGTTGAAGGATGCTACCTTGTTGGAGTACTTCCACAGCAGTACATATATCAACAACATAAAATCAAAATAAAATAACAAATATGGAATATATTCAGCAATAATCAGTAAAATACGACTAAAGAATCGTCGTCCCAAAACAAATCAAGAGATCAGAAAATCAACGGCAAGATATTAATAATCCAATTTCCAGTGAATCTTATACTTTCGCTATGTGCATTTTGCGAGCCAGTGGAGCAAAGCAAAGTATGACTAATAATTCGGGGGTGAGAGTACCCCACCCTCAACCCCGGCACGTAGGGTAAAGTTGGTTACAAGCTGTTGCAGGTACAATGTGTCTTGTAGATACTCCAGTACTGTTGTAATACTCACCGACTCACAGTGAACCTCACTGATTTTCTGCTCCCTGCGAATCTTGGAAATGACTTTATAAAGTATCCCTTTAAACACCTATAAACACAGGACGTTAGACAGGGCGTCTCGATGGGTGACAGCCGGAAACGGGAAACCTCCCCTTCTTGATAATAACGAGTAGCTCACTCTAGTTTTACACGACGTACTTGCTTTGCGTTTATCTAGATGTTCTTCTTCTGATTCTCCTACAGCCGCACGGAACATCAAAGTAAGCTTACGATGTTCTCCACCAGATAGCGTTATGACCTTAATTCCACTAAAATGTCCTATTACAGCTATGTGGAGTTAGCGCTACACTTGGACTTATTACAATTTTGCTTGTTCTATTCATCAATTGGTATTTTGGTGGCAATTGGCTGATTAAATAAACAATTTAGATATTGATAAATTTTTCAGAAAAGAAAAAATAAAATTTCATCCTAATTTTGGCCGCAGACAGATTTATTTTTGATTAATTATGTTCAATAAGAGCTTCAATGCGTAATTTTTGTATGGTAAAGAACAAACGAATCGGAAATATTTTTGGCCCGTAAATTCGTTAAAAAATCCAAAGAAGCTACATAAATACTGTCGATGGAAATAACGCGTATAACAGAGTTTGTCTTGTAAATAACAGACTATACTTTATATTCTTCAAGAATGTTAACTTGGAATTCTGCGATCCATGAGATATAGTAGATTAAAAATTTTAATATCAAGTATCTTGGAAAAGAACAAAAGAGAAGGAAAATAGAAATTTCACATAGCTAGGGTGTAATTAGGGATCGAGAAGGGTAGATAAACTGGAAATGTCGTACACAGTATATAACACAAGAAGTTTTTAACAATATTATTCAACTTATATTTTCCAGCGGCCATTGACCATGGTACAATCTTTTTAAATATTTCTCATGATTAGTCGTTTCTTCCTTGATTCTCATTCCACATTTATAGACCTGCTTGAAAGCCGAATACCCATACCTCACGAGTCAAATGGACAATTGGGAACGAGGCCAAACATTTTTCAAACTGAAGCTTTCGGATACGTTCCAAAATTCACTGCTAGTACTGCGAATATCGTTATGTCCCAGCTCACCTCTATGCAATAGAGCGTGGAGACCCAATAATGCCCACAATGTTGACAGTGAATTTCAAAACGTACTCTTCGTAGGCAGGCAAGGAAATCGATATGACATAAGTACCGACATAATTAACATAAGCCAAACAATAAAATAGAGATAAAATGCATTGTTAAAAATGAATGATCATCCACCAAACGTATCATGTATTTCGGCTATAATTTCATTCTTTGTATTTTTATCTTCAGCAAGTCTCCTTAGCTCTTTTAATTGGTAATCAGTAGCCACTATTGAACCATTGAATATTCATTCCCTGTTGGATAAACGAAAATTTGATATCAAGCATCATTTTGAATATTTCATGGAAATGCACTATTTCTGTGGTAAACAATGAGACTTGACTATGTCGATACCATGCATTTTTCCATTAAAGACATACGTTAGCTATATCACATCACAATGTATCGTAGTCCACAGACTCGTCGAGGTTTCATTCGGCTTAAAGTTAATAAGGAAAGAATGTTAGGGCAACGATCACAGATGCACTGATACAACCATTCGTACAGATGGAACGAAAGTTTTTCATAAACTTACGGAGTCCGGCACAATTTTCGATTTTTTAATTTTTTTTTGTTCATGACTAACAGTAAGGACGTAATAGCACAGTTACTGAAACCGAAAGTGCAACAGTGCACTCGCTGTCTCTGTAACTGCATAACGTGAGATAAAGGGAAACAAAATTTCCCTTTTTGTGTCAATTGAGTTTTACAAGATAGGTATAACGACCATTGCATTCTGGTATGAGCGCAATGTTTCGTGAATGACAGACGAAAGTAGTGCCGCCATTACGGCAGTGCATTAAATGGAAATCTTACAATGGAAAAACTCAATAATCATGTAAATTGGAACAAACTCCAAGAAAGAGAATGAAATAATAGACAAGAAGCAAAATTTTTTCAATTAAAATGCTAGCGAGTACCACGGTGCACTCTCCGTCCGCCAAGTTGTATTTCGAGAATAGTATTTTTCTTGTCAAGTAAATCGTCCAACCGTTACAGTGTGGATTAATCGCGAGTTCTAAATTTTCCCGCCTTTTCAACGGAGCTCAAATGGCGACACTGTTTCTCTTGTTGTCAATCAAATAATTCAAACAACTGCGAACCCTCATATGGCGATCATTTCGTCCACTTTCACTTTCGCACAGTTTCGCATTGTAACATCCCCACACTTACCCTTAAACTCTATGCGTAGGTAAATGTAGTGCGCTATACGATTAATGGCTACTACGAGTTTTCATTCGCAAGTTTTATACAAGGGTTCAATAATTTTCGAATGTCTTCTTTTTCCACGCCTTTTTTTTTCCTTTCGGTTTTTCTTTATACAACAGCAAAATGGAAATGCGTGAGGACTGATTTGGATGCTCCTTTTTAAATATTTTATTTATATTATCCCTCGTGCCATCGCTTTAACCTTTCGCTTTTAAAGTTGCCTCGAATACACTGAAACATCGTCGTGTCCTCTTTTACTTTTACGCATTACACATTGTCTTCATTGGACACAAGCAATTAGTGTTTATATATTCTGCAAAAGCAGTTTTGCGCATAGGAAGCGCATTTATCAGTTAGCTTTCTTTTGTTTAATTACGGATCGAATTTAGACCGTGACTTGGTGGTCTTTTTGATTACACGAGTTGATTAATAGACACACTTCGATTAATGAAATTATCGAAACAGTTCGTTTACACGGATTATTTCACCATCTCGTATGATGATTCGTCGTACCCTAATTAACGAAAGTCAATTAATTGCTCGTCGTCTCAATACTGTCATTCATTACTGAGGAATTAAACGTCTAGGCGCGCGAGAATAGCACGCGCGAAGAGATTAGTTATTTTATCGGGTTGCATTTAGTATCTTCCTTTCATTTACATTAAATATGGCTTAGCGTTTGTTTTCTCACTTTTCTTTTTTTTTTTGGTTCTTTTATAATTCTTTCCTTTATTGTCTGTATTTTACAAAAACAAAGAAGCAACACTGAAATATTGCTTGACTGGGCGTAACTTCACATACTTCTTCTCTAATCTTCCTGTTCATCTTTATTCGATCCGTCAAAATATCGACACTCATCCGTTTACGCTATTCTGATTTTCACGTAGCCGCTCGAAGCGACACTTCTAAATACAGTGGGGACTATAGGTACTATTTCACAGGTGAATGAAACACTGGCGCGAAAAGTCGATCAAAACCACACCCACCATGAACCATTCGAACAATAGAAAAAGAAAAGAATAAGCGAACGAACCGACTGTGTTGATTCATAAACGAAAATATAAGAATGTACTTTAAACTGAGGATATTCATACAAAATTGCAAAGATAATATAATAGAAAGATTTACAGGACTTTTGTCAAATTTTTATGTAAAAATCAACAAGACCATAGCGCAAACGAAATTTTACTTGTAATCTTATCTCATACACGTTGGAACATTCGGATCATTAACACCACTTATACCTTTCTGCTACTTCATCCCTTTTACGATAAAAGGACAGTGCTTGCATTAATAATAATAATAATAATAATAACGTTTAAACGCTAGCGGAAGGAGACTAAACTCGAAGAATCGAACATTCGAAGAATGCAAAATATATATGAAACGAAAGTGTAATTAATGAGAAAACACACCTTCTGACGCATACATACCGCCTCACACGTTCAACATCAAAGGCACCCACTCACCCAAGCAACACATACGCAATACGCATAGCAGAAACGCACGCACGACGCACATGCGCGCGCAATCGAAAGGGTAGCTGTTCACTTATGATATTAATATACGTTAACATCACGCGGTTAAACGGTATAAATGATTTGCGCCCACATTGAAAAAAAAAAATTAATGAAGATGGATCAAAGGAATGTCGCAGTTTAAATCGTCACGTGATTATCTGCTTTTTTTTAAATTTCTTTAAAATCGTGCTTGCGATTATCGGGCACAGGAAGTATCAAGTATTCGCGATTGTCAAGTGTTTTTCCGGCGTGACGCAACAGACGGATGACCAAAAAAAAAGACGAAATGTGGTAACGTCAAATAAAAAAAAGAAAGATAAAGGAGCCGCTACAACGAAGCTTTACGAAAGAACAAAATTTGGAAGCTAATAAAAAGGCGAATTCTTAAGTTCCTCGTCTGCACGAAATGAAAATGGATTACGAATGAGGGAGGGCGCGTATGCGACGAAAACTAAAAGCAAAAGGATCGATTTGACTGATTGATCAATCAACGATTCCTAGTGAGCATAAAGTTAATATATGTAAGAGGAAGTTTTGCAGTTTGCCTCCGCCCGAATCGGAGGGTCTAGCTGGACGATCGTCGTTCACAAACGTAAAATGAAATGGGAGACCGCGAATTGTAAACTCGCACGGCAGTAATACATATACAGGACTTTAATGACGACTTACGGTGTAATAAATCATATTCTTCTTCGTCTTCCTTATTTTTTCCTTTGTTTTGGATTAAAACCCCTAGAGGAATCAAGTTCCAAGTAATTAATCACATGACTTTTCTTTATTTGGAGTGTGTGTGCGCGACAATGAAATGGGAGTGGGAAGGAGAGTGGGTAGGGAAGCGGATGAACAGCGATATATATTATCAATATATGCATATATATATATATATACGCCAATATACATATATATATATATATATATACACACATACATATTGTGAAACAGGTAAAGCAAACGAATTCATCCAAACAGAATTTCTTCTACGCCCATGAAAAACCAATGGATTATCCGCAAGCGTGTTGACGGTGATGCCGTCATGGGTAAGTTTACCTATGAAATTCCGTGCTAATAAATCCAACGATTTATTCCTCTCGAGTCTCTCCGCGTATATCACAGCGACGCACGCAAAAGCCCGTATGACTTGCAGATAGAACAGCGTAAAGGCCAAATGCCGAGTACAATAATGTTAATCTCACGGCGTTAAAGAGGAGGGGGGCATGTCTGTTTTACGCGACAGCATTTTATTTCGTCACACCCTTTTTTTTATCACGCTTTTCTTTTTTTTTTCCATACATATATTTCCCACAATTTTCATCTGGTGTGTATCTCGTTACATTCCTAACTGTTTAATTTGTGTGTGTATGCATGTAATTACTCATGCGCGCGTCTGCGTGTGTTTCCTGCATTCGATGCCCTCGTCGTCAAATGTTCGTACATCTTTTTGAAATCGAAGCTACGGACATTGGTATAACAATGTGGCATATCGCGATGGCTACAGCAGACGCCATGTATTCCGTGGAAATGGATAATAGGAAATATCACAAACAAGAATAAATTTCGGTATTCGCGATTCTCTGCCATAGATCATAGAAGACAGAGAACGTACGCAAAACGGTCGCACCGACTCGCCCTAATACCACTTGTTGTTCGAAGAATAAAAGAAAAACTAAAATCGAGGCGAATTTAACGCTTTTAAGAAATAATAACAATAATCGCACTAATCCAACGATCCAGCGAATACGTGGCATCTCTTAAGAATACTTCACGACAGTGATGAGAGACGCTCTCGCGAGTATTGGCCGATGCGTATAGCGAGTGCCGCCATAATGTATCATGGACGATTCTTTAAACTGAAATCACCATGAGACATTTATCTTTCGTTTCGTACGATTCGCTGCGTTATTCGTTCTCGTTAACAGGAAAATATATGTACTCGTATAGATTACAACACTTACGAGCGTAATCGCATAAGCATCGAACGTAATCGCAATGACGTCCAGCATCTCCACGCACTAGGCATATACGTTCTACCCGCAATGGGACTTTGGCAACATACTAAACGTTGGCAACAAAACACCCTTATTTTTTTTTTTCTCGCATTTTACTCAACCAATCGGCGCAGCCTTCAATTAAAGTACAGACACACAGCAGCAGACATACAAACATACAGATGCACAGGCACGCACGGATGCAGCAATCATGCACGACCGACATACATTCTTCCAAATAGTCTTTTCGAATTTCGCCTAATTAATTAATCAATAATAATAATAATATAATATAATAATAGTCATCAAACAGCTCGACAGTATTATTAATAATTAATAGTAGATAATTATATATTTATATATATATGCGTGTATGTATATATATACAGTACAGAAAATCTTGTACGCTGAATAACAAATTGTACGCTGGTACACAAGTTACTCTGAGATCGTCGGACCATCCTTATTATTCGCGACGCTCGCACTTACTGATACCCGACGTCGCAAAGCGCCGCGTCAAAGTGCCGTCGGATTTAATTTTACGAAAACCGGCACGTGTCTCATTCTCGCCTTTGACGCGTGTGCTATTGCGCGTCTATATGTATACAATGTGTAGATGCATGGTCCTCTTTGCTTAATTTTCGTTTCAAGTACATATGCGTTATTCGTCGCTTCATTCTCGTAGTATTGAGAAAAGAAGAAGTAGAGAAAGACACTTTTTTTTATTACGAATCCGGGCAACGGCGCCAGTCCGTGGCCGGTGCGCAGTAATTACCATAGCTTAAAGGCGCTGCTGAAGCACCTTGATTTTTCTTTCATGAATGCAGTTGTTGCACAATGGTGACCACCACCGAAATAGAGACGTTAGGATCATGTGACAATGATTTTCAGTCGTTTGTATTGAGTGACCATGTGATCAGTGGATCATTGTGCAACGATGCTTCTTGTCACGTTCTAAATATTTTAATTTCATTCGTTTAATGCTCATTTTCACATTCCAGTTTTATTTATTAACTCGCTCAAGGCTGCGCCGTCGGCTGGGATTATTACACGAACGCATGTTATCGCGTAAAACGAAAACAAACAAAAAAAAAGGAAAAAGAAAAAAATGAAAAGAAAGAAAAGCGAAATCTTTTAAATTTGGTAATAATGAAAGATTTTATGAGTGAAAGGTATAATATTAAAAAAAAAAAGCAAAGCGATAACTTCAACGGGATGATTTTTCCTTTTTCCTTTTAGCACGTACAATTTTGAGAATTCAAAAAATAGCTTAGAGAAAGTGAAAAAAAACAGATAAGAAAACAAATTTGAAGAAAAACAACAAAACAATGAATTTTGCAATTAATAATTATTAATTATCATTAATACTAAACAGACAGTACATCTTCCTCTCATGCTCTCAGGCGAAACCCGTCCAAGGTAATTTATCGTTTCAGTTTTACCTTCTGTTTCTCTTATAGGGGATTAGGTTGGTTGATTGATATTGCGAGGGAGGAGGACGAATCAGTTTTTTTGCAATTTTTCAAGTTATTCCGTTTTATATTTTTTTGTGTATTACTGGCTCATGAAGGTTGCTGCTCGAATGACATTCTAAATAACTCGAATTCTTGTGAAATATTGATAAAATTTGAAGCTGAACAACGCAGGCGTAAAATATTATGCGCTGGAGTCTATCTTTTTCATTCTTTTCTACGTCTTTTTTACCAACGGTTATTTGGAATCGCCGATAATTTTTATTCCAAAAATCTTTTAAAAATCTATCACCGTGCAATAAATTTCTTGCCACCTGGATAAAATGTTCTGGCTTGAAATTAAATAAAGACCTAATTGATATACTACTTTTAAGTAGCATAATGTAATCCGCAACAACCAATAACCTCCAAAGAACAGCAACATCATTATGCATGTTATCGAAATGACATAATCGAGGAATTAAATATTAAAAAAAAAAATTAAAAGCTTGAAAATACAAAAATGTCTTCCAACCAGTCTCATTATCGTTACCTGCACTTTAAACAGACATTGTGCTACTTTTATTTCACTGCTTTACTGTTGAGACGATATTGAATATCCTACCAGTAACAAATCCAAAAATGTTCTCAGTAAATATTGGTGAACCATTACGTATTCCAGTATTTCGATAATAAAGACGTTTCAAAATTAGCAGTTGCTTTTATCTTTCCTAGAATGAACACGGCCTCCTTGCTTTTCCCTCTTTTCTACTAATGAAAGCTCAAGGGTTTCAGTAAATTTCAATGTGAAACAATAACAACAGCAGCAACAACAATAACTAACAGCAGCAAAAGCGGTAACAACACCGTTTCAGTTACATTGACTATCGCAATACCCAGATACAGATCATATCTTTTATATCATGGAATATTTTCAATTTTCTACACATGATACATAATTGAAGAAGCACGAATAAGATGGTTGAACGATATTGAAAAAAAAAGCTAAATAACGGATAGTTAAAAGTAAGTTTAAAGTACCTGCGTAAACGTTATGTATTATTATGAACTGTGGGGCTTTTGAAATATATAAAATATATTGCCAATCATTTTTACGTATCATAAATTCGAGCAGCAACCCCTAAAGTTGTTAGAACAACTAGAGCAACAAACCCTATTAGAAATGGACTACACTCATCCGCACTCTCGCGACGCACGATCACAAGCAAGTTATTTCTATTGAATTATCGTTACCAGTAATTCATAATTGGTTATTCGATATTTTATTAAATAAGCGAGTTTGTGTAAAAATTTAGCGCTTTTTCACACACACACGCACTCCATCTGACGATTCGCGGTTTACTGTCAGTAATATTTCCTAACAAATGTACGCCAGTCGAAATTGGCTTTTCTTGCGAGAGTCGCTTCTGTGTCCTTTGCCTTTCTCTTTTTACCTTTCGGGTTACTTTGCTACTGGTAAATGTATCTTCCGCTGCGAGTCATCCAAGTCGCGTATCCATATTGTCACAGTTATTAATTTCCACGCGCGATTCACACTATATTATCATTTTATACAAATATCGAGCGTGGATGTGACGTTCCCTCGTCGCAGTTGAGTCCTTCGCCAGAGGCTAAAGCAGCTTCCAGGTTGTTTCAGGCATCCAACAATTTTTTATTTTTTTTTAATTTTAAAAATTTTCTTAGTTTTCATCACAATTCCACGACCTGCCGGCGGAGAGATATAATACGGCAGTTCACTTCAAAAGCACACAGTCCTCTCTCTCTCTCTCTCTCTCTCTCTTGCAGTGCGCGGTCTCTCGTGTTTCTCACTCGACTGTGCGGACAATGTATCACACTGTTAGACGCAACTGTTAGCGTTATTTAGGAAACCGTGTACCGCGTCGCGATAATTGTTTGCTTGATGTTGTTCTTAAATAACGAAGAGACGCGTGGTAGTTGATTGCGAATGTCCTTCTTTGCACGACATCGTGTATCCTTTTTTTTCATTATTTTATATCATTTTTTGTCTCGTTCTATTTATCTCGCATTACTTCATGAATCATGGAAAATAAGAAAGGAACGAAGAAGTTCCGACGCAAATTAATTTTTTACCTGTCTCGAGCAAGACGAGAGATGGGAAAGTAAGGAACAAAGAAAGAAAAAGGAGATACGGAAACAAAAAATAAAAGGAAACGTTAAAAAATTTACACCGATCGTTGAAATATTTACACGCGCACGGTTTTAATTCAAAATAATCAGAGATCTTCCTTCTGCCTTTTTCTTTAACCTCCGTATGAGGGCAGGGGGGTAGTTAGCTTTTTTTAATTTTTTTTTGTTTTAACGATTTCATCTCGAGACACGTAGACTCCTCATGACTTTCTCTAATATATATCTTTTTTTTTGGTTAGGGCATTTTCACGGGATTTTTAAGTGATCCACGCGTTTACGAATACGTTAACGCTTAATTTGACAGTTTTTGCCCAATGTCTCGTTAGGACGTAAGAGACAAAGGCACGATTAGCGCCGCGCCTTATCACTAGCCGTTATCTCATGTTACGATGGACTATTATATATACATTTTCTTGACTATATCGACCGAGGCACTGGAACACGCCAACGTCGTCACGCGTTCGTCCGATACGAATCGAAGAGACGAATTGCTGACGCGTCTCGGACGTCAATTTTCGATTTCAACTTGTAAGCAGAGTCCAGTAGGGCGAAACATTAATTCCCATTGGGGATGCGTGCCCCTATCCGTCACATACGGACAAAGTTGGTCTCGCGCCAGCGATAAAAGCACTCTAGAGTTTCGCGATTCGCGACGAGATTTTTTTACCAAATATTTATAGCAGTTTTCATCATGTTACTTGTCTAGTGTTTTAAAAATATATCTCACTGTCCACTGTAGTACTGCACACGACCTGTCGCGGCAGTCATAGGTATTTCTCGCATAACGGCTTCCCACGCTGTTAGAGAAATAAAAAGAAATTAAATGATCATTGTACTTATAGTCATTGTACTTATAGCCTATTAAGAAAAATATGAAACTTACCGAGTCCAACAAAGCTGACGATTTTGTCGTGATTGTATGTCTGCACGTTGACACCATCATCCGGTGCGATGTAACGCGCCGAGAAGTCTTCCTTAGGTTGATGATGATACTTCTCTAAAATGCCAGGTGGAGGTGGTGGTGTTGGAGGCATATAAGGAGGAGGATGAAACCGTGGTGAATATCCCAGATATGGAAGAGATGGCATCATCATGTGAGGATGATGCACTGGATGATGATGATGCTGTATGTGCGGATGTGGGTGCGCATGATGCGGATGTGGAAGAAAATTCGGTGGATATTTGTCGAACCTATGGGGAGGAGGGGGTCTGTCGAAATTTGGTGGTGGCTTATCGAAGAAAGGCGGTATCACTGGAGAGAAAACCGGACTGGCAGTTGGGGTTGCTTCTGAGTCTTCTGAGAGAAGAAGTTCCTCATTAACGTCAAAACCAAACACAAGCTCACATGGTGAATCACTATTTCTGAGTGGATCCGAAGAAGTCATCATGTCATCCATGATTACTGGTGGTCTGGAGGATGTGTTCTTTGTCTTGCTTGCAGAGTGTGATTCTGTTATGGATTTCTGAGATTGTTCCTTGTCCACATTCTTTCCTGATAATTGTTTCGACTTTCTTGCCTCCATATCATCAGCCTCCTGCTTTGAATTTGATGACTGAACGTTGCTACTCTTTCCGGTCTCGTTCTTCGTGCTGTTCTGTTGATGATCCTTTCCTTGTGTAGTCCTGTCAATTTTATTAATGTTTCTCGTCGTAGCCTCAGGATCAGGATTGACTGCCTGTTGCTGCAGAACTGGCCTTGTTTGATTTCTGGATTTGTTCATTTCAGAATCCTCTTGAATTGCCAATGGTGCTAGATTTTGAGCATTGCTGATAGATTTCTTAGATAAATTGTCATCGTGTTGTACCTGAATTGGTCCACTAATCAATTTCTTCGTGTTATCCTCGTGTTGCGGATTCCATCCTTTTCTGAATTCTCTTGGTTCCTCATAATGTGGTTGTTGCTGATTTTGAACATTTTGCTGATAGTTTCTTCGTGAGCGTGGATTATTATTACATCTAGCATTCATATTGGCATTGGTATTAGCATTGGTATCCTTGGTTGTGTTGTGATCGTGTGAATTATTGTTTTCTATTTCGGGTAAAGTATTGCTTACAATGAAATTGTTCAACTTCGGTAGCAGAGGATTCACAGGTGTACTGTCGGAATTCGGACTGGAATTGTTTGAATTCGCGTTCTTGTTTTCTTGTTGTGCGAGGCTCTGATGCATCTTCTCGATGTCCTGTACATACTTGAACACTTGAATATTCTTGTTGATGGCTTCTTCGTTAGCCTCAGCTTTTTTACTCTCTGGCGAATTTTTAGTTTTCGAAGGTACGGGCGAAGGCGGTTTTTCGAAGCTCAGACTGAGACTATTTTGTACGTGATTCGAGTAGGCAAAATTATGTTGTCGTATTTTCCTATCGGAGTGTTGTAACTCATCTAGACTGGGATAATAATCTTGCGGTAACTTGTCCGGTTCCGATGTTGCCTTAGACGGCACACTTGGCCAGGATGCGGTATTGAGAACATTCGGGACCATTGTAGACATATTCAAGACAGCACTCTGTGACATGTTAATAGTAGCCATCCTAGCAATCTCGGCATAGCTGGCTTGCGGAGTTCCGCTTGACGAAGTTGCGTTTTTCGTTAAATTGTGCTTCGTTGAATTAGAAGTCACGGGCAACGAATGAACCGAATCTAAGTCGCTGCTGTCGGACTTGTCACTGTAACAATAAAATTGCATTTTGTTTCTTCCAGACAAATAGTAGAGAACCGATTTAGATGAAACAGAGCGTCTAAACCATTTATTCAATAAATAATAGGAGTCTGAAATAGATACAGTGAATCACATTTACCTTGGAGGCATACTGCTGGCAGATTTCCGTCTGAGCTCCGGTGAGAGAGGAGTCCGATATTCTGCGGTAAATCCTCTCGATCGTTGAAGATAAGACGCGGAGTTTGCCAAATTCTGCGCTCTACTACCACTGGAACTTCTGCGTTGTTTCTTACTCTTTTTCTTCTTCGTCACCACGTGGAATTCCGGTTCCTGTTCCGGCTCTGGATCTGCAATGATTTTCTTGTTGGAGTGTCGACGGGTCGCGTAATCATCACCAGTGTCGTTGCAGTAGATGGATTGGCCTTCCTCGGTTCCCCAGGACCTTCTGTCACCGCGACAATCAATGGTGGCATCGCCGGTGCTTCGCTGCTTTGCACGTCGCAAAGCAACATTTATGGTTCCTATAAAAGGAAACAGAAGATACAGTTATCGATCATGTTACATTATCGTGTAATGAAATATTATAAATAAAACATCTGCCGGATGTGTGCTATTACGAATATTCTTAACGCAACTCAAACTCACCCTGTTGACTGGAAATACTGCTAGCGCCACTGGAACTTGTGTTTTTCTCAGCTGTGAGATCCTCGAGTTTAGTCTTGGAAATTTCTTCAAGGGAATTGGATTTATGTAACTTGGCCGGTGTTTCTTCCCTTTTGGTATCCTTTTCCCTAGCCCTTGGTTTTGCATCAGAACTCGTTTTTACCCTCACGGCATTGACAGCTTTATCTTTCTTCCCTTTGGAGTCCTTGTTCTCAATAAAATTAATTAGAGTGTCTATATCCTTCTCGTTACGATGTCCTTTCACGGTCTCAGCTTTGTAGACTATCACGTTAGGTTCTTGATGGGCGTACTTTCTTCGTGATTTCTTCCGTTCCCCATTGTAACCCTGAACAGCATTTCCATTCTCGTCCAAGGACTTCTTTTCACCGGAAGCAGAGGAATCCTTCATAGTGATGTGTTGAGCCGTTAATCTTGAAACAGCTTCTACGCAGACACCGGAAAGCCATGTTTATTGACAATGTCAGAAGGAACAATAACGAGAGATATTTCGCCACGTTACTCCCAAGATTAAAGAAAGACGAAAAAGAAAATAAACACTCACCCATGGTAATGTTAGGCGATGGCCAATTTACAGGCATCACGGAATAGACATTCGGCACGAGAACCTTGTTCTGCTGAGTACTAGAACCACCCGATGTCCCACCGACAACACATTTCATGCTGTTATATGTAGGAAATGATAAAGCTCCCGTTGGTTCAGTACCATTAACAGAAACTTTTGGTTTATCTTGTTTCCCGTTGTGCTCGCGTATTGGAAATTCTATGGTGGTGTCAACGGGTGTTTGAGTAATATCGAAGGTAGCACGCGTTATGAATTGAACCGGTCTACGTGGTTCGATGATTTTCATTTCAGTCCCTTCATCGTCCTCGGTGTCCAGAGAGTGAGGTCGCTGGGCACCGGCTCCTGTGACTGTCGCATTATGTTCGCCGATGCCACTGACCTAATAATACAAGAACAAAAATAACAAAAATTCAATCATTTCCCGACAGCGGTTTCAAAGTTTATACCGCAAAAATAAACACGTTGTCTCCAGGAAGTGTCTTACCTCAACCTCGCCCAAATCGATTACCATGTAATCCGACTTGTACTCCGGAGGTGGATTGTCCGATTCGAGCATCTCATTTGTCCCTTGCTTTCCCTTGGACCCCCGTTTCTCTCGTTGTTCACTGCTATCCGGCTCTGTAGGCCCACTCTGTTGCGTGCTTTCCCTTTTATTATCTTTCTTCTCTTTATCCTTATCCTCGCGCTTCGAACCGCTGTAAGACGGTTTATCGAGGGACTTGGATTTTTCCTTATTGGTCCAGTCGTAAGCAGAAACAGCTCGTTCCTCAGAGAATCCCTTCTTTACGTAGTCCGCCATAAACACAGTGGCCATGATTAGTTATCAAAGTCAGATTACAATTATATAAATACACCTACCTATCAGTTACGTATCCAACTAATGCATACCTTCTTATCAAAGTTGAATTCTAAATAAGCTAGAGAGGCAAGACTATGCGATGCGTTCACGTTAGAAGGCAGCGAACCACCTTCGCGTTGTCTAGCCGATACACTGGGTCCAGTGTGTTTCTTGCCCTTCCTCCTACCGCCTCCGTACGTATGACTCGATCCAGAGGTCAGATAAGCAAAACTACTGTCAAACTCTGAATTGACAGGCTGTGCTAAATTCTGCAAAGAACCACCGTGGGTAAGACGTTCAGAAACTGAGTCCCGTTTGTGTCTTCGACGATTCGAACCAGGTAGGCAGCGTGAATTTGCAACAGCACGACGACCTTCCTCAGTTTCGTCGGCCTCTACTTCTTCAAGAAGTTCCTACGAGAATAAAATTCAATAATCAATTTACATCCTTGTACATCGATACAGCAAAATTTTTATCAATTTCACATTTCTACATACCTTAAAGAGATTGGATTTTCCTTCACGGTCTTTGGGACACTTGTACGTTATGGCTTCGTCCAACAAGGCGCGCAACTCGCTATCGTTCAAAGTGGAGAGAGTCGCTGGTTCCTCCTAAAACACAGAAACAAAAGGGATCCTGATTCATTAAAAAGTAAGCAACAAGAAACACTCCTGCAAATGGCATTTCGCAAGATTGACACTCCACGCAACGTGTGACAGGTACAAAGTGACGTCAGTCTCATGTAATCGTCAATGACTAGCCGGCGATCTTACTGGATACCGAAAGTATCTGACCAGCATACCGGTGGAGAAACGTGTTACGATTGATAAGAAACTTTTGCGACTGTCTCTCTCGGTTCTCATGATAAAAGTGCAATTAAAAACGAAAGAAAAAGGTAGGACTACAGAGCAGCAGTGTCCATTATGTAAGTTACCACTGTATATATAACCGATCATGGGCACAGCACACTATGTACTATGTACCCAGTAGTCGCGTGGCCTTCTTTTTCATGTATTCACAAGCCCTGCAACTCTCCACTCTTAATACTAGCCGATAAAACGCTAGAAAAATGATAAACCCCACTCGATTTCACCGAATCTAAAATCAGAGCCACGCTCCCGTAAACGATTTATACAAATTAGTTAGCTCGTCATCCACCAAAATTACATGTGACTAACAGGATAAGTAAAGTAACAATAAATTCTTAAAAATGTCAATCTCACGTAATAATATTCCTAGATATCTCTAAGCGATTCAAATGCATCTATAAACACTGCTTGAAGTACAGTATAGAATGCACGTACAAGGTTTGTCTTGCGATTGACTGTTCAATGACAATATTAACCAAGGCTAAGAATAATTTCGATGTAAAGCAGTATATTTTAGTAACACTTTTACTCCAGGATACCAAACCACAAACATAACAGTAAAATCAATTGGTATCGATATTCGACCTTCTGTAATAAGTTACTTGAAACATTAATCACGAAACAAACGTATTCAATGATTCATCATCGATTACAGTATAGTTACAGGCGATGACGAGGTGCCGAAGCAAGCATGTAAAGAGACTTATCATAGTTTTACAGCAAGAAACATTCGTAACAGATAGTTGAAATTCGCTGCATCACACTGGGTCCCTCTTGGCTTCAAACCATGTACTGATACGTATAGTCAAATGTATGTCGCAACAAAAATCATATGTGCTTGTTGTCAGCTCGCGTTCGCGTAAATATGGATGGCAATAAACAACGTGTCACGGAATATTTGCAACACGCCGTAAAATCCTAAATTAAAATCATATCGGTAACTTCCGTGTTTCCGTCAAGAAATTCATAAGGATATACAAGGGGCTCTGGTCTATAATAACATAGAATACAAATACCGCATGATGTATTATAATGCTATGTCATTTTTCGATTCTTGCGTTATTCGCTCGATGGTTGTCCAGAATCTTGGGAACAATTATGACTCGAGAGTTCGCATTTAATTTATGAAGAGAAAGAAACAAAATTGCGTAATGCTGAGAGTCGGGACCTAAATCTACGGTATGAATGAGGCCTGCGAATATGGCGCGAAAAACGTGTTTCAGAAAACTACATTCAAATAAGGAATGTGGGTCGTCTAGACGATACGAAGGTTTAGGTGTCGTGTGATTCACTTTGGAAAATAATGATAAACATCGAGATGTGTCCAGTGAGATCTCTTTTTCTTGTTATTTCGTTATTTCTACGAGTGGATAGTCTTTCGATTAGTTTATATATCTTTTTTATGTCTCTCCATCAATTATCTACTGTATTTCACGGTATCTGCACAAAAATTATATTCATACCATTTTTCATGCTACTACGGGTATCGCGCCGCATAAAAAATGATCTTGGTTGTTGTGTCCTGTGATTTTTATTACGCGAACAGAAAGAAAGTAGTTCACGAGTAGATAAGCGAGGATGTAGGTAAATTCGTAGGGTAAATTTAAGGTTTCACTTATTGGATCTGGTTGACTGATATAGTGGAAGCAAAGAATACGTCGTTGGCTGTGTAGCGCCAGTAAGTATAGCAATTCTGCTACTGTCAGTATATTATTATATATTAGGTAGTATGTAATTACTACTCATATTGCCATCCATTATTCGTTTGTTTTCCCTTTGAATTAATTAACAGGTTTCGGATGTTTATTATGTGAGACGAATTTCTCATTAATCTTTGAACGATTAAACTGATACCTAGGACGTTGGAATAATCTGCTACATTTAAAAAAAATATAATATTAGTTAAACTTGGTGTATATCCGTAATATATTGAATATCACCGAGATAAAGGAGTTCCCGGTGTTTCTCGGTCCATTGGCTTCTTGTTAGAATGATGTGGCTGAACTTTTTGTTAATTATAACGAAAATTGTGCTTGACGAGTTGCCAACTAAGAGCCAATTGTCTTCGTGGTTTAATCGGTCTTTTACTTGTCTAAATTAAACTTGACCCATATACCGACTATGGTAAAATGTTTCAAAAACAGAGCAAATGTTTTACTAATTCTAAATGTAAATACAGTGAAACTTAGATAACGCAAATCGCAAAGGGAAACGAAACGGCCTATCGGAGTTTTCAAGTTATAGAGATGAAGCGTTAGAAAATTCGAAGATTCATAGTCTTATAGAGATTTTTAACTTGTAGAAGTTCGTGTTATCAAAGTCCCACTGTAGTATCGATTATAGTGGGAAAACGTGGTAAACTTGAATTATGTACGTCGATAAAGACGAAATGAGTGCCGAACGTCGACGCACGATTATGGCTAATGAAGCTTCTGTGGTGGAAGAGAAAAATATTTTACATGAAATACTTTTTAATAGTTTTCACTTGAGGGAGTTAATAACTATTTTGTGAGGATATTTTGATAATGGGAAATGCTTGTCATAGGAAAATATTAGTAATAGGTATTCAAAGCTACTTCAGCATATCAATTTACAAAGTCTCTGTATGAAATAACATTTTATCTGGAATGATAATACGATTAATGCTATCTACTCTGGTTAGATACAGACTTGACATGACAATAACCATATATGCTGGCAACAGAGTACCTAAAATCCAGTTTTAGTTCTATCTCTTGTAATTTACAAAAATACTTTATTCGTAACGGAGTGTATAATATTCATACTAGATATGAATAATTAATCATATTCTGAATTAAATTAATTGTGATTTATTATTGAAAATGTATTAATCTAATAAGTGGAAACAGACTTTGCATTTGGATTTACCAAATATCACATTTACATTTGGTTTCACAAATATCTAATTTCTTTAGAAACAAATAAGACATTCCAAATCAAGTAGTAGCACCAAGTATATATCAGTCTGCTACATTTCCATATCACATTAGATTATGAAAAGTCATTGTTTCAAGAAGTACAAAGAGGACATTTTAACCAGTTTCCCAAGGATTCGAACAAAGAAATTCAAGAATTCAACCAGAATTCTTAATAGAGCAAGTCAACAATGTTCAATCTGAACCAAAAAGTATCCTAGAATATTAACGTAAACTTGTACAGCCACTTTCTACCAGAGTAAAAACAGCCATCGTCCAATTGCAACGTTTGTCAAATGGATGGAAAGATGAGAAGGTAAGCCACGATGGCAGTATTTCTATAAAACTTACAGGCAACAGAAAATATGCTGGGCAGTGCCGGCATGGAATTTATATTTTTAGAGGGCACCCGGGTCGGCGGCTGCAGTCTTGGTACCCGTCTCGTTGTATCCTTCTCGCAATCCTGCCCACTCAATCACACTTTCTTCCCTCAGTTCGTCCCGTACGAATTTCTCGCTATTTTTACATGGCACCTAAGCACGAATCTTTCCCACACGACCCAAATATACTAATTCACGACATACACCCAATCACTTCATAGCACCAGACCCAATTCGGACGAAAACGCAAGTCTGCCCGAGGATCACAATCGCTATTTCAACGAGCGGGCGCGGCGCGCTCTTCTCAGTATGGCCGCCGCCATTATACTGGGAACACGGCCTTTTCAGGGATGCCTCTAGCAGAGAAGGGGCCCTCTGCAAAATGGCAATGGCAAAACTAGCGCGTTCGATTTAATACGTTGCACGCCTGTCTCATCGACCATGTTGTTTTCTTGCTTCGCTGCTCACTTTTGCTTACATAGCATACACGTCTCTTGTAAAACGAAGAATGATAAAAGTTTTCCATGATTGTTGGGTCTAACAAGGAGTTCTCATAGGAGAGGAATTTCGTAGTAAGCCTATTATTTTACGAAGTCACCCTTATTAGTTACCTGCAGCTTAAACTAAGTTTGTTATGATTCGGAATGAGGATAATTCAGTAATATCCTATCCGGCTAGCTTTACGAGATCACTTAGGAGAACGAAATTCATACGTTGGATGAAGTAACAAACATTGCGGTAGTCATATGTCTACCATAAACTTATACCGCGATAGGTTTGTTCTCGTTACTTACACTTTCTGCACTTTTTGAAAAGTGACATCTAGTAATATTATTTTCTTTTCGCTGCACTAACTAACGCCGCGAAACCTCACAAAACGGAAATAATTTGTAACTAAGCGCTAAAACGTGCGGCTACAAATATCACTATTTACGCTATCAGCAACTGAGATATAAAAGACAACAAAACTAGAACAACGAAAAATAGGGGTTTCCACATAATCCTTATCCAACTTTTGCAACGAGTATCACTTAGGAAAATTAATTTGATTAAAAATATTCCCGAAAACATACCTCGTCTTTCTCAAATGACGAGATGTCACGCAGTATCAACCTTAACCCGATTATATCTAAATGGATACGATTTTTCAGCATTTCAATGAATTACTTGATACGGTTTACTGTCACTCGTGTCAATTGTACCACCGTTGGTGTACGATGCGTTCGTCGTAGTCACCAAATTCGAAATGTTTTCCCGTATATGTATACAGTAAGAATACAAAAGGAAAATCCCCCCTCCGTCCCAAGTTTTGCGCGAGCAGTAGTGGAGGCATAACGGAACAATTTTCGACATTGTTATCTACGTCCCAGACGCTCCCGGCTGGTTTAGGCATAAATTCGCCAGCTGCCAGGGTCTTTGCCGCAGTGAACTATTGTTCGCATTGAGCCGGGAAAAGTACAGGTCAAATTTTTTGATGCCTCGTGCCTTTGCTACGGTCATATACATTTGTTATATATACGCAAAATAGAGACCCCTGCCTAAAAAATATCTTGATAGAATGGTCGTAGTGGCTGGTAGTAAAATAAAAGTTCCATAAAATATTTTCAACAATGTTTATAAATAATTACAAAATAATATAAGTGAAATTGAGAATCCTAAAGACACTAGTATATTTCTCTGTACATTTTTCAAGATTTCGACGATGAAAGACAGGAAGTGATACCGGAACTTTTGTCAGAGATTTAAATTTGAAAATTTCAGAAATCCTATAATTTCTTTTTGATTCAAAACGTTGTATACGAAGTCCGCGTTCGAGCATATTAGTGGAATGTACGGCAAAGCAGAATGAGACATTTTTATCCGTAACTACGCGATCCTTTTAATTATAAAGAATTGCAAGCACCGAATTCAAACGGCCCTGAGTCTGCATAAGCGAGGCACTTTGCCAAGAAACTATTCGCAAGCCGCAATGCCCTAACGTTGTCGATTCCTAGGCCTTTCCAAATGCTCAGCAACCAGTCTTGAGACTGTCTTGTGTTATCAAGTGGGTTCTATTTTATTGAATTTTTTCCCCTCATTTTATCTTTACAAAATTGATTGTTCTCCATCAACATAATTCCATTTCCGATATATGTTCGTAATATGAACCGAAAGCTTTATGTGTTCTTGTGTCAATAATAAAGTTGCAATTTCTGCACTGTGACAGTAAATCATTATGGACTGTTAACATGCATGTACACAAGAACCTATACAATTACTCATATGCACGTATAATAGTGCGTAAAGCAACGCCCTTGTGCGATACATCGATTTCTCTATTTTCTTCCTTCAAGCAGAGTATCTTGCACGTGAATTATAACAAAGATATCATTTTTCTTCCAATATTCTAACAATTGATACATCTCATGGTGATTATACATATATATAGCTGATTATAAGATATATATATATATAAAGATTTTATATATATATATATATATATATATATATATATATATAAGCTGATCTTTCTTTGCTTTGTTTTTTGAAAATATATATGTATTATTTCAATCTTCTTTGATGTACTAGATGCATGGTGTTATTAGGCGATGGCTCACCTGCTTATTTTCAAAATTATTAGTTGTGATGCCCTGTGTTGTATTGGCCTCTGCAGGTTCTGTTGTATTGAGAGGAGAATTAACAACGGTTGCAGTGGTGACAGCAGATTCTGTACTGGTATCAGATGCAAGATTAACTCGGTTCTCAGTTGTCTTATCGGGGGCTACAGGTTCCTGACGATGATCAGGCCCAGGGGCCATTTTGATGGATATTGACAGAGCAGTGTCCACCGTGCTCATATCCTCTTCTTCATTCCTTGTTTTGTAGCTAAGGCCTGATGGCCATGACTCGCTGGCAGGTAGTAACCATCTACGCTGCCTGAAAGCCACAAACACTCAGGCAAATTTTACTTGCAAACAGACTCTGCTTTCCACATACAAATGTTATTAGCCGTTGCTTTGAACGTCATAACGCTTTGACATTTATCTCAAGTTCCATCAGAGACAGAAATTGTTGTTGTTCACACTTTTCCACGTATTCTACAAAATTACACCATTGTTTGGAATAGCCTGTTTCACTAAAACACGAACAAAAGTCACTGTTTCATCAAGAATACAACGAATTCTCTGATTCTAGCTCTCAAAAGAATTTCACAATGAAATTCAATAACGTCCGAATAAAACAAGTCAACTTCTCATGCTTTGCCAGATCGCGACGTTGAACCTAACCTAGTAAACCACTCGCACCTTCAGATTATTCGTCGGCTCTTATCCGGTGCAAACTGCCATTGAAAATGGCACCCTTTTCTGCCACGTAAAATCGTGATCATCGATAAATCGAAAAGGTTATTTTGGCAGCTCAATGCACGAAGACATATCTCTTTCTTCCTTCAAAGAAAATTTCGAAAAAACCCTGTACTTTTATCCTGCCCCATTAAAACATCCCCCAGAGACTCAGGAAGTTTAAATTTATGTAGAGAATATAAATGGCCGTTTTTCACAGTTAGCACACGACGTCAATTTTTCACGATGATGCTTAAAATGGACACCACTGCTTTGCTTATGTCACTCAAACAACTCACATGGAGTTTTTAGCAGAGTCCGAAGGAAGGACATGGAATTACGTGTTCGCGTTGTTAGGACGTTCAAAAATGCTTGAGTGACATGATGCACTCAATAATAGGTTGAGTACGGACAATTCCCACATCCAACAAGAATTCTCGTTGATCTTGTTTATACGGATAATCAATCTTTTAATATAAATTCAGTAGTATGTATACAATTTTGTACAGTCACAAGATAGCCCTATGTAAAACACAGAGACAGGGACAAATCACGCGTTCATCTTTGAATGGAATTAAAAACAAGATGCTTCAATCGCTCACGCTCGAATTCGAGATATCGATGAGTTCAAGATGGCCACCGTCCCGACCGTGTATATAATTCTCATTCATTTCCACATGAGATGTAATAACTCACTATTTTTTAAGGAAAATATCAAAGTATCTTGCCTCTAGGGACACAAAAAGTTTCCAGTTTCCACCTATAAACTCTCCAACGGAGAGACACGTTTCTCAACCGCAATTAATGAGAGTACAACTTCATTTCACTGTTTTCACTTGTGTCCACCTCGATGACGAAGGATGAGATATACTCGTCCTCATGCACAGTTCCATTGACACTTAATGAATGTTCACAGAATCAAGTGCACTGCTGCTTAGAATTCTTCATCCGGGAACCGATTGCTCTGATCCTCAAGAGGTTATCGATCGCTAACCAGAGAGAGATTTACTTTTCATTTTCTCCCTATTCAATCCCAAGAAAGAGAGCACGATCGGCTCGCTAGATCCCTACGCGTAGACGACTCAGCCGGGTTACCAAAATGTCCAGGTGTATCGACAGGTCGATTCACAACCGTGTTTACAAGTATCGCGCACTGCCTTTCAACGTGCAAAAGGACTTGAGGCTCCAGCCGATGATACTGCACCGTGCAAAGGAGCTGCCGTTCACTGCTACTCTGGACCTCGGCATTCGACAGCTTTGCCACGATTAGACCCACGCAAGTCGACCTCACCGTCCTCCGTGTCTCCAGAGATGGCCACCAAGTATTTACAACACTCGACAACAGCCTGGAGACCAGCAAGAACTCCGTGAAAGCCTACGCTCGAGGTTTTCTCGCGACACAATAAACGATCGCTTTTGCGCAGAGACACGGCCTACCAGCCGTTTGGCCTCCGAAAAAGTCGTCTGGTTTCAGGGATGTGATATTCGTACCTGGAACCCCAGCTTGAATCCGGTAGCTCTATGACGTACTAAAGTGGTACTATTCCATGACAGCTTTTATATAATTTTTCTTTCTCTCACGTTTTTGTTATAATTCACTATTATTAAAGTTATGTAATGCCTAATGCATGTCATATAACTTAACAAGAATTCCATTCTATGTACCCTTACACATTATGTAAAATACAAATTACAATGATGGTAATATTCTGAAAAATGCTTCTGTATTAAAGCCCCTGTATTCTTCATGTGTATATCATGATATTACAAGCTTTATTACTAAGAAAATACGATAACCAATAATTCCATAAACATAAGACCCGGCCCTTCTTTGCTATTTTCAGATCTTATTGTTTGTACTACCTCAGGGCATACTCCGCGATAACAGTGTAAATTATAACGGCCCTGTGTCCCTAGCTACGTCACGAAGATCGATAACTCTCGAACTCGAACAAGATACTCAGCGATACGAGTTTTCCTTTCGATTGCTGGGATGTTCATTGACGTATTTAGTGACAAGCCCGGATTGTCGTGTAGAGCTAGAGAAGCGCACAGTTGAAGGGAGGTAGGCCGAAAGTGGACGTACGTAGTTGTCCCGTTGGTCATTGTATTTCTTCTTTCTCTCTCTTGCCTATATAGAGAGCGTAAGTCGTGCACGATAAGTGTAAGAATATAGTGCGTGACATGTACGAATTGCTCAACGTCGATAACAAAACCAAGCATAATTGTTTTTCAGAGAGCACATTTCTTTTTTGCCATTGAGAAAGAAGATAAGTCTGCTTCAACACTTCTGAGAGAACAGCGAGGAACAGACGAAACTACAGAATGACGGAGACCGAGAATATTTTCCTCTTCGTTCCCAATATCATTGGTAATAGTAGGACCTGATAATTATAAAAATAACGTTTGTTACTTGATTGCTTCAGTTTTATCAAGGTTCACGATTATGGATTTGAAGTATTTTTTTATATTTGAATTTTTAATAATGTATATCCATAAAGTATACGTTGAACGAATTTTGGATATCGTAAGTTATTTATAATTTGTTCCAGCATACAGTTTCCAGACGAAAATCATATGCAAATTAATTCCAATAGAACGATCAATCGGTTTAAATCGATACTTAGCGTTGAATTAACTTGTGCGATATTTTCAAGTTATTGAGTCGGATTTTTATGTAGAATCTTACCCTGGAAGATTATTAGTACGTAAAAGTATTACTTCGTAATCGGATTTTATGTACTGATATACACTAGAGTGAAAAATTGCTATTATTGCTCTCAAATCTTTTTTTACGTTTTGAATATATCTCGTGTTCTACAATCGGACTCAAACTTTGTACAATTAATCATGGTGTGCAATTAATAGAATAATTTGTAAATCAATAATTATTGAAACAATTATGTATATATTGAGAGTTCAAAAAAATATCTTACAGAAAATTATACCATTGAAATAATCCGCTGTGATAGGATTATCCTTTGACATAGAACTACTCAAATATAAGTGTGTAACATTTGAAAGACTTCCCTTATTGATTAATGTCTTGATGCTATCACTTTATGTAACAGTCCAAGTCTTGTCATATAGATTTCTGAATGAGAGCTTTTTTTTTATTGTATTACACTACCACAATTTTTTGGAAATACAAATGTGAGATTGATGAATACTAATTTGAATGAAAATCATATCATATCCATAATTCATCCAATATAATTAGTTTGATATGTTAACAGGATATGGCAGAATAATCCTGGCATTAATATCGTTTTATTTTATGCCAACGAACTATGTTATCTCGTCATGGTGCTATATCATCAGTGGACTGCTTGATGCTTTGGATGGTCATGCTGCCAGATATTTTAATCAAAGTACCAGATTTGGTGCTATTTTGGACCAGTTGACAGATCGTGTTGGCACTATGTGTCTTCTGGTGACATTGAGTCAGTTTTATCCAAGATACACTTTCTGGTTTCAATTGAGCATGGCCATTGACATTGCCTGCCATTGGATCTACTTGCATACGTAGGATCCTCCAGACTGTCTTTTTTCTTCTACCATGTCTTTACTTTTATACCAAAAAATGTTTGTATTTTCATTCAGGACTCTGCTACAAGGGAAAACAAGTCACAAATTCCTGGATATGTCTGAAAATCCAATAATGCGATTATACTACACTAATCGTCAAGTTCTCTTTGTTATGTGTGCTGGTAACGAGGCATTTTATGCTGCTCTGTATCTTCTGCATTTTACCGAAGGACCCATTTGTAAGTAATATCAAAAAAGATTGCCTTTCAAGTATAGAATTCACAGTTTAAAGTATTTTGATTTCTTTCAATTATTTCAGTGGTTGGTATAAGTTTGATCAGAGCGGTGGCATACATCTCAGCACCCATTGCTTTTGTGAAAACTCTGATTTCTGTGCTCCATGGATATGTATCGTGCATCAACTTAAGCATTATTGACATCAAGGAACGCGAAGCTCAGCGTAAAAGAAATTAAGCTTTATTATTTAAATTGAATGTTCTAGTCGATAATGTTATAGCTCGATGTACCAAGTACAGAATCACTAAGAGATCTTACCTTTGCCATCAGTGTAACAGACCAATCAAAGGTATCATTTGGTTTTAACCAAATATACAACTCTTGTACGTTCCAAGTTTTCCATTGTGTTGATAAATTTTTGATAGAAGTTACAACAAAATATTTATGTTTACCAAATATTGTCTAGTTGGCAGTTCCTAATAGACAATTACATTTATATACAGCCACCAAGGAACTTGGTGTACTTACATTGCATTTTATTAGGTTATTTATAAGTTTCAATAAACATTGTACTCTCCGTGGATTTTTAATAGATTTCTATGTATGATACAGCTGAATCGAGTTGAATAAATCATTTACAATTAGATCATCCATGTATAATTAAAACAATAGCTATTTTTTAATAAAGAAATCAAAGTGCTCTTCAAAATGGGACTCTGGTATTGCCACTGTAATCATACAGCAGTTGATCACATGCATATATAATTTTACCACTTTTATTTTCTTAATCAGTTGCATACAAATGTGTTTAAACAACAATATTGTTTAACAAAATAATTATCTCTAAAATGTATCTTTTAGAACTTTCTAAAAATAATGGATTCTCAAAAGTCCAAAATCAGACATTCATATAAATAAAAGCTTACAACCTAATGACTGAACAAATCTACCACGACAAGTTGAAAGCTACTCAAAACTTTGTCAGGTATGGACAATAGAGGAAAACAAAAGACATTGGAAACAATCTATTGTAAAATTATCTCATAATTCGGAGTGACACAGCACAAAGTACATATATGTCCAAAATGCTTTGTGCTCAAAAGAACGTAAGGGAGATGCCTTGTCACTGGGAAATTTTACGTACTCATTCAGGAATTCGCTATTAAAACATTGTATAAAAATACGCATAGCGTATCATTCGTCCAGTAGCAAAGTTAATAACCAAAAAAAAGGAGCAAATAGGGACAAGCTTGCAATAGTGCGCAATCAGAGAAAAATACCAATAAACTGCCAGAAATATCATTAGACGTCGTTTGTGACACGTAAAGAAAATGTTAGGAAATAACGAAATAAAATGACGTGAGACTAACCTTAAAAAACTCCGTCTCTTGTGCGACTTATCATGTCCAGTCACGTTTAAGCGCCATGTTTTCACTTCAAACGTTCGCGCATGTTGAAAAGTTGAAACCAGTGTTTTCGAAGTTACGATGAACGAATGGGAAACGAAGTTAAAGAAAAAAGTAAAGACTAATTCACTGCTCGACGCGAACCGATCCAAACGAAAGATACGTTGCGAGCCTTTGGAACGGCTTTCGTACAGCGCACAACAAACGTTTTTGACCAACTAACCGATTGCAATTATTCACAAAAACAGACGAGAATCGCAGGACCGGCTCGTTCTTGAAGACGAGTGCTCGCGCCAGCAAGTACTGCTTGGCCCAACCTAACTTGACCAGTAGCGCTGATCTCACGCCAGCTGCTATGAAAAACAGCGCTCTTCTTGAATATATTTCAATTTGGATAATATTCCATCAATTAATAAACACAAAAATAAATAACATGATTGCTTGTTAGAATCGTGAACTTTTTTGTTTATTATTTATAAATCATGTTATGAATAATATTAGCATACTAGACATTGAAATAGTATCTGATTAAATGTTGTGTGGGTTTAAATGATAACTGACCCTGCAGATATTTAAGTTCTTCTTTTACCAATATAACTTATCTTTGATAAATTATGTTTCTGCAGTATACTTTAACTGCTTTAGTTATGAGTTTTCTAAAATGATTAATTTTATAATTGTGTAAATTTATTAGTGATATGAAGTAAATTGACTGTTGCAAAAAAAAACAAATTAATATGGCTATGGTAAACAGTAATAACTAATACTCTACATTTGTACAGATAGAAAAAATAAATCTGTCTGAAAATGCGGGTATGACTCACATCACGCACTGCTGTTACACTCAATGCTTAACATTGTTTTCCTCTTTCTTGTTTATGTTGCAAGTATATAATACTAACTCATAAACTGTAATGGATACTGCTTATTCACGAATTATAGTTATGTTATTCTCTTCGAATACTAAATCCGTTCTAGATGGATATACCTGTTTCATGTTACCTTCTCTGTCAACTACTTTGACCTGTTCTATGCATAATGAATGGTATTCTTCAGGAATATCACCTTCTGGTGAACAACCAAGTCCTGATACAACTAGTTCTTTCAGGAATTGATCCATTACTTTTCTGTCGAAAGAAATAATACTATGAATATAAATAATAATTGTAGATGCATAGCGTTACTGTAGAAATTATGATTTACTTACTTGCATACAAGCTGCGACTGAGTACTGGTTACTTCTACAAGCATTGCAGTACTATTCATAGACATTTTGGTAATGTCACTGTTTGTTATTGGAGGGAAGGAAATAACTTGATCAGAACTATCAAGAAGACACGGATACAGTGCTTTTCCTTCCAATAAATAAAGATATTTATGAATCCCTGAATATACATTGCGTTTCTTTTCTTTACGTAAATCATCAGCCTCTGCTTGTAATTGTTGAAATAGAGCAGCTGCACTATATGACTTGCTGCGCATTAAGGGTTTGATTTCAATCTCTTTTGGTGGCTTTGCAGTATAAGTCAGATCTCCTGAAAATATGTTATATATTGATCAAACGAATAGATATTTTATATTTCTTGCATACCAGGTATGAGTGAGCTGAGATCGTGTGTAGCGAGGGTTGCAACATTTCTCTTATCACAGATGCCTTCATGTAACTTTGTTTGTAATTGTATGAACTTCTTGAAGGTCTCATCAGTAAAGGATAGTTCCTTGACAATGCACGCAACTATGTAGGGCCTGACGGATTTTACATGATCCGTGATTTTTATTACTGGTGTTTCTTGAGTCACTTTCAATACTTTTATCTTGTGTGTTAATTTTTCTAAGGCTGCTTGGGTACTCTCGCTCTCTGAGTTCTTACGGCCTTTCTTTCCTTTTTTATTTGACTTGCCACTGACAGCTACTGTGCCAAAAGTAGTCTTTGGACAATGCTGTTTTACATAATCTAGTACTTGCTTTGTACGACACTGATCTACCAGTTTTGAAAGGCGTTTATCAGATAATGGATTACCCTTTAGATTTAATTCCTTCAGCTTACTACAATCTGCCAGTTCCCCAGGAACAGCTGAAACAAAAAAGTATATTAATCTATCTTCTACAGACATTTTAATCATACGAGATGTTTATTCTATGAGCTTGTATCACCTGAGATATGATTGTCTGCGAGATCCAACAATTTTAATGATGGTAACACATGTATATTTGAAGGAATTTGTTTTATTTTATTTCCATTCAATTTTATCTCTGCAAGGTGTATTAATTCTGGATAACAAACATCAGGAAAGTTATTAAATTGATTGTTTGATAAATCCAATATGCTCAATTTGATATTGTGAGCTTGGGATGGTAATTCGTTAAGGAGGTTCGATGAAAAATTAATGCTCGTCAATTGTGGAAGATTCCCCAGTTCTTGTGGAAGATGTTCAAGTTGATTCCTTGAACAGTCTAATACTTTCAATTTTTGTAGATTTCTTATGACAGATGGTAGTTTCGAGATTTTATTCGAATGCAAAACTAAGGTAGTTAGATTGTTCAACTTTCCAATACCATCTGGTATTTCATTAAGACAAGTTTGGTTGATATTCAGATAATTTAAGCTGCCAAGATCAAACAAAGCTGTGTCTAAGCCTGTCTCACTAATTTTGCGGGATATCTCAGCACCGGACAATATCAGTTCGTGTCTGTTATCCTTCACAACTTGAATAATTTCGGCCCACGTTTCCTTGGAAGTCATTTTCGTATAAATTAATCAGATCGTCACTTGCAAAAGGAATATCATAGAAATTGAAGATTTCAGGTTATGTGCCGGCGTGTTATTAAAATGCTCGGGAGAAATGACAGCCGCCATTATTTGGAATAAATCTATGCAACATATACTTACGTGTTACAAATCTATACTATAGAAAGTTATTTATTCAAAAAAATCTTCAAAAAATTGTATAACATAAAGACATTAGATAATCCTAATATTCTTCAATAAAAAACTATTTCTATAATCCATCCACGAAGCCATACATATGAATAAATACATACATATTTTTTTTATCGTAGATTACACACAGTTATAGGTACGAAAAGTGTTTAATATATTAAAAAATATATTTAGTGTATCAAAATAAATATTCATAGATGAATTTTGAAAGATAATGTTGCAGCACTTTTGCATAACTTATATTTACGGGGTAGTTGACCGCATAAAGAACAAAGACACGGAAGTCGCAAAACTCGACGTAAGTACATACATGACTTTAAATATAGGAGTGTCCAAATAAGATTATTTATCATAGTAAAAAAAATACTTGCGTAGGTGTGAATCTATGTTAAATGTAGTTCTAGAGCACTCTTAATTACGACATGAAGCGTATTAGAGATTTCGGGACCGGTTCTCGATAGGCACATTGGATAGTCGGTTTCCGGAATTTAGCTACATACTACATCGCAATTAAAAGAGGTACAAATTACGTGTCATTGAAAATATATAATTATTTGCTAAAAACACATCAACGTTTAAAAAATCATGAACATACAGGAAGTCAAGAACGGATGTCCGAAAATCTATGAATAGCATCATTTGAATGTATCCAATATTTCTCTAAAGAAGAATTTTTTATCCATCCATCATACATACAAGAAAGTGACAACCATGAAGACCTTTCAGAGGTATCTACCATTTGCTTTATTTGATTTCCAATACCTCCTATTGATATAACTATGAACAAGTCGTGTAAAATGGAGGACGACAATTACCAGTTCATGTAGCGATGGTAATTATTATTTGCTGAATAAATAGAAGATACGTCTCGGCTTCAACAGCCGTGAAAACGACATTAAAGTCGGCATAAGGCTGATCAATAACAGACAATGAGAAATATCTTTACACTCTACACTATATGTATAGGTAAATTGATTAATCGATTTCGAAGGACATCTTGGGTTGGATGAGGGTTCTTAGATTTTTCTTGAGAGGTCCTTCGTCTCATTTTTTTTCCTTGTGGTGATTGGGAATTCCTCTGAAGAATTCATAGGAAGTTTTAAAATAGGTGAAACGAAGCCGAGACCTTGGTCGTGTCGACCAAAAGATTGTGCAATGAACAACCGGTCGCTCCTTTATATTTGCATGTGAATAAACTCAATTGGCGACACTTTTGGTATACAATAAGATAATCTGAGAAGACAAGACATTTTTCACAGCTAATGATCACTAATCCATCCCGAGCAATGTCACGCTTCACCTATGTTCTGGCTATTGTCCTTTGTGGCTAGTTTTGGTTTTTGGTGATAAATCCCTGGTTGGCACTTCCGTTAGACGAAGACACTGCTTATCAACGGTGGCCCCGATGCTTCCGTATGCAGAACGACTTATGGTGGGGGCTGCTGTGCCCCTTCTTTGACTTCCTATAAAAACACCATCGGTCATCGGAAGTTCTTCAGTTTTTGCTTGAAACTCAATCCCCAATTTGTACCATTTACTGAACTCTGCGTCTCTGGATATTTTATCCAACACATATTAAGAGTTACATTTTATTATCAAAGGTAAGAGAATCCAGATATCATAACAAATATCATATAATAACTTATAATAAATCACGAACGATTTACCACGCCTATGATTTTCCCTGACGTGTAATGTTTCAATAACTTTTGTACAATAATAAATTTTCTTTTTACTCGCAGAAATCATGATTAGCATAACATTCCTTTTGATCTCCACCGTTATTGCGACGAGTACTGCCTGGCCTTTTAGGCGTCGCGACGTCTTCGATAATGCCATCGACAGTCCCGACGGACCTATGGCGCATTTGACGCATCTCGAGGAAGTACTTTACGGTCTGCCAAACAATGATACGGGAATAAAGGTGGCTGAGTGGTCCGAGGAGACAGGAGTTAATCCAGAAGAACTTGGAGAGTATGCCGAGGGCGATATCCTGTTTCCAGCAGGAATGGGACGCAACGGACTCAAAGCGGAAACAGCGAGATGGCCAGGAGGTGTCATTCCCTACATGATCAGTCCTTACTTCAGTAAGTTAGCTCTATAGTATTATAATTATTTACTATACAATATAAAAAAGTAAGAAAACATTTTTATGGCCTAACCACTTTTTTTCGTTATTTCCATCAGACGCCCAACAACAGCAACTAATCACAGACGCCATGCAAGAGTATCACAAAAATACCTGCATCAAGTTCAAGCCTTACAAAGGCGAAGAAAATGATTACATTAGAATCACTGCTGGCAACAGCGGATGCTGGAGTAGTGTAGGACGTATCGGAGGACCCCAAGACGTTAATCTCCAGGTACCTGGATGCGTCACAAAGAAAGGTACAGTGATCCACGAGCTCATGCACGCCATTGGATTCCTTCACGAGCAAAACCGTTACGAGCGCGATGACCATGTTATCATCAATTGGAATAACATTCAGACTGGTACGTTTTGCCCTAAAAGAAGTTGTTCAAAAGAAGGCTTGAACGATTCAACGATTCGTATACTAAGTAAGTTTTTCATGGTAGGACGTGAAAATAATTTTGAAAAGGCCAGCAAGGAGACTACCGATGCCTTTGGTGTTGGGTACGATTATGGTAGCGTGATGCACTATTCCTCGAATGCCTTTTCCAAGAATGGCAAACCAACTATGGAACCCAGGGTGAGCATCTATTGCATAATGGCATTTCTAGTATTTAAAAGTATTTATACTGTGTATAGACTGGCATTGGATCATCAATGATTTTATTAATGTTTGTTGACTCTCAGCTGTAGATGTACTTTTGTATGATATCCTTTGTCTTTTTTTTTCATTTTTAACATTCGGAGATGATTAACTGCACCTACTATTTCTTAGAGATTATATTTCTATTAGCACCCACGCACCGTGCATGTTGTATATTTTCATAGGAACCTGGTGGACTTTTGGGTCTTATTGGAGAAATATTCCAGGGAAAGACAAAGGCCGTTCTCGGTCAACGAGAAGGATTCAGCAAGAAGGATATACAGAAGATACGCCGGATGTACAAGTGCAACAAGCGCAGACGTAGTTACAATTAATTCGTATCACTAATTTACAACTGTTATTAAAAATAATTAATCGTCTTGTCTTAAAAAATTTCAATACGTATTTTAATAGTCATCGAGTAGAGTTAAGGTCGATCGACTATCTTGCCGATTTTTTTTTGTGGACATATATATGAATGTAATATGTGAATGATCTAGTCTTCTAGTTTATATAGTAAAATCCATTCTGGTTATCCGAGACTTCTTTCTCAGGGATCTCAGCTTCTGGGCTCTGTTAGACAAAAAAAAGGAGAAGTAACGATTATACCAAAGTATTGTTTGTCGTTGCGACGAGAGAGATATCAATTATCGAATTATATAATACAATTATTCCCATGGATATTTGGTGCTTTCTACATTCTTAGTATGGGTGTCATTGTATTTTAAGTTATACATAAATATTGTTGTGTGATCAAATAAATGCAATTTCGATAACCTACCACGATGTTATGGTATTATAATTATTTTATTAACTAATTATAATAATTACCGTTTCCTTGTCACTGTGCGACCAGAAGCATTCAGTAAAGTTGAATGCTCTCTCACAAGGATCTGTTATTTCTGCAAAGAAATAAAAATAATTTCAATTTCCAATTATCTCCCATAACCTCATTTACTTCATTCAGTAATATTATACTCGTCAGGTAGTCGTTTGCAGGAGAGTTAGAATTTAATGACTTAAATAGTAAACTTGATTCTCTAATGTCGGTTCCATATTAGACCCATGTATAAACGAATCTAATGTTAAAGCAATTTCGTGGCCTCATAGTATACAAATATAATTACCTGTTGCGGTACAACTGTAAATTAACTTTTTGATACGATATTCCGGCAGCTTTGACGATTCCAGTGTCAACTTAATGTGATGCAAACTGAAACCTCCTTCGCGATCCATCTAAAATATAAAGCGACAGAAATAAGTGAATTGTAAAACGTGTCGGGATATTTGAATAACTGGAGACGCCGGAAGATCTTGTGGAATTTGATATTCAAGTGTCTTCAAGTGTAATGAAAGCTTACCCAACCGTATTCGACGTAAAGGCAAAGCAGGAAGCACTGTAATACATTTATCATAAGATTATCATTGAAAAAAAATTTATCGATTTATGAAATATCTGTATAAAAAATATATATATACACATGGCCGAGTTTTGTACTCTTCTACTCTGTATTCTATCGAGTCTCTTGACAGAGTAGAAATTTTATAAAGTGAATGGTAGAGCCGGGGAAACATCCCGATTGAGAAATTGTCACATGGACTTTCAGTGGAAATTGAATGATTAATTAAATTCTGCAGAGAAATTATTAATGGCGTCAATGCGTTCAAACTTTTCTTACGCAATTCCTGGCCGATATTAATTCATTAAAAATCTTTTTCCTCGACAAAAATTCTTTCTAAATTTCCCTTTCATCCAATTCATGTAAAATCACTGCGATCGTTATTTATTGATGTATAATTACTTTGAAGTCTTGCGTCTGTGTCTCAGAACTTTTCATATCACGATTTATTAGCACTGAATTGACAGCCTGAAGTGACACAGGACTTGATGCATTGCATAATCGAAGAACAGCAAGGTCACTCTGAATGGCCTAAAATCATTGAAGAACTTTTTCAGCACTGGTTGATGATATTTTAGCATATCATCCACATTAATGACTTACGCTTATGGCAGCAGCACTAACGTCAAATGAGCTGGCGAATAAAATGCTCAAGAATAATATACCGTATCGCAACATTTCTAAGGATTGTATATTTGTTTGAATTTGGTTAAATTAAAAAAATTTTATTCTATGATCCTGTATCAAAAAAGTTTATTAACACAGAGCTCGCTATCCCTATTGGACTACGTACTGATCCAGTGCAATCAGTCACTATGCAAATCAACGAAATTGTTCTTCGGCGATTGACTTGCAAATTACGTAGTTGAGATTGTTTATGCAAATATTACGACGATATATTCTTTATGGTTGAAAATACGTACTGCCAGTGTCGCGCAACGAAAATGAAACTATAAGCAGGGAATCCGGCAGCTATCGTATTTCCGTAACCCACGCACTAGCCGATAGTAACGTTTGACCTATAGGAGAACGTCTTACATAATTAACGCGCAATTAATTAATCGCTTAATAATATATGTATACACATATATATTTCGGTGCAAAATTATTGAATAACAATACCAAATACTCTGATATACCATATGTGGGAATAGACGGAGAACAGTATAAAGAAATGATAAATTTAATTATAATTTAAACTTTATTTAGATAAAAAAAAAAGCAGTTGCTAGTTTATATAAATGAAAACGCATCTGCTGCAATGAAAAGTGTTTTGTATAAGACTACGTTATCGTTACAGTTATTATTAACATAAATATGGTTATTATTAATTAATAACCATAACATTAACAATGAAATCAAGTAAATTCTATGTGTACTAAATATCTAAGATATCTCATTACAACTTGTAAGCATCAAGTTACATCGAGATACGCGTCAAGTACTAATTTTCTCATTGGGCTGCACTAAAGTTAACAGCAATGCAGCTAAGTTTGATTGAGACAAAAGTTTTATAGTTTTGTACATGTGTATACATATAGGTATCGAGGAGGCACCAATCAGATGAGCAAGACGATAGAAACTAAGGACAAAGTGATGAAACAATGATCATCGTTACCAATAATTTATCACTTATAAATATCGTCACCTAAATTCTAATGTTTTTTTTTTTCACTTTGAAATTTTCTTAGAATCATTAAAAAATGCATCCCTAACACCGACGTGCCCGCCTCGTGAGTCATAATATAAAAATCATCCGATCCAACTTCTTTTTATCATATCAGCAGCCTTCTCAGCAATCATGATCGCTGGTGCATTAGTATTACCAGTAGTGACCTGGGGCATGATACTAGTATCAGCAACCCTTACACCTCGTACACCGCGAACCCTTAGTTGCTCATCAACAACAGCTAGAGGATCTGAGGCTGGTCCCATTTTACAAGAACCAGCTTGATGATTTTCCGGCGCCGTGTCGTGCTTCACTGCGCACTCCCAATAAGCGTCACAGCCAAATTTCAAATGTTCGCAACTCTTAACCGGCGTCTTGTCCAACTGGAAACCGTATCTCGCTAATGCATGTGTTTCAGCAAGTGCGATACTGAACTTGATGCCTTCTATCAGTGATCCAACGTCGTCAGGGTGCGTCAGATACTTGGCGTAGATCATTGGTTTAGCTAATGGATCATTGCTGCGCAGACGTAAGTATCCCTTGCTCTTTGGATGAAGCAATGTCGGTATTATGTAAATACTACGATTAGATCCTTTCTTCTCTCCCACCATACCGGTTTCAGCACAATCGGCCAAGTAGCCGCCAAAAATCAATTGTATGTCAGGACTGTCATCACTTGGGTTGGCGTATTTCGTGTTAATCATAGCCGTCACTTCGGATATGCCTGGAAGCATAAAATAAATAATCTTTTTAAATATGGTCAATACGATGGTCTGCTATAAAATACAATTTGGATATACGTGAAACAGGAAAATAAAAGTTGTGTAAATAATTAACGGTAAATTGTAAAAAAAAAATCAAGATCATTCCATAAATTATTTCACAGCCATGTTGGGATCAACAATGGAAAGTCTGTTGGTTTGTGAAGAAACGTCAATGTAATTTTCCAAATTCGTTTACAGGTATATAAATATATATTGTAGATAAATACCAGCATAAATGGCAAACTGGAATTACTTTGCGTCGCAGACCTTCAAGAATTCACAGACGTTCATTCACAGAGAATATATAAATGTTTAAAAAATAAATGAAAAGGTGAGTCAAAATCAGTCATAACGTTCCTGTCAGCAAACATGCGTTCACCATTAATGATTTCTAATTGTGAGATGAAAAGTAAAAGTACCAATTAGACGTAATATACGACTGGTGAAAATAGTTACGGTTAGTGGAATTAGCGAATGGCCGTATAAGTTATTACTTGGAAGGAAAAGAGCGAAGGGTACAGTACGTTAAAAAAAAATTCAAGAAAATAAGTTGAAAAGTCAGTCGCTCAAAAAGAGTCCAATGAGAGAGGCACGTATACATACGGAGAACCTGCCTTGCCGGCGGCCACCGCACGTACTAGAATTTTTTAAAGGTATGCTTAACGTATACTGTATAAGGATAGAACAATATATTACACGTATACAATATATATGACATACCAAATCAACTTTTTCTTATTTTTATCTGAGAACACGTGCGTCAAAGTGTCATTCTAGGCATTTAATGAATATCACTTTTTCATTCTTCAAACGGTATCTAAACGTACAGAGAATCGTATGTTCGTATGTAATCGTATGTTTTCTCTTTTTTATGTCATATATGATATACTCCCTATATATCATAAATAACTATAAATATCATCTTCTGATTTGAAAAAACGTTGCTCGGTAGTTAAATTGCATTTTTGTAGAATAGATATGCAATATGAAACTGTGGTTTGTTCAGAGCGGTGCTCTGGCACTATTAAAAAGTATAAAGGTGCGTTTCCATTATTTAAAAAAAACACTAGTCCTTTGAATATCGTACAATGCACAGATTTCATTGAATCTTTCACACGATAGAGGATAGCCTGCAGTGTTATTATAATTATTTGTTAATAATTTTCATCGGATCAAAAGTGGATTTAATTATTGATGAAAACTAACGGAGCTGGTAATTAGTCTTTCAAAGGGGCGTTATACGGTAGAGTGAAGGATTCCATGTATAAGCAGGTATAAGATATAAGTGGATGCAGAGGATCCCTATTATTGCTGGTATATAAATACAGTTGATCAGATCGGAAAATGGTTACGTCATCGTTGATCAGCGGATACGAACGAGATTATTGTGCAATACGCTTTCACTAGTCGAGCACGGAGTTTCTGAATTAATCGAGATGCAACGGGTCAACGAGCAGAGACGGATAGCCAAAACGAATTTGGAGTTCAGCTGGCATTGCTCTCCTGGTTGTCCAATTAATTTTCATTATTATCTTTTTATTTTCATCCAATTTACTTTTCTATTACACCTTTCATCCTGTCATCTGCTATACTGCTTTTTTTTTATTCCCGCATAACTACCGTTTAATTTTATCCACAGTGACCGCGGACTTGATCGAGTTCCCCATTGCGGCATAGAACAAAGTTCGACCTCGAAAACACGACAGATTTGGATCATCGAGAGGAAAAGTATTCAAGCGGTATAGAATAAATGGAGTCAACGAATTCCATAGTAACTAGGATATCCAGTGTTTGTTTAGTCACAGTCACTCCGCATTGGGTAACATATTCGATACACTTGTCTCTGAGTGACACTTTGAGTGCTATTGATTTTATGTACTGGAAATTGTCATTCCGGCTAAGTAGTTCAGTTTGTTATTAATGGTATATCGGGAAAAGGTTAATTTGTTTTTCTAGAACTTACCGGTACCGGACATGAGGCCATCTCTGAAAAGCAAATACTCCATTGCCGTGGCCCAATTAAGTGGTGTCGTGTCAGTATCGTTTATCGTCAATGCTAAAGCGAAGCCGGCATGGTTGTGTAAATTTTTTCCGACACCCGGTAGATCGTGCAAAACCGGAACTCCCACAGCTTCCAACTCTTCCTTCGGACCGATTCCACTATTCAGTAGCACTTGAGGTGAATTTACGGCGCCTGGTAATTAATTAAATTATTATTTTAATGACATCGTGCCTATACTTATTGATCTTGTTTATTGTCACTAATCGAGCGTGTCCAATAGAAATTTCTTAGAGACTTATCGCGTCTGATATTGAGTCACTTAATGGGACTTAAGCTTTTGCTAGTTACGAACAGCGTGATCAGTCGACTGTGAGAATTTGAGAAATTTATAATGGACTAGTAATTCTTTTGCTTGACTGGTTCAACTCGTTTGAGTAGATTTAATTGTTTCTTGCCTCCACTGATTATGACTTCGTTATTAACAGCTACTTGATGAATCTTATCGTCATGAACGAACTCCACAGCTACAGCTCTTTTATTATTGTCAAAGATAATTCTTGTCACTGTTGAATTTAGCATCACATGAAGATTACGCCTGTCTCTGGCTGGTCGCAAAAATGCTCTGGCAGTTGACAATCTCGAACCATTTCTTGAGGTTGTCTGAGCAATGGCAAATCCTGTGTGGGTACGGCCATTAAGGTCGACAACGTTGTAACCTGAAGTATAGAAACGTATTTCAGAGAGTAAATGTTAAACTTAAATTGGGCATATTTATAAGTTATTTCAAAATTTCATTTTTTATACATACCCATTTCTTTACCAGCTTCTAATATCGCGTAGCTCAACGGCGGATGGTAAGGGAAACGAGTGACAGTGAGTGGTCCTCCGACACCATGATAACCATAATCCATTTCATTCACTTGCATGTTGTCTTCACTCTTCATGAAATAAGGAAGGACATCCCGATAGGACCAGCCAGGATTACCCATTTTTGCCCAATCATCGAAATCCTTTCTAGAACCTCTCATGTACATCATTCCATTCATGACACTCGTACCGCCCAGTACCTGTGGTATAAAATTGATTAAAACAGTTAATTAAATTTGTTAATTTGGAAATTTCTGGATAAGAATTTATTCGATTTCAGGATCTGATTTCTATCATTTATTATTAAAAGGATGTCAATAGCTTCAAAGCGTGGGTATTCACTACCGTAATGCGACACGATTTCACTAACTGCTGTGAAAACGAATCAGACAAAATTTCTTCTTTGACCTTTTGAATCTGATACTTGTCTTTTTAATGCTTTAAAGATAAAAAAATTAAAAAGTAAACCCGTATATTTGTAGTGACGCGAAATGAGTCCTTTTTACAAGCAAAAGCAGATTTTTCATTTCTTAACGCGTTTTTTATGGACTATGAAAAAGATAATCAAAGAAGAAGTAATTCCATTTATATTCTTTCTTTCGGGCAAACATATAATTAGCAACCATAAGGAAAAACTTTGGCAAAGTCATGTATACCTTTCCTCTAGGCCAATAACAACGTTTATCTTCCTTATTAAGGCAGGCTTCATCTTCACTCTCTGTTGTGTATTGCCAATCGATATCACTGCCAATAAAATTGAAGAAGAATGACGGAATCTGCGTTCCTGTTGGTTCGTCTAATCCGGCTTCCAGTAACAATACAGAGAATTTTTCTTCCTCGGATAATCTCGAAGCGAGTGTCGCTCCCGCACTGCCACCGCCAATTACGACAAAATCGTATCTAAAGAATTGACAAACAAAAGCAATTTTTAATGTACGGTTCTTGTCAGAACGTCCATTTGTTCACGGACCTCTGTGTTACTCTTTTTAAGTCGTACGTTGCAATAGTTTATCGTACGTCGTTATTCAAGTTCTTTGAATCGAGAAAAACAAACTACAAAAATCTTTTCACGTCATTCACGTCCATGACTATCTATTATCTCACGTGTCAGTAACTGGGTCAGCAGAGCGCAAGGGATTTCATTCATTGGACTTTGGCGAAAGGTGTTTTGTACTGGGAACGTATACAGTTTACTGTACAGTTAGACTTACGGTTTGAACTGTCGTATCTATTAGATTATTCGCACAGTCATTTAGTTTGTGTCGCTAAAAAAATACATAACTGGTATACGTACCCGTATGGCTCCAACTAGTTACACTGATATTTTATTCTTAGAAAATACCAGTTTTATTTTATTTAGCATTCAATCTCTCTTATATCATAACGCCGTCTCATCACAATCTGATAGCTCGTAGGATTATTTACAATCCCTTAACTGTTCAGTATATGTATATTCTTCATATGATCGTACATTTTTCATTTGATATTTCATTATTTTGTATTTATTCTGGAAATATTTTTCTAATAATGTTACCCGCAACTGCCGAGCGCTTCTCCTAATTGGTTCACTAAGGATAGACAAAACAAAATGCGGCAATGCCATTGGACCGCCCTATTACCAACCAAGGTTATATATTCGGTGCCACCATGACAAAGAATTCAGTTGATCGGGCGAGCATCCACTGAATTGATGCAGTTGCAGAAACGAAAAATAGGATTTGTTAAGTTTGTCACAGAATGTACATCATATCGGTGAATGCATCACGTTTGTATGTAAATACGTGACACGCATGCGGGTTTTGAGATTTGCTGGACCATATCTCCATATTTCATAATGTAACGCGTAATGGAAGGTCGGACGATCGTAATAGAACGAAGCTTCATTTGTTTTGAGCTGTCGCAATAATGTATTAGCTAATGTCTGCAGTATATATCGTACATATATTTATATATTTGTGCTATCCTATATTTATGGGCGTTCAATTGGATAATGAAAGGACACGCAACGCTGTTACGGTACGTTAACTCCCAGAGTGATTTATTTTATCCTTTTCTCGACAGAAATTTCGTTTGAAATTTTTCATCTATTCAGAATGCATCAGAAACAATAGTATTGTGTAGTGATGCAAGTATCTTTCCTTTGAAATAGAATTACCAACTGTCAATGCAATTTGATCGATGACCGTCTAATGTTGAATAGGGATGTTTGATCTCTTTTCCAAGAATCGAATAATTCTTCGATTACACATACTTTATAATTACTGTGATTACGTTCATATAGCTGTCAGTTATTTGGCCGTGACATATGTATTCTTGAGAAGATGTGAAAATCTTACAAGCACTTGCAGGATCTGCTTATTAGAAGCAATGACGTATCAATGTAAAATTATTAACCAGTAAATATCTAATATGAGATTCGTGCACATAAATAAGTCCAGTGAATTGATAGGAGGTTAGCAAAAATTCTTATATTCACGGGTGGGTGTAAAACATTTGCGATAGAAGTCTAAGAAAGGGAGGAGAAGGTGCTACAAGTAAGATAAAAAGGATTTGATTATCTGTCGTGGGCGTTGCTAATTTCTGATTTTCTTTCACTGATGAATCATTGGCGCGCAAATAGAGACCTGCACCGATTCGAGTTTATCAAGGATAAGCATTTTATTAAAATTTAAAGTCGCGTTGATGTGCAACTAACCTTGAGTTTATTCGATCTCGTGGAAGAGGTCGATTGCACGGATCCTCGAGGTCGCATTGGCTTCTTAGGAAGACTTCAAGAAGTCCCATAAAGAGCATAAACGAAGGCCCACCACATGTAGAAGCTAAAGTGGGCCCAGCAGTAGCTGTAAGTGGGCAGTTGCAACTCATCTATAACAACAATAACACAGTGCAATAAATTAATAAGAGAATTCCATGTTGTATGGTGTTTATATAGCTTTTTACTTAATATCTCCAATACGTAAAAAAAAATTATGCAAATGGGTACGAGATGAATAAAAAGATGCAATGTATTTATAATCCTAGATTTTCAATCCCCCCTCTCTGTCTCTCTCTCTCGCTCTTTCTCACTCTCCCGTGAGACTGAAAGTGTCACATTGAAAACAATTTCCAGAGCATAAACCGGAAAACGGCAATGCAGTTATGAGCTTTGAACTGTGGCAGATTGTAGCTAGGACGTAACGAATTTACAGCAGAGTCGTAAAGCATTTATCAAACGAAAAGCTGGTATCGTGTCAAAAGTGTCACAGTGTACTCACACAATGGTGACGTGCTTCAACAATTGTCAACAGTCCTGGACGTTTAGAGAGAAGGGAAAGGTGTCGACAGGAAAAACAAGCGAGTCGCATGATTCAAGAATTTAATGCTTTACGGGAGGAAGAGCAGCGCACCGTGCAGTACTTTATAACGAGCAAGCGTACGTGTATACGTATATATTGACGTACGTACTACATTATATATATGATATATCTTTATTTCTGTGTGTATATATATATATATATATATATATATATATATATATAATATCTAAAAACTTTGTGTATATTATGTATAAAATCATAGGTGGAGTCTCTTCACGGACTCTGAAGACGCTTTCTACAGGCTCTAAACTTATCTACTATTTTTTGCTTGTATAACAATTTTACGCGTTTCCTCTTCCTACCATAATCGGATTCCCTGCTGCCTATGACTACAGCTGCTTTATATTAAGGTACTCTCACAACAAGAAATGAATTCAGTTTCGCTTGCATTTGGTAACAAAAAATTGAGGTTTACCTCGTAACAGAGCGTAGGGGATGGTAAATTGAAGAACGAATGTTTTGATCTCCCAGTTAAGAATTCATGTAAATTTTATAATGTTCAAAAGACTGTTCGAGTTTCTATAATATTTTAATCGTATGACGTTTTATATCGCGGCATTTTTAATCAGTTAAAAAATTCTTACCTGAAAGTCAATTGAATTTCCCGCTACTCGCTGGTACATCTGAATTTGCTTATAATTGTCGATGGTCCTCCGTTTTAATTATTCTTACGTATCTTTATACGTATTTATATACACTACTTCGCGGCCGCCTTGTAATCCCGTTACGTTCACTGACCGAGGACCGCCACGGAGTTGCCGATTACGAAAGTCACGCAGTTTACAGTCTTTTTAAATTATGCTCGAATTGTACCGCGCTGAGTTCTCAAAGAATATTCGCAAAATGTAACGTCATTGTAGAAGCAATTTCCTGAGACTTGAAGCAATATAAAAAGAAACAGGGACGATACGTGGGTTATGGTATTTCGTATATTCGCAACAAGTCACGATAATTTTGCCGTTATTGTCTCTATAGCTAACGGTACGTTAAACAATCTTGTAAAAGGTAAAGCAAAAAGTGACGTCAACCGCCTCGCCCGAGTCGGCCATCTTCACTATAGGTATCTTCAAATGCAAATATCCTTGATTTCAATCATAATATTCACGTAACGATTACTATACGTCAGGCGTAAGAAAGGCACTACTAGAATTACCTGATTCGTGCTTGACATCGAATTCACGTAATCATCCATTATGGGATTATTGTAACGTGTGCATAAAAAAGTGACAACAAAAGTATACGAATTTTTCATGGGTCTTCTCTACGCATCTTTTAACTTTCAACTCTCACTTTAATTCTTTCTAACAGGCATCTTTGTTTAATCTTTCATTTAGCAGTGGCACCATTTCTTTTCTCGTGTCATTTTTTTTATGATCAATAGTGTCGACTGTCGAGAGCCGATTGCCAAATTCATCATATTAGTATAATGTTACGTCATTTTGATTCAACGTCATTTCATGGGTTATTTGATTGGAGACGAATGGACTAATTAATATCCTTTGAAAATATCGAAAAATCGATTTTTCTCGATTCACTCTCTAATCTTATTAAACGAAAAATAGTTAAACAAATTTTTTTAAACTTCTATACCGTCGACAACAGGAATAAAAATTACCTTGGAAAAAGAATATTTTTTACATAACTTTTCTGTTTCGAAATCATTGAAATTATGTTTTGGACTTTTTTTTCATAATTAAGATATTTATGTGTTGAGTCTCTAGTGCATCATCCTGTATCACTGTATTAGTGTCCATATGGGAAATGTATAATTTTTTTTTGTTTCAGTTAAATCCCACGGTTTAATCGACATTCGCGATCGCCATTCTCCCGCCATCGCTCATTCGGATTCTACGACGCGCAATGGTGCACCATAAATGCTCAAGATAATACAACAAGATTTAAATCACATACGTGAGTATATATGTATACTACTTTTGCGTATATATTTCCTCGTATACCACTAGAATTCCATCCAGAAATGTACCTTTTCAGAATATTGCCACATTCCACCTACATTGCTAACAACAAAGGTATACGTGCCATACGTATTGCCTGCAGTCCTTCCCAACGCCATAATAATACAAGAGCAACAGCAACGAGGAAACATGAGAATTCTTACTCATTCTTCTTCTTGGGTAAGCACTGTCGATCCTTTGTCAGTATTCGTATTGCTGATAATTGTTCTTAATACTAATCTCATGTGCATCTCATACGATCTCCTTGGCAGTGATTACATTCACATTCTTTTTTTGTTGGCCATCATGCGTTACGTTGCTCAACTTTTTTGGATGGTTGAAAGCAAAAACGTTGAGCAAAAACTTTTCAGTGTTTAGCAAAAAATGAAAGTGAGCAAGTAAAATTGCTGAGTAACATCTAAAAGACTGTAATTGCTGAAAGAGATTGGGTGAATTGATTAATACTGTTGGGCTTGGTACTTTTTCACTAAATTTACAGAAATCTTTTTCTTTCCTTTAAGGTAATTATTAGTGATTACTATTTGTTCTATTTTACTATACTTTTAGAACGTCGTGTAACCTTGACTTTGGTCTGTGATTAACAAAGTCTCTTTTTCTTTATAGCTTTCGCAATTGGGTGAAAAATAGAACGGAAAAAGTTAAGCAGATCAAAAGGGTCTTTGCCGTGCATTTACGTTTCAGATCTTTGTGGCGAGATAATTGGCTTACAGATAACGCGCAATGTTACCATCAGATTTTATCTGAATTACGTAAGTGAACATTGTGGTGATCTTTTTATTTTATTTCGTTCTGAATTAATGAATGTTGAAATTAAAATAATTTCGTCTTTGTCAAGCTTAGTAGTTGTTGGCACATGGAAACGGATCTATTGAATTTTTTTAGAGGGAATATGTCAAGGGAAAGGTGGAACCCCGTGAATCTTAATGCCAAGGCATTTATCGGAACCAGAACAAGTCCTACATGAAGTTGCATTCAATTTGTGTATGGTAAAAGGAAGGTATGAGGTATGCAATTTGAAATTTGTATATTTAAATGACAAGTATATTTTATGATAGTTATTCTATAAGTATATGTATATATTGTGTTATAATTGTGACATTAAGATGACCCCGATGTCGAAGGGTTTCAAAAACCTTTTATGCAACGAAAAAAGGGATAAGATAATTATTATATGTGTAGCATTGGGTATTTATTGACAAATTATTTCTACGGGGTTTATTAAATTTTTTTTATTTTTGGTAAAATTAGTATTCTTGACATTTATGAAATATCTTGATAGGATACAACATTTCTTTTGTAACTCTACCTAATCGTTTTCATTGCTATTTCTCAATTTTTCTTAATAAGCTTTAATTTCTATCGCTATTCAATGATACGATATATACAAGTTTGGAATAAGTTTTTATATGCTTCAATAGTTATTTACAATTTTAAATTCTGTGAGCATTCGCGAATTTGCATAATTTACTGCTCCTATTTTCAGTTGCGCAGAAATCCTTTCACTTTTTTCATTCGTCCGTTTGACTGTTCAGTACCTTTGAAAATGACGACTTGACGATCGTAATCTTTTTGTTTGTCACTCTTCGGTTTCACAAAATTTTATCGCATAATTTGTATTCAGTTCAAATCAAAATGTACTAAAAAAATTTAAATTTTGTCGCACGCATTTTAAATCCATTTAAAATGCGTGTTCCAGAAAAATAATTAATTCGCTATTACTGTTCATCCCTTATGAATGTACATTGTCATTGATATTCAAAGTAATCGACCGTTCAACCCACGTAGACCATGAACCTCGAAACAATTCCAAATAGGTCATCAGTCAAAATCAAATGTGATTGTTAACTTTCTTAACGTATAAAGTCAACACATTGCGATTTGCATATAAAATTTTCTGACCTTTCAATACCCGATTAAACTCTGACATTTATTATAGTCAATTAATAACAAATCCCCATAGACAGAAACCCATGTGTTATCGCAGATAATATTATGAACAAGATAATATATTTTTTCTTAATATTAAATTTATTTATTAAATTACACCAATACTTACTTTGAGTGCAATATTTTTTTTCTGCTTCTCTTATTCGTTTCTTTTGATTTTTATTCGCTTTCCAAAAATACTAACTTTCAATTAGTTAATCGTTCCCACACCGACTCCAATCCCAATGACCAAGTTTGCCAATTGATTCTCAGATAAACTCAAGAACGAGAATTGACTCCAAACTTCGAAAGACACACGGCACGATTGGTTGATCGTGAGTTTACAGTCCCACGAGCAGCAGCCGACTAGACTCCTGCCATTCCACATCGCCGTTGTAATATTCGACAAGTTCCACCTTCCACCACCTTTCCCAAGTCCTCCTGTGGTTACTCCTGACTACTCCACTTACCATTCCTCGAATCCACTACTATATCGACTCTTCTCCATACAGTACAACATTCCTTATGGAAATAAAGAGTTATTCTGCGAAAAACATTATTTTCTTTTATTCTTCTTACTTGCCTCATGTGAATTTTTGAACATCTTACATCATACGGGGTAGCTGTATTGTACTTGTATACAATGTCAAAAAATAGTAATGAACAACTGCAATACTTTTGTTGTATGATACATACTCGTTTTGTTTCTTCATTTTTACAAGTTCTTTGAACACAATATTTCACAATAACATTGCAGTTTTCAGAGCGAGTTGATATGCATAATATTAATTACGTTATACTTTGCTGTATGTATATGGGAGTTATATATAACTTTCTCGACTTTTATTTGAACTTGAGTGCCACTTGATAAACAACAGAGAATTTTTCTTATGTCTTTGCATGAGTTGTACCTGAGGTTTTTTAATTTTTCTTCAAATAATTTTAGATTTAAGTATTGGATGTATGCTGATATGTTTTATATGTTACAGCAAAATGATTTATCGGTAAAAATCGAACATGAAGTCAATGAATATTATCTATATCGGGACTTTTGGCAAAAATTGACCTTGCAACTGTTAATCGATCATTCGTGATACTTTTTACATATTTTTTGTCAACTTTTTAACTGTCGTTGAAGGACACGAAGTTTTTGCGCGTGCGCAAAAAGATTAGCAAAAACGATTATGATACAATTTGTTGTATTGAAGTAACGTAATTTGTGCGAAAATTCAGGCGAATTCTCGTGAATGATAAGAAGCTAGAAAAATAAAGGAAAAAAAATAGAGTGTCAAGTCTACGAAAATAGCCAAATCACGTTGCACGGTTCATTGACAGTGTTTCGAAAATATTTACTTAGTCCTTGGGTGGAGCAACGATTTCTATACAAATTGTCTTCACTAAAGCGACACAGTCATTGATCGAAAATCCGTGCCGACTGATCAGCAGTGCCGATTAGAAATTTAGTATCAATTTCTACGCAACATTGTTTCCCACTTGTGTCAAGGAATTTGGCTAATGAGAATAGCTTATTTGACACGACGTTTTGCTTACATTGTACAAAACACCTAATTGTTCACAGTTCGTGATCACTCCAATTTAAATTTTACTTTATCGAATTATCAACATCACTGAAATTGTATCATTGGCTACAGTCTCCTCTCGTACGAAATGGACCAATCGCGTTACTTTTTTAAAAAGTCGTACGCCATTGGTTAAGCTCATTTAAATTCCAGATTCTATACATACGTAACAGACAAAAAATATATATAATTGAATTTAAAAATTTTCTCCAGGGATCAGTCAGCTTATTAGCAACCTTGAGAATTGGTAGTCATGTAATAATTGATAGTTTTTTTCTTTTCATAAGGAACCGTCAATCACAAAACAGTTACGTGATGTGACACGCGAACTATTTCAACTGGGAACGACAGTAATTGGACGTTTCGTTTCTGGTGTTTTTTATTTAATGATTATACGCGGTGAAGCGTGATTCCGAAAACCAAGGAAACGCGTTATCTTATAATGACCATGTCCTACAGTCATCGTTCTTTCGTATGCTGTGCTAACAGTTAATTTCTATACTAACGATGTGAATGTCATAGCTGTATTTTACAACGCCAAATGGTCTCCTTCTTCTCGGGACCTTCACCTTTACGTGGACGGATGCGCGTTCTTATCAAATTTTTCGATCTATCGACAGGTCAAGGTACTAGGATGTTCTGTGACATTTTTATTGTAGCTCTATACATTCTATAATCAATGATAAAATTTTTTTCAAAAAAAGATCTTAAGAGTGAAGCAAATATATTTTTTGGATATGTCCAATATAGATTGGCTTATGCTGTTACAGATTGCGTGGTTCTTCGGCAGAATCCAGTAGGACTGGTTGGAAGTACATTTTTTTTTTCAGTTTCGCGTTGATTTTTGTTCGGGCAATTGTTTTTTTATTTACAAGCCTTTTACTTTGATGGCCTTGTTTTTTTTACTGTTCTTAAACGTTCCGTGAGAAAAGTGCTTGCGAATTTATCGACTGGTACCCATTTCCTTAATAACAATTGACCGTATTTGCAAAACCGGATTTTCTACAGATAGTATTTCGATATGAAGTTCATAGGTACGAGATATATTTGTGGAATGTATGTTGTTCAAACTATCCGTGCATGCACTAACCATCCTGTTGCTAAACACGGCGGAAATTCATAATGAATCTTTGCAATTTCCCTTGGTTTTCGAACACTGTACAAGTAAAAATAGAAATATGATTTACGATTAGAATTTGATGAGGATTCTGCGATTTCTTTTTTTTTGGAGTTTATGTAGAGGAAAACATGTTTCAAATTTCAAAACCCAATCTTTCGTCATTTAAGTCATTAGTAAATATAATAAGATAGTTGAGCATGCGATCGAGTTGGTAATATATTACCACGTTGTTGTATCAAGTGTATGGTTAACAAGAAGTTTTTGAAGTACCTGTACTTCTCTTGGAATTGATTAATATTCAAGATTTTTATTATATGAATTATTTGTGTATATCATTATCCACTTATTCTTTTTTTTCTTGTTTTTCTTTGTATCGTTCATCTTGTTCACTTTTTTCCTCGTTCACGTCGTACTCCTCTTCTTCGTACTGTTCGTTAGTATAATCGATATCGCCGTTTTGAAAACTTTGAATTTTTGAAACTGGATTTGAGGACCTTGTCACAAATTGCGAAAATCGATTGTCCTATCAATGAAATTGATAAAAATAAATATTTTCATTAAACATTCTCATCTTTAATCAATCAATACGTACCTTATCAATTTCTGTATAGTCCACTATACTTTCTTCGTCCTCGTAATCATTATTCTTCTGTTCACTTTTCGAATTTGGCATTTCTTCTATCGTCATGTTATCATTTGACGAACGCGGCACAACGTAATTCCCAAAGAGTCTTTTAAGTTCCACATTGTTCGCTACATTATATACGGTTTTCAAATTATTCGGAAAATCTGCATAACCTCCGTACTTTTCATCTTTAAATATATTTTTCGTCTGGTCTCTTGTGACCGTTGTTGTTTCACTGTTGATTGCATCATTTTTATTGTCATTCAAATGGTTTTTCAAGAATTCAGGATTCGAACGCATTGTGAATATATGATTACTGTTATTCTTCAATCGAGAAGAGTCCCTTGTCGGGACATCCATGTAATCTGTATTCTTTTGAAAATATGGATTTTCAAAATATTGATTTTCAAAATAATTCTTATAATTCTCATTGGCGATCTCATCGTTTGACGAACGTTCGTTTTCATTATTTTTCAAAAATTTCAACAAAGTATCGTCAGTTGGAATGGTGGTAACAATATTTTTAGAGATTTCCGTTAGTCTCTCAACATGTCTATTCTGAGGAATATTTCTTAAAGTTTCTGGATACTCATCAGTTAAATAATCTGAAGGCTGTCGTTGAAAAGTATTATTTGGAACTGTCGAGGATTCAATGTCTGATAAATAATCATTGGCTATTTTAGTTTCTTCAGTTGGGAGTGACTCGGTACTTTTTGTAAATTCTTGACCGTTCCTCTGTACGTAATCATCTCTATGGAAAATATAAGAACGATCAATGTCGCTCATTCGATTCTCACTGATGTCTTTATAACTTTTCGGATGTGACGTCACGACAGCTTTACGATCCTGTGAAACTTTTTGTCTCTCGGGAAATTTCCAGGACAAATACCGGTCTGATATTTTGGGGTTATTTTCTGGTAGAATTTTATCGGGTAATCTATATTCCGATTCTTTCCAGGTATTCAATTGATGATTCTGTAAAGAGAAATTATATTTGCGATTTTTTGCAAAATAAAAAATTTCAAATTATAACTATATTGCCTACTCTTTTAAGATCTTGCCGTTCTAATGATCCTTGGTACTCTTGTGGTAGGACTTGTAGACCCATCCTCTGCATATCTCCCATACTAATGTCTGTATTCTCCAAAATTTGTTTATTTAGGAATGCATTGTATGGTCGGATCATTTGTGGATTATCCATTTTTTCGTAATTGACGGAAGGACGAGGATATCTGTCGAAGGGATTCATTTCAAAAGGATTTCGTGACAAGGAATATGTTGTCAGTGCTTGTTCCTTTTTGTCTACAGGAATTTGAGGTTCGTAGCCAAGCAAAGACATGTAGCGGGAAGCAATAGGATTTTGATCATTAAAAAGAGGTTCATAAGGAAAAGACGTATATTTTGGGACTACTAAATTTCGAGAATTTCGACTCAAATGATCCTGAATTAATTTAGGGTGAATGAAGTATTGATTGTTTTCAGGTTTCAAATTGTTCGCTGGGCCTTCGTAATATCCAAAATTGAAAGGATATTTATTGTAAGGTATTTTCGATTTTACTGCCATATTCATGTCATTGAAATCGGGATATTTCGAAAATGTCCATTGCGGATTTGAATTTTTTGTTCTAGCACGGGGTAAATAGGAAGCAAGTTGTTGAGCAGTCCAAAAATTTTGAAAATCATTTCTCACCAAATTTTGTGGATAATCGGAAGACAAATGAGAGAATGGATACTCAGAAATTTGATAAGATTCCGTGAATGGTGGAATTTCCTGAAGATCATTTCTATAAACGTTATACACAATGGTACCAGGAGAATCTACATTTCTGGTTGGATTTGAGTAATAATCAAGTTCGTTTGCAATTGGCGTTTGCACGTATGGATCGTTGATAGAATTTTCAAAGCTACGATAAGGATCATCCGACAGATTTTGATTAACCGTCAAGTAAGGATAATCCAAATCCGAAAGAAATTGTGGAACGTTCGTTAAATTTGTTTCCACTTCCGGTTCCTGTTGATGACTAACAACACCGCGATATGGTTGACCTAGATCTTTTGGACTGTCTGTAGGCTTTTCAAAATAGCTATTCTCTCCCACAAGAAATTCGTTAGACAATTTTGAATCGGATTTTTCAAATTTCATTGTCGGTAAGTCATTTTTGTTCTGCCAAGTGGTGATGGTAGTGGCGATGGTTGGCAACTTTTGAGGATAAATGACAGAATTTTCAGATGACACTTGACTAAGTGAATTGTTATGAATAATACGATCAGATGGAATCTCGTGCTTCATCCACCATGCAGAGTTCGAAGGTGTGGCAGCTGTGGTGGTTGTCGTAGTTGACAGACGTGCGTTTCTGAAGACACTATGAAAGTTTTGATTATATTTCACCACGTTTTCGGGAAAATTCGCTAAAAATCGTTCAGATTCGTTTTTGCGTTTCGATGAAAAACTATAGTAATCTGGTACCTGAAATTCAAATGAAATTAATACAATGCAAGATGGCGAATTCAAAAAAAAAATTTTTTAATTCTCACCGTACTGGAGGAGCGCTCTTTTTCGTTATTTTTTCTAATTAAATTCTCATTAGATCGTTCCTTTACCCTTTCTAATGTAGGAAAAACTGTTAATCCCTCGTTCTCCATGTCCGCCTTTCTCGAGTCGGGATCATAGAAATGATGAGAGTCCAAAATTTGGTATCTAGGCTTTGGCAGCCATTCTTGAAATTCAGGATTTTCATGCGTTAACGATCGAACTTCTTCCAACCAAGTTTCAAAAATTGGAGGACCAAGAAGTTCTTTAACGGATTTCAACCATTCTTCGAATTGCTAAAAATTGTCATAAACGCACATCAGTTAAAAAAAATCTTAATGCATATTCTGGTGTCAAAATAACTGCATCCGCCTATAACAAAATTAACGTACCGGATAATGCTTTCTTTTTTGTGCATTTTTCACCCATTGTTCGATTGCATCAATTCCAGTTTTTAATTTCAGATGACTCAACCATGACGACAGAGACGTCGACGTCGGACTTTGCAAAATGCCAGATGACAACGGAGTCATTGACGTCGGTTTTATCGTCGTAACGACGGAATTCGGTTCATTGTAAACAAGATTTTCTCCATCGACTCTGAAAACGTGGATTCAATCATTTTTATCAAAATATTGTAAATGTTTTAAATCCAATCAAGATATATCGCCTGTGCATAAAAATAATTAACGCAAATTTTATTAAAAATATCGCTTGTATAGAAAATATATCACCCCATCGCCGTCTTAGTTGATACAGTAGAGATGACGTCATTCAATTGGTTCGATTCCCGATAGATCCCAAAGTTGTCACGTTGTTGCAAGGTATTACGTAAATCAGTATATCTCTAAAAAAATCCTCAATCATGCCCATTATAAACAATATGAATTACCTCATAGACATCGAACGATCGCTATTTAATTACCATTCTCGGTGCGTTTGTTGTTGCTCCAATAGTCGCCGACGTCGATGACAATGGTTTCCCTTTATTCCGATCCCGCTGAATAAACTCTCGTTCCAATTGCGTCAAGGTCTTTCGATTTTTCGTTTCCCCGTTCTAACAAAATATATACATGTTTATTATAGACTATTGCACCACCCGAAGATGTCCATCATGACTTCCATTTATTTCCCATGATATAACCATCTTCGGTCTGTGTAGCAGTCTTGAAAGGCCTTATACGTATTAAATTCTTGATCTCATAAAACTTTTCATGAAACCATAACAGTTTAGTATCAATTAAATTTTCTACCCGAGCACTGCTAGGCGGCGTTGGAATTACGGTAACTGGCTGATACTTGGCTGGCTTCCAGGACGAAGTCCCACTATTCGCTGGCTGATTCTCTGGCAGGAGCAAAGGACCATGACAGGATCGTATTATTTTGCAACTTTCAAGCTTGCAAGGTTCCTTTATATGTGCCGAACATTTTTGCCCTCGAGGACATACCCAGCCTCTGCAATACTCGTTACCAGATCCTTCCTTCTCCGTATCTGTATAAACGACACTGCATTTGTGACCTTTGACCATTTTTCACAGGATATACTTGGCTCCTGTGTCTACGAAGCTCGAAAAAAGAAAAACCAGCATACACAGTACAGTATAAATTACCATCTGTGCTTGAACAGTCAGGCGTGTGCTTGCATGGCGATGGAGAGCATTTTTCAAATGGTTTCCTCAAGAAGCACTCATGTTCGGAAGGACATCCTCGATTTTTACACAGGTCGAACCATATCTGCACGTCTATTGTTTACGAGGAGATGAAAAAAATAATTTATCCGATCCGAAGTAGATTTAATGAAAAATTAATATTTCCGACCTTTGAACTTTGCACAGCTTTTCAGCAATTTACATGGTGGTCGTGCGCAGAGCGATTCGCGCAGGATGCACTGATGTCCTTCGGGACATCTAAAATCAGCGCAGGACGTTGCACCTTCGTAATACTCGCGTTCTGAGACGCACCTGGCTATTTGTTGTCTGCATTCTAGAAAATGGCAGATAATACTTTATCTTAGGCAGATTGTTATTATGGATTTAAAAAATATATATGTACTTTGATCCCAGCGACAATGACGCGCTCGTACAAGGCATACGTATCCCTTGCTACAACGTACAGACTCGCAGCTCGATGGACCCTTTAGGGATTCTGTAATGTTATAGTATAGCGGGATAAAAATTATTGATGAATTTTATAAAATTTTTTATTTTTAACTCTTACCTTTTCTCGATTTCGAACAGTACAGCATACTTGGACAGGGTGGATTTTTGCACCAAAATTTTCGATTCACACACTGATCTCCTTTTGCACATCTCAAGTATGAACATCCTCTGGGATATTCGTCACCTATTTTAAAAATTTTCCTTACTCCTTTTTACACGCAATAATTTTAATATTTACTTTTTCAACAAAAATACACTCACCGTTTTGATATGCAGTTTTTACAAGGACTGGATTAGCCCCCAGAAAAAGTAATGATAATAAAATCAAGGTAAAATAAATAATGATAAATTTTCTGGCCATTTTTGAAAAATCGTTATTATTAATGATATCAATCCTGTTCGCGACTTGACGACTTGTACGAAGTGTAACGCAAGTGTCGGCTTGGCTTCTGTTGGTACGTCGATGCGTAAAACGTAAATCATTCCACAGCGCAGGTAGTAACGAGAGACAAAACACAGGACGTGGATCGTATAAACAGACTCCAGTTTATTATATTACGCTATATCGACGATTGTCAGATATAATAAAATTGCGATTGATATCACTGTATTTAATGAAAATGCTATGTTGATCGAGTGCAAAAAGAAAATTTTTCTTCATCAATAAGACATGCATTGATTTCATAAAATTGTATAAAAAGTTATAAATTAACGTATCGTCATTTACCTGCGCATTATGATTTATTTCTTGTGTTGTGAAATTATGATACATCATTCTCCTTTGCTATGCTGTTACGTTACCGATACACTATATAGATATTATTAAAGTAGACTTTTGCACAGCCTGCGACGACAATAAAACTCTTACGCTCTAAGTGATTCATACGCTTAATTTACAAAAAATTATCGTTAATAATAAAGTAAAAAAAGAAAAGTCTTAGCGATAACATTATTTACCGTGATAAATAATGTTCCTTGCGAATAGCAACGTTATTACGGAATATAAACAGATAATTATAACTTGTCGAATCGTACGCGATTTCCATCGAGATAGACTTAATATAGACGAACCAAGCTATAGGAAACAAATAACCGAAGGATAATAATTAATTTAATCAAATGAATAATCATAGCCCATTCAATGTATAATAAGCACGTGATCGGTATGCTACGATAAAATTTAAGTGAATCTGTAAAATTCTTTAAATCATATATAGATTCACGTTACGTATGGCATGTGCGAAAATTATACAGAGTTGCCAACGATTATCATCACAGGGCCAAAATGTACATTTTTACTTTATGTATATAAAAAAATTAATATCTCAGTGAATTAACTTATGAATTGATCATACACCTATTAAATTAACATTATTTACATTCTCATAGAATTTCAACAGTACACGTCAAATACAGGAGTGACGTGTCTTTTGAAGTTAAAAAACAATTCTTCATTTTCCATCTACAAGAGAAAACGAATTCCCAGAGTATCAAAAGCTCGCAATCAATAGACTGAAGTACACCCACTTGTTATTCGTTCCACAAAAAATTCCTACTCAAACTAGAAAGACTCATAGAAGTGTATCCATGAAAAATGAAGAGTACGAATAATCAACCTAATAAATTTAAGTACCACTCTTAACACGAAGTTGAAGTAAACCCGCAAGGGCACTAGTGAACCCAGCATTATAATCCAGGGTTACCTCCGTATAGACGTAATCCTCGCGATGATCATGATACTTATCAGCTTCATCAGGGCCTGAGACAAGGGCCCCATAAAGGATCTGAGGATTTGGTCCCTTCCTATCGAATTCGGGCCAGCCACAGGGTGCAGGTAGATCCGGACAAGAAGACGCAGCGTGATGTGGCTGCACAGGAGGATTATGACCCCATCCGACAACGAAGCTTCTTCCTGATTGCGATAAGGATTACGTCTTACATATTTATACATACCTGTATACTCCAGGCCATACCAGATAATTTATCAAGATAATACACACCTCCTCCGCCGAGCATATAGTGTATCTGTTCCTGGGCAAATTCACGATAAGCTTGCGAATCACCGACTTGTGGTGAATCAGCAGCCTCGAGACAGAGAAAGGCGACGTTCGCAGCGTGACAGAGTGTACCGAATTTGTCAATGTAAAGAAGACCTTTGGGAGTTCTCTTCTGTTGCCAGACAGTAAAGTCACAGAATGCACGTGCAGCATTTTGGTATTCCGGTTGCCCAGTCATTTGCGCCAGAAGTACCTATCGAGTGAAAAAAAAAGTTATTAAAAGCATGACCAAAAATTATGGTTATTAATTATTTTTCTAAATTTTACTTCTCCCATATGTCTATACTCACTTGTACGCCAGCGACTTTTTTATTGTAAAAGAACTCATTGGGTCTTTCCTTCAAATGGAAATGTTGGTAATGATGCTCAGCGTCTTCCAAGTACCTCGTGTCATTGGTAGCCTTGAACAACCATGTTGCAGCCCATGCAAGTTCATCTCCGTAATCAGTACTTTCGTAATACTGTGCTGCGCCTCTGATGGCCTCGTGGTAAAGTCCACGATAAGTATTCGCAAACTTGTACAACTCTTTAGCGTGACGTGTACAGAGTCTACTGTACTCCAAGTCAGAGTCCCTGAAGACGATGCTGGATGCTGCCAATGCAGCTGCAGTCTCACCCGCGAGATCAGAACCTTCATACAAAATCAAATTTTATGTTATGTAACGATCTTTTGTAAGATGCATTTTTTTAATGACAAAATATCTTCTATTCACTTCTGTCAAATATTATATAAGTAGCAGGTAGGCAATTCAAGTTAACCTCATCATAAGCTCGATAGCATAAGGGATCAAAGATCGTAGATAAATTGAATACCGATAGGTCATATATGTACACCTGTATATTAAATACCTAATTTTTATCATAAAGAGAATTGGAGATCAAAAGCTACTTTAGGGTCATGGGAAAGATCATTGACTTTTACGGGAAGAGCAATAATGCCTGTAAGAGCCCTTATCAATACCGTCTATCGATCCGCCTATAGCAGGTACCTACAAGCATGGAATAGCCAGACTTTCCGTCAAGTCATTGGTTCGTTTAAACTTGCTTATTGATACTAAGTGTTCAGATGCAGATACGCTCTCGAAAATGACGTGTTAAAATTTTTTAAAAAGATTCAGATAGATATAGTGCATTATACAGAGGAGGGTCTATCGTTCAACATGATCTTGACCCAGTGGCCGATTCCATTACCTTCCTTACCAGTGTATAAGTTCGACCTGAAAACATGACGAGCGACCAACCAGTTATTGTATTATATTATATCCAATTAAGCGAAGACAGGAAAAATTAAATTAGTTCGTACGTACATGCTCGTTCATAAGAAAGCAAATGATTATATAGGTATACTGTTACTAATGCTACTACTGACCAGGATGCTCTGGATCGATCTTGTAAGATGGTCTGGTTGTATTCAGTTCTTCAGGTCGTCCCCAGAAGGTATGGTCCAAGGAGAAATCACCGACCTGACCGTAGAAAACAAATTCGCTGACGTGACACTTCATGAAGTAATCAGTAGCCCATTTTATGGCTCTACGAAGCTCTTCGAGTTGTCCAGCAGCAGCGTAGGCTTCCGGCCAGCTGACGGCGCCCCAGGCTAGCAGCGTCGTCGTCGAGGCCATCGTGAAGCCGAATTTAACAAAATCGCCAGCTGTCACATTAATTTAAAAAAAGAGTATAATATAATAAAATTAGCATTTTATCGTGTATCAAAATTATTTTATTTAGTCATATACGTAAATCGCACCATCGTAATAACCACCGGTGAGGTCTTCGCCATTGAGGCCTCGGTCGTTCATCCCAGAATCACCACGCCATGATATTCTGTTATCATCGGTAAGTTTTCCAGAGCGCTGTGCCTCGTAGAAGAGTAACGAAAGTTTTAAAACGTTAGCATAGTCACTTTCGTCTTCTATTGGTTTCACGTACAATGGAGGAGATGATTGAATTTGATCGATGAGAAGACAGACGGTGATCGCTCTGATCTAAAGGATTATATTAAAAAATATTTAAAAAAAAGTGATACCAACAATTTTTATTTTAACTATATCAAATTATATGGAATATATTATTAAAACTGTATTAATCGTCAGGGCACTCGTGACAATTGTCATAATGATTTATCATAGAATAAGAGTCATTATCAATATTAGGGTCTTATTGATATTCATGGTATATCAGAGTCTGCTATGCGATTGTATTATTGATTCGTGATTGATGACGCAATGGCAAGATTTGCAATTAAATATTCACGATATATATTACCAATCTATTGTATATTCTTATAGCATTGCTTGTTATATACATTGCTGATACCAAGAAGGTCGATATCGATGGTTTGGCACTTTCGTGCATTTCTCAGAACTCATATGTTGATATCTTATTTAAGCGACGACCTACCTGCACTGACTTTATTAAAATTGCACTGTAAAAGACAATACAATTTGAACAGCATTATACGGCACTGGAAAACGAAGTATCGTTGACCTGATTTAAATAATTCCTCGACTCGTTAAATCCTTGAGTCGATACTCTCAACTTCGTTACAGTCACGTACAAATTAATGGATCGATCGCCATGTCAATCCTTTCACTAGTTACGTCAACCACAGTGCATATTGACATTTAAGATTAACACTTCAACTAAATACAGTGCATAGACCCGTATCAGAATGTAATGTAATTGTCTAATAAATAAAAATTATTCATATATCAATTTCATCTACCATGTTCTTTCTGGACTTATTCTGCGTGATAAATCTATAGGACACGTACGGTGCGTATCCATACGTAGTCACAAGATACACTGTAGGCATACGTGACAGTGTTGTAAAAGACAAAAGACGTTGCTTTAGGAACTCCGAAGGAATTAAAGTTTCGTGAAAAAGTGCCTTACTGGTTTGACACAAAAATCAGATATTCAATATATATAACGAGTATAGCAATGCGAAAAGATAAGTAGATACCTAACTTAAAGCAAGTTAAAGCGGCGCCTATGCATATGTTAACCCAGACGACATTGTTATGATATTATGCGCATGCGCTGTTCTAACATCGTTGTAGTTGCCGCATCGAATACCAGAGTTTCCATCTTTACCTATGCATATGCCAGGTGCACGACTGTATATTCGATCTTAAAGTACAAATCATATCTATTCCTTGTTATTTTAATTTAATTGAATAATGCAATCCCGAGCAATGCATTGATTTTATTCATAAATAATCGTTACTGGTAATCCACGTGTTATCTTATAAATATTTCTATCATTTATTTCCTATTGTCTTATTTCACTTACGGATACTTCGATTCTCGCGGGTATTATTACTCATTGCGTTATCCTACTGTTAGACTTTCTCGACAGGTGCATCTGCGACGTGTGCACTTTGCACGAAGCTGCACCTGAGCCAAGTGCACCATGGAAACTATAGGGACATGGGAATATCATAAGCTGTTATTTGCCATGGGTATTGGCATTTGTCATACAGAAGTATTATATGGCCGACGAACTCTCGTCGGTATACCTGCCAGTGCTAAGGTATCTTCTTGGAACGCAACAGACTGTACCAGTATGGCGGACGTGAGAGTCAAGAAATAATTTCTTTAATCCTCATTGAAATGCTAAAATATTATATGGCGTCTGGTATTCATTACAATATAGTTTAAAGTGTATTATATATATATTTTTGTATCATGGTTTTGATATTAAAAAAAAATGTTTCCATCAAAACCATCAAGGTGTTCTGCGAATGCGAAGAGACGTGCGTGATGTTAATGCACCTACGTGCAAGAGATGGGGACCGGAAGTCGATGTCCCGCTGCTACTTCCGGCCGCGGGGACCACCCCAGTGTCGTAAATGTTCGAGTTCGCCAAGTTGATTGAAGAAAAATTTTACTTTATATTGATACACGTTCATTTTTATTTACGATTATTTCATATTATATGAAATTCTCATAATTTCTCATTGCCTCGATTTCTTACGAGACTAACAGTTACAGACATTTTTTAATAATGTTTATTTTTTAGCATCTATTGCCTATGCGTTGCTTAATTAATTTATATTATGGTTTTTACTATTCTTTTGCCCATACCGTCGTCTTATCTTATCTATGACTAGGCTGACTAATTAATGCACTGAGAGTTATCAGTGTTACTCCTAACCATACAAAATTTATAATCATTATTAGCATTTGTTAGGATATTTTTTTTCATACTACACGAAGAGTCTCCGAAACAGCACAGTAAAATAAATATCATCTCAAATTACTTTTCTCTTATATATGTTTCAATACGTACCAATATATCTTGAGTGATCAAAGTTCGCATACAATCATTGACAATCACCATCATCATTAATCCCAACAACTTATATCATCAGATCTCAAGTTATCCCATAATCACAATGCCAAGCATGATGATAAGTATCATGATAATTAAGGAGAGAAAGAATTAACCAGTTACGTCACTGTTCCTTCGAGTATATTTATCTTTAGGAATAAGACTATTTTTCAAAACGCCTTTTCACTGTAACATCCTTGTACAAAGGATATCCTTAGAATATCTCAAATCGTAAAGGTCGAGTTTCTAAGAAATAGTTTTTCAAATTAAACGGGATATATGTATTTAGATACTAATTATCAGATATTTGGCTAATGATCTATAGACGTTTTATATACAGGAGACACGTGCTGACACAAATTCAAGCAAAATGACGTAACTTGTACAACCAAGCAAAAATGTTATTTCCGTCTGTCCATGACTTACCGCAAAATACGTCATCAAGCCTCTCGTAGTCATTCTTCTGGTTTTTCAGGCAGCTCGTATTCCCTGAATATACTTTGGTTATGCTAATTCCAAGAGTAAGTGTCACAACCCCCGTGGTACTTCGGATTTTCACGTTTTTCAACATACATTTCCTCGGCAGCGATGCATCTTTTAGTACAAGAAAGAAAGAAAAAAAAACAATTTTTTACACCTCCCGGAAATTATGTCCACGATTCAAAATTGAAATCGACTATCTTCAAATCTGTTATTTTACTTTGTAATGATTGTATTTAGGCAGCATTTATTTTTTTGTGATTTCCAATTATAGCTTCGTTATAAAATTTGTCAACTATTTAAGCACCAGCAATTATCTAGGGTACTTCGTAAAGACAGCTGTTTTGAGTATAGTGCAATTTCTAGTGATATCATTGAGTGGATGACTGAGAATTCTTTAGAGAACAATATTGGAATAGTACCAGAAATCAAAAACGAACTTGTTATTCAAATTGCTTCTTTTTAACAGACTATATATTAGTCTGTTCTGATGCCAATGCCTATTAGTATAGAAATGAAAGTTCAAAAAGATTGTTAAATCATATGCTTCAGTGTACAATAGTCATACTGTGAAATATATCAATAGAAGATAAAGAATGAACACTTATTTATTTAAAAATATCAATAAATAATAGAAATTGATAAAAATAATGAATTATTAACGAATAGTATATGTACGTAATCTTACTCGCTCAATGATAACCAGACTCTTGATTATTTTTATTAAAATATAATTTGGTCCGATAAATTTGTTATAGATTAAAGAAACTCTTGTAATTAAATAACACAGAAAATCACTTGCACTTTCACTTAACACTGACTTATTGTTATAGATGTGGGAGATACTTCTTATAGAATCAAGAAAGATACGTTATTAGCTAAAGCACTAGATGGAGGTACTAGATGTACCTAAAGAAGAGGTGCGACAGGAGTCATCAGTAAATGATGGTTATTCCAATAGCAAAAGATTTGATCAATGGCTACCGTTAAGTGATACTGATTCAGATTGCTCGGTAAGTAATTTTCTAATTTTCTCGAAAAATTTATTGTAGCCTGGAGGGACTTTACTGACTAACTGAGTGAAGCTACGGTATCGAGTGACTGACTGACTGACTGACTTGTCAGTGTAGGTCCACAAGCGTGCTGGATTCACTCACTCACTCACTCCCTGACTCGAAGTGGGGATGAATTTTCTTACGCGAGAGTACCTTCCTTATTACAATTATTAATCGATCAGATTTTGCATTATTGCATCAATCAGGTACACATCTGACAATGAGTACCTAACAAACTTTATTAATAGTTTATATTCAGAATAATCGTCCAGGTGATCATGTAGTTTTATGACCTATGCATTTTTTATTTAGACCATTTTTTATGGGGATTTTAGGTTTCTAATATATTATTTTAGCATCGTATGACTTGACAAAATATTCCCTGAAGTCCAAAACTATATATAGGTATTATATGGCGTTTCTAAAAATACATGCAGCTTGCACAAGAATCGAGGTGTCTTTACAGAAGTAAATTTTGAAAATAATCATATTACAATAACAACTAATGATACTGATGATTATCGGTATTCACGGATATGAGTGTACGTGAAATGTAAGAATTGCATATTTTTGTATAGAAGTTTCAAACCACTCTAGGGTTAATGTCCCAAGGAAAATTTACTGCAGAATTCACCCAATTGCGCATGCGCAATCGTGCATGACTATTGTTAGCCGGAAATGCTTCTTGCAACGAATTGAAATAATTGCGACTTTGAATCGTAAGAAATGCAAGCGCGCATACGCGAGTAACATATATCTTTAAAAATAGTTTCTCACAATCTCCATTCTCTAAATGTTGCTTTCACTTGACACGTATCGTGACGTGCGGACGAAACTACTTGTTTTCTTCTCTTTCTTCTTTTTTCTCTTACATGTCTTGTTTTTTTTCGCCTTTGCCTTCGTTCTACTTAATTATACGTCATTGTGGCGCTTGACTGTATCCGCCGTACCAATTGATAATAAAATCACGATTTTCACTAATCCACAGGCCTTTTTTTTCTAAAATCATTTTTAAATAAATTCAATTAATTCTATCATTTTTTATGATTACTAATGTTACATTTTGTCATTACTCATAATTTAATTTAGATTATAATGTACATTGCTCTTCCCCGTGTCCTGTTAGTATTTATAGGTAAGATACATAAAATTTAGGATGACTTTTGGTTACCTTTGTACATTCTTTTTTTTTATGAAATTAAGCAAATAAGATGAAACAAATATGGGTATTACAAAGATCAGCCTAAAAATAATTATTTTGAAAAATGGAATTGGTTTCGATTTTTTAAAATTATTTTATTTGTACAGAAAAAGAGATCACTCCAGTACGAAGGATCGTGTGTATAAATATAGATTTGCTTCTTTGACAAAATTCAAATATAACCAATGAATTCGAATGATGGGTATAGATACACAAAATATTTTGATAATCCTTCGTTCAACGTAAATGCAATTATGAGCAAAGCAGTATATTGACGATCCACGGGATCGGTAATGAATGTGGCTAGAATTGCGGTAAAGATCATCAACAATCTCAGGTCATTTAGATAATAAACTAAAACTAATCAATCACTAGTTGACGGAATGATCCATCAAGGCCAAAAAGATCGTCGTGAGTCTTAGGTTTTCCCGGACGCAAAGATTCATTGGTCTTTACAGATTCCTGCTCGGCGAACCACGGACCATATTCTTCTAGTTTTTTAATCCAACTTTCTGAAAATGAAAAAAAAATCAACTCAACGATCGCTTCTCAGATCCACGGGTAAAAAGAAATAAGCGATCTAGATGGCGCTAAGTGCGCGAATAATGGTGACTAAACTTCAAGCTCCATGACGTCATATCAATAAATAATGATTTATATGACAGTAATGATTATAAACAACTTTAAATAGTACCATGAATGGCCTGAATGGGTCCAGCGGCGCCACCGTACTCCTGAGGTAGTATGTCTTTGGGAATATGCTCGTAGAGGGTATTCAAATCACTATGGACGAATATCCTGTTGCGTATCTTTTCCTTGAGGAATGGCTTGACAAAGTTAATGATCGTGTCAACGAGAGGACTGACATTGACTACGTGAACTTCCTTGAGTTTTACAGGATATGCCTCCTGTACGCATACAAGGAACTTTTTGACAATGGTCGGAGTGAATTTTGCAAAGTGAGTGGGCGTCGCGACGGAGGCATCCAAAATGTATACATCACCAGCGACACCGACCAATTCCTCTTTCAGACGAACATCGCCGATCATTAATACCAACTTCATTGCTTCGGCTACGTTCGGAGTAGGCAAGTCCTTATTGATGCCTCGCATCAGTATGACGCGGCGGCCATTTTTTGTGAGACCCGGCAGTGGTGGTACTTGACTGGAAATAAATAAAAGCTTTATGAGGTAGGTGATTTTTTATCTGCTTATTTTTAAATAATTTCTTATTACATAATACTGGTAATTTCTTTTAATTCTGGTCTCGTGATGTCACGATTTGAAAAGAATTCTGGTACCGCTGCACGCATTGTGAAATACATGTCCAGCTTCTTCTTGCATTTTTCTAGGGAAAATTTACAGCCTCGTAGGAAGGTCGTCAGTCTTTGGTCATCTGTCAAGAGGAGTGTAATGAGAAGAGTGATTGTAAGGATTAAAAAATAAAAATTGTTATTGAAATCATTAATAATGTTGATAATTACCATCGAACGGAGGCAAATGTGATTGCTTCGATAACCATTCTTTAATAATTTCCAAATCTCTGTCACGCGTTGCAGGATCCTCGTTGAGCTCAATGCGGATCTGCTGTGACATTTCTTCCGTAGGCTGAACTAGCGACATCTGTGACGAATGAAGAAAGTGAAATTTATAAATACTTCGAGCTGCCATTTCACATGGAAGATACTGAGTGATTATCTTCAAAAATAGAAATTGGCAATAATTGAAATAGAAATTTTAGAATAATAATTGCCTTCTTATTGCTAATAATAATTCGCAAAGACGCCTTATAAAAATTATCTTCGACAAACGTTAGTATGAAAAATTCTTGGGTTCAATAATAAGATTCATCGATCAAGTATTCAAAATAAAATCCAATTACATCCCATGCACGATTCACCTGAATCATCACTGACGACATCGTGTACAAAAAACTAATGCTAAAAAACAACATTTACATAGAAAAACGCGAATAAATACAAAAACAGTATTATACAATTGTTAAAAACTCATAGACTCCGAGCGAACACTATTGCAAATTATAATCAACGACTCCAAAGTTCATCATTCATAGAATGAACACCTTGTCACTGTGACCCAGTATCAAATCAATGAGAATGCATAATGATTATTGATAATGTAGTAACATGTAGCTAGGTATACTTTTTACCCACTGTATTCCAATTGAAAATGTACCGCAACGTTGGCAGGAAGTTGTTCCTTATATTTTTGTACAATAGTGAATCATCGCGGCCTAAAGTTTCAAAATGAAACACGTGCACGCAATAAAAATATAAAGTCACCTTTGACTGTTCTAGAAAATGTGAGGTTATGTGCGCTACGTTACGATCGTACACGATATATAATAATAATAAAATCTCGTGGTCAACGCAAAGTAAAATCAGCTACTGGGGGAATACTAGGGAAGGCTTAAGGCTTCTTACGTAAGAAGGAAAAGAATACCGGAAAGTTTTACGTGAGAAATTACTGTTGAACGATGCCTGCGATTGCTTAAGAACCACCAGAAAGAAACTTTCTCCGCTCGATGAATGAGAGAGGAGACGAGAGAATCTCATTTCCTCACATCCTTTCTCCATCTCTCGTTTTTTTTTTGCGAGATGCAAAATAAACCAAAAACTCGATCACTTCTTGTCGAACATTAGGATTTACCGTTGCAGCATTATACGAGATACAATACGAAAATTCCAACGATTTCCGTGCACTTCGCAGCTGATTTCTGGCTGTTTTCTTTTTCATCCAAAGGTTAATAAAAAATAGCGTACTTGTCATTTTTAAAAACTGTTTCACTACGATATTTCAAATTTGTAATACTTTCTATAATATTAATAATAATATCTTGTTGAATAATCATTTATAATTATTTATTAATTTACTTGAAAAAATATTTATTATGCAGCTTATTTAAAGGACTGCGGTACAAAATATTTTTTAAATTTAATTCACAAATAAGCTTGTCCCTAAGCAGTCTGGAGTAATATACATATCAAGAAAGCAAAATCTACAATATAAAACATACATAAACGTAACATCATTCTCCGAAATCGTTTATAAAAATAATATGCAATAAAAATGAATAACGATTGTATCAAATATTGCAAAAATAAGTATAACAACAAATGACTGGATGTAAGAATGCTAAGAAAATATCTTTAAAACTATTTAACTTACATTGTTTCTGTTGATCTGCACTCGCCACAGGAAGGCACCGCAGGAGGACCAAGTCGACCGACGAGGACCGATTACTAAGTCTCCTAGATATGAAATAGAACGAGAGAGTGACTATACTGCGAAGAAAATCGAGAGTGGAGAGCAGTTCGCGGAGTGGGAACCGTTTCTCTTCGAGACCGGTTCTTCTTATATATTCCTTGCTTGCCTTCCACCACCATCATTGCCACCAGTATCAACGATCACCAGCTCCAATATCAATACCGCCACCAGCGACAAATATCGAAGTGGACAACAGTCGGAGAACCGAAACAGACTGAAGAGAGGCTCTCCGAACGTCTAATGAGAATGATTGATTCCTTTAATGTGGTTTAACCAGTTTTTCTGACTACATGGAAAGCAAAAAAGAACAAATGTGGGAACGAGCAGTTCGAATGTAGATTTCTTGGTGGATTTGAATTACTTAACGGATATGAGAACCACTGCGTAATAGGTACTTGGTTCGTGCGCTTCACTGACCAACATAACTACTGTTACTTATACTGGTTTTCTTTTCTGTATAATTGAGATCAAAATCATCCTAGCGAAAGATTATGTTAGGATTGCTTTATGCAATTATGGATATATATATAGTTGACGTGTGTAATTGTAGATTCATAGGTCTGATGACAGGTGGAATAAGAAAATAGTCATTTTTCTCTATCGCTTTACTTTCTATAAGTTATTTTTCTCTTTTCTATTGTCAATGAGAATCTTTGGTATTATTTAAGTGGATAATAATGTTCAAAAATTTTTTTGCAAGATTATCAGTTTGTTAAGAGTCAGTATAATTTTTATTTTTCTTAAGGCAGTTCTCAAATGTCACTGTACTTTGACCAGTCTGTATAGAGCATAGAGATGATTAATTGATCATCAGGTAATAGTTCATCTGACGTTGATTATTTTGCATTTGATCTGAAATATGGTTGAATGTATTGAAGAAACTGTCTTTTATCGTTTATGGACACTTTACTCAGAAGTTTTTTTCTAATTTTTATTTAGTCAAAGAAAAATAATGTTTAGTTCTTTTTTATTGTGTAATAAATACGGACAAGAATTTCAGAAATGTTAAAATTTCGCGATTAATTAATAATTCCATTGAAGTTTGACGGTTTCTATGAACTAAGAGCTAGCGTCGCAACGGTTGACGTCGCTAACCCTAACAAAGTTACTGTCGCCTGGCCGTTTAAAGCTAACGGTGATCCATTCTTTTCAGTAGTAGTGACGTCGTCATCATTTTCATCCTGAAAAAAATAGTTTTACTATTAGTATATAAAGTTTTACTGCTACGTCTACTGGAATTCTTAAATAGGTTGGGTTTATTCATACCGAAGCATTTTCGGCCCTGACCACTTTTTTGTGTGGTACGCTTTTATCATCATGTGGAGGAATGGGGTTGTCAGGCGTCAAGACGTCATGACGTCGTTTCCTACATCCGGTACCCGAGCAAGTAATCCCTAGGATATCCTTTACAGTAAGCGGAAGTGCCCAAATGCTAACTGCTTTGTAAAGAGCCTTAGATCCTGGACCAGAAGCATAATATGGTACGAGCTTCTCATTCCCAGTGCACATGCCAACCACTATCAGTAACGTATCCTTGGTGATCTTCAAAAAAAAAAAAAACATTAAAAAATTGTCGTTATCTATTATAGGTCCACCAAATGCATATAACACGAAGATCGGATATTCTGGTGACACGTCACCTCACGTTGAAGAAGATCGACAGCCCCGGAAATTTCATTTCCCGGTGCTGCTGCTACGAGGATGAAACCCTTATCACTAGACACAGACTTCAATTCTTTAATGGTATCACCAAGAAGATCGACAAGGTTAGCCTGAAGTGGAAATGGCCTTCTTGGTGAAAACTCATCTTCAGCACCAGGCCAGTTGCTGCTAAGGGAGTCCAGAAGAGTGCGGAAGAAGGCCAATCTTATCCTGGAGAACATGTCGAAGACGTCCCACATTCCATCAAAGCTATTAGGTCCTTCATTTTTAGGAAAGAAAATAATACCGTAACTACGTAATACAATCTTGTAAGCACAACGGGTTATTGTATTTAATGTTGATTAGAAACTGAAAGAATAATTTAGAAATTTTTTACATAATAGTAGAAACTTGGTTACCGTCTTTTAGTGTAGTAGTGGTAGGACTTCCGGAAGAACCAGTAGCTGGACTCGAGGTATGTTTGTCAGCATCGAGATAATGCCAGGAATCGCGAAAGTCGATTTTAGGACGTCGAATTTCTGACTTCATCATATTTTCTTGGACTTTATTAAAATCTTTGCCGATTCCAGTTGGTCCATCGTACGGAAGCGTTGGAGAGATTGTGAAATTAGTAGCTGACACTGCTCCTGAGAAGAGATGAAAAAAATAGATAAAATATTCAAGTTACAAATATTTTTCTACTTACCAGTGGTCATTTCCTTAAAGCGATGTGCCCATGACAACAGTGTTCCTAAATTTGATTTTAAATGACGTTCGCATCCGCAATCATTGTCTTGTTTACCAACGAATTGATCACCCATCGTATATCTCATGGACAAAGGATCAGCGTTTAGACAGCTCTGAATAAGATTATTAACAAGGACATGAATAAATAATAACGAGAGGAAGACGACGTTACAAAATGATATTCCGTGCCTGTAGCAATCCATGCGCGGAAAATTCATATTTCATTTGAAAATTCTCCCACGCTGATTTGGCGTCTTGACCGTTCATATCAGTCAGAAGTAATACGACGTTTTTTGGAATATTTTCCGTATCCTTGTTTGCAGGTTCGACGTTCCCCAAAGGGATGATTTCGTCCTTGTCCCCTGTGTCGTTTACGAACTTGATCAGGACCTCAGATCGTTTCTCGCGTTGAGGTCCTTCAGGAATTGAATCCTCCACGTGCTCAACTGGCTTTCTTGAATCTGAGGATTGCAGGACTTTATCCATTCCGGTGACTTGCATCTTCCCATTTAAAATCCTCTCAAAGGATCCACGCTGTTCAGCCTCCAGAGACGGTACGACGTCCCAGGACGCTGATGAAGCAGGTTCAACAGCTTTTATTAAAATTAATTATTCTTTACTAATGTTATATTTCATTTGGCAAGTGGAATTTTGTATACAAACAATAATTACCACGTTCCATAGTAAATCCGTGGATGCCGATGGTGACTACTCCTAGGATACTGATCAGTATCCATATCCTTGACATCTTTAATTTGTTCTATAAAAAGTTGAATATCATACTCCTTGTCATCCAATAAATCCAATAAATCCTACCACCTTTCGTAGCAGTAATCAGCAATTATTAAACAACTTGATCACACTTCGAAAAAAGTCAGTCTATTTGCTCCTTCATTAATTAACTGAATAGCCATTTGCTATTTAAACAAAAACCGTTACCAAGGAGACAAACAATCGCAAAAATTTTGATTGTTTCAAGAGTGACAAAAATTTACGACATACACAAATCAAATTTTCTCAGCTCAGATATCAAGCAGGTTCTGATTTTTCTCTAGAACATAAAATGCATTTTTTAAATTTACGGAATATGATGTATTCAATTTCTGACTTTATTATCTTGCAAAATAAAATAGATTGGTCTAGGCTAGGTTTCCATTAAGAGACTATAATGCATAAAAAAGATCATAATAACATATATATTTACATACACTTTATGCATATAGGGTAGAAATAGATATTCTAGAGGGTCATTTAGTGCGGACAGTTAATGGGGCCAAACATCATTAAGTCTGTCGTTACTTCTTCTATTCGGTATTAGCTTAAGAATTAGCGCAATAAATAATGAAGAACACATCGTGTTATAGCATTAGGACATTTCTGGAAATCAATATACGTTCATACACAGGAGGTTAACCGAAGATATGGCTGCATAGACGATTACATGGAACTTATGGTTTTCCTCCCTTATACTCCTGTCAAGGGCTGCTATTACATAATTACACATTCAACCCCTTCGATTTCCTACAGGCGGCTAATAAAATTAAGAAAAATGATTCTTGTATTAACATACACTAAAAATGATTTTTTTTCGTCTGCAGTGGTACTATTCTTTATTTGAATGACCATGAATATTTTTTGAATTTTTTTTTCAGCAGCTACCTAGTCCAGGTCAAATGTTACTATCAAAGCGTCGTCGAATTTACCGGAAACGGATATGTCCACGTAGAATGGTCAGACTTCTTTTACATTGGTCTTTAAATAATTCAAAGACTTACAGTATGCGAGTGTTCGAGAGGGAACCATCATGGCTGTATGGTGGATGTATAGCATCGAAGTGCGCATGCGCACCGTTACCGGCACGCCATTCGTCCACGTTAGAAAAAGTATAAAGGAAGGGGACTCAACCTGTCCGGTAGAGGGTTGTTTTCATGTTAAAAATGTGAAGAGTGGGAGCGTGCGAACGGAAGTCGAAGAGGGTGCCGATTGAAAGCAAGGCCGATGCTGAGGACGTTGCAGAGTAGAAGTACGAGTCTGATAGTGGCGTTGTATATCGTGTAGAGATTTTATATAATTTTTACATCAAATTTTCCACTCGTACCAGTGCGTCCGTTTAAATTTGAAAATTGAAGGTAGGAATTCATAGACTTTCATACTTTGAATTTCAGTAAGACGTGAGATCCTTTAACTTCGTCGAGTCAATTGTATCGTGATTCCAAGTGTTTTCGTCTGTTACCTTTATATATTCTTGGCAGATGATGAAATTTAAGCAACAGGGCCTGGTCGCTGACCTGATGCCCAATATTCGTCACATGCAATTCAGCGGACATTTTATGTTCAATTATTACAATGATACCGGTGGTTCCACGAAGCTCTTTCACACGATTTATTGTTCCGTGAGTTTACCCGAATCGCAAATATGATTAATTTTTCTATCACTGTACGCATGAAATGTTTATTTAATTTTTTTTCACACTCAGATTCACTTGTTCCTGATTCTATTGCAATTTGGATTATGCTGTGTCAATCTGACCCTGGAAAGGGCTGACGTGGATGACCTTACCGCTAACACGATCACTGTCCTCTTCTTCGCTCACAGTATTATTAAATTAGCTTACTTTGCCGTACGGAGCAAGCTCTTCTATCGCACCCTCGGCATCTGGAACAATCCAAACAGTCATCCTCTCTTTGCTGAGAGCAATGCACGTTATCATGCGATCGCATTGACGAAGATGAGACGATTGCTTGCCGCTGTGGGTGCAGCGACGATTCTGACAGTTTGCGCCTGGACCGGGATCACCTTCGTTGGGGATTCCGTGAAGAAGGTTACCGATCCTGTGACTAATGAAACGATGACGGTGGAGGTATGGACTTCCTGGTGCTTATTTGTCTACATAATTATTAATGATACACATTTTTACAATATTGATTTAAATAAATAACCACTTTTTTTTAGATACCAAGACTGATGCTTCGCTCTTGGTATCCATACGATGCAAGTCACGGGATGGCCCACGTCCTAACGCTGATCTATCAATTCTACTTTCTCCTAATCACTACGATGGACGCCAATTCTCTTGATGTCCTCTTTTGTTCCTGGCTGCTATTTGCCTGCGAGCAATTGCAACATCTTAAGCAGATTATGAAACCCCTTATGGAACTGAGTGCTACCCTTGATACAGTGGTGCCACATACTAACGAGCTCTTTAAGGTTAATGAAAAATATAATAAACGTACTCACGTATAAAACTATTATTTTAGTCATTTATTTAGCTTATGGTATTTGTGTTATTTTTTATTTAAACATTTTCCTTTTTCCTCTAGGCTGGTAGTACCGATCATCTGAGGGACACGCAAGGTACTCAACCGATGGCACCACCTCCTAATGAAAACATGCTTGATATGGATCTCAGAGGAATTTACAGTAACAGACAGGATTTTACTGCCACCTTTAGGACAGCTGCTGGGATGAATTTCAATGGTGGGGTTGGTCCTAATGGGCTGACAAAGAAGCAGGAGATGTTAGTTAGAAGTGCCATTAAATATTGGGTTGAGAGACACAAGCACATCGTCAGGTAAGGTTATGTGAAATTAATTAAAAAATGTGAGAAATAATTCATAGAGCAAATAGGGTATATTGATATTTGAATATTTTAAATCCATTTGCAGTCCAATTTTAACCATTGAAAATATCCCCCTTTGAAATCCTTTCGTGCCAGTAGGAATATAATTGCATATAAATATTTTATAATAGGCAATCCGATTTTTCCTAAACAGTGAAACTTTTTAAAGCTTGCTCTAATGAGTACTCACTGATATAATACTAGTGATTTTCTATTTATCTCCATTATGAAAGATAAATAGTTTTTAAGAATAATGAGAGTATCAATCCCTTTCAAAAGAATTCTCAAGCGAGATGTGACATATCGATGTTCTTAAGTCATGACAATTGTTCTTAGAAAAAAATTTGTTTATTTAAAAATGACAAAAATGACACAGATTTACCAAAAAAAGCTCGAAAAAAGTTCTTTGCAAATTTTCAATACGTTTGTCATATAATACGGGAAAGCACGAACGTCCGTTACTCGCCATTCGAGGAGAATAGCGTTCAAGAGTGGAACGTTTCCCACAGTGCTCAACTATTTATTCGAGGAGTGCGCGATATTGACCGTTACGGAGAACGCCGTACCCTGGAGTTTGAACAATTCTGGGGGTGTGGAGCTGGGGACAGGAGTTGCGGCTGACGATCCAGCCCCCTTACACGGCATCCTCGTCGGTCACCTTGTGAAATATTAACGAAAGATTAGTCGCGAGACTCTCGTGTGGCCAAACGTTCTTGAACGTGCTGAAAGTCTGTCATATAAATAACGTTAGAATATCATCATTGACCGCAATTTCTTTGCCAATAATAATAATGATAACGCTCATATAATCAAGATATTACAGAGAAATAATTCACAGAGCGAATAAGGGTAAAAAGTCAGCCATCAATACAATTAGTTTTACATTGTCACTTGGTCACAATCTAGTCCGAATTATAACCTCTAAAAATGCCTGTCAGAAGTATTTTTGTCAAAGGGATTGTCCCTTGTCCCCATAGATTCGTTGTACACGAGAAAGTTGCGGAACTACAAATCCCTAAAGATAAGAACATGGGAATTTCATGATGAGTTTACTATTTTGTACGGTCAGAAGTTTCCTGCAGGGAATGGTCCGCCTCTTGAACTTCGAACATTCTCTCTGATATTGTTTGAAGATATTGGGATTGGCATAGAGATAGTTTTATTACGTGGAACGATGGGTAGATTTTAGCTGATAAGGGAGTAGCGCGAAAGTTTCATTGAAGCAGGAACTTTTTTAATAGCTGCTGTTCCCTTGGAACCTATTATTAATGATTTTTTTATTCTGCCTGTTCACTCGGAATAAGTAGAGAAGGATTATATTATACATTGTCCCTATGACACAAAAATAGCGACCAGCATGCCCCTTGGACGTAGATATCAGAGAAGATCAATAAACGCTAGTGGAGATATTTTATAGATTTTAAATGAAGAGCAGAACCTTTTGATATTTCTGATTACCTTTCTTATTTATTTTCAGATTAGTCACCGCTATTGGTGACGCTTACGGAGTTGCCCTTCTTTTCCATATGTTGATAACAACCGTATCTTTGACTCTGTTGGCATATCAAGCGACAAAGGTGAGTTCATACGTATTCTTGTCTAAAAATAAAAATATGAAGGCGACTGCATTTCTTAAGCTGCACTTACTCTCTTATAACTCATAGGTCAATAAAGATTTAATCGACAGAAGGATTCGTCCCAAGGACACTGCTATTTCATTAACTTAGTTAAGTTAGCTCTTATCGGTTAATCAATGACAGGTCTGCTTTATATAATGAGAGTTGCCTTTAAACAGAATGTTGTATTCGCAATTTAAATTTTTAAAATATCATTTAGTATTCTCTTCACATTTTATGTATATTGCGTTTAATGCATTACTGCGTCATGTGTCGTTATAGGTGAACACCGTTGACGTGTACGCTGCTACTGTGATCGGTTATGTCCTCTACACACTGGGACAAGTCTTTCTCTTCTGCATATTTGGAAATCGTCTAATCGAGGAGGTTTGTAGTACAAAACTTATACAAAAAACTACACTTTGGACGTAAAGCATGATATTGAAAATTAATTTTATTGTTATCTCTATAGAGCTCATCCGTCATGGAAGCTGCATATTCCTGTCACTGGTACGACGGTTCCGAGGAAGCCAAAACTTTTGTACAAATTGTCTGTCAGCAGTGTCAAAAGGCCATGTCAATTTCCGGCGCGAAATTCTTCACCGTTTCTCTTGATCTCTTCGCTTCCGTAAGTCAACTTGTAGCTTGTTATTTTTTCTGTTCAATATTCAAATTCTTCAATAGCTCGACCTATTTCTATATCAGCTTTCCATTATTCAGGTGCTGGGAGCTGTGGTTACTTATTTTATGGTGCTGGTACAGCTCAAGTAAATCCCAATTACTTGATAGGGCTATAAATCAGCACGGATATCGACGTATTCAAAACGAGGGAATTAACAGAGATTACAGAGAACAATGACAGCGTGTTATCATTGAACAATCCGGTGATGTAATCGAATTGTCAAAACCGCAGATGGGATAAAAATACTTGCGGCTATGGAGGTCGATTTTTTTAAGCGAGTAAAGGTTTTTTGCAAGGCGGCATTAAATAATTCCTAAATACAAAACATAATTGTTGTAAGTACACTGTAAGTGATGCGTGGCATTAGGGGGAAACGTTACGCTGAACTTGTTTAATTACACTGTTAATTAATTTAAGGTTAAGTTAAGCTGCGTATTTATCGTCAATGACGCACTATATGGTCAATCGTTTAAAGTATCATATGCGAAACATACATGAAACATAAGGTTAGCTAAAGTTTTTATCATTATCAGAAAGAACATAAGCGTTTCTTAAGAATTTAATAGCCTCTCGGTTCATTAACTATACATATATAAATTAAATTATATTATGTGGATCCGTATTTATTATCTAACGTGTAAATATACATAACAGATACCATTAAACAATACGACATGAGAAATAACTATTTCACTATAAATCAATATTAATGTCTTTCGTCACATAAAATTGTTAATTTTTTCCAAAAGCATGACATTCCTACAGATGCATTATTACTTATTATTATTATTATTAGCAGCTAACAATTAGCTGAAAATGTTAAATTTCTTTTAGTACTATACCATATTTTTTTTTCGACACACATAATCGAACTAAAGCGCGTTTATATCAATTAAATTTTAATCTAGCCATCCGATCGGACGTGTAATTATTAGAGAATTAAAATCTCATAATATAAATGTTGCTGTATATGTCATAGCATTTTTTGTCTCTCTGTAAAACTGCTCTATATATTTATTTAATAAAATGTTATAAACGTATCAATATTTATTGATATCTAAGCGTAAACTGTTTAATCAAATAAAATTTGAAGTTTTCTAATATATTGGCTAAGTAACGGTTACGTATACTATTTGGGAAAGAAAAATAGGAATCGTTTCCTCAAGAATCTCCTCAACCTAATAGTACGAATATAACAACTACCATAAATGTTTTGTGATCAAAATGCAATATCTTGTATTAAGGTGGACTTTAGATTTTCAGACGGGGTTCCATTTTTAGGATATTATATCAATATGACAGGGTTTTTAACCTTAGGGTACAAGGTCAATCTAGTTTATGGCATCTTTTTGAAATCCTAGGAGAATTCGGGTAGCAAGACCCACATAAAATTGTAATAAAAGTTCTAGTGAAAGTTTCATCCTTGACGCATTAATTTTATAAATTACATTTGAAGCGGATACAAAAATATTGGTATCGGTTATATGTTTTACTCATGTTAAATCATTTTTTCTTAATTGTTGTTTTACTCTGTTAATATTCATACCCAATGTTGCCAGGAAATAATTCGAAATTTCGATATTATTGGTTTCTACAGTGAAATGAGTATAGTCTTCTTTATTACGAGGTAATGCTTAGGAATCCAATTTATCGAGTATGGATCTTCCTATTTCTATGCTTTTTCTTCTCTTTCCTTTTCTTTTTGAAGGACGAAAAGACATTGGCGAATAATCGTAATTCTTGAAAATTTTCGGGACACGTCGCTTCTTTTATTTTGCGATCCCTTAGGGTACCCTAAATTATTGATGCTACGCACGCAAGTCGAATTTATGAAAATGCAAAAAAAGGGAAAAAAGTGGTTACACAGGGTAGATGGTTTTGTTACGTGACTTTGCTGAGAACCTGAAAATAAGGGAGAGCAAAATTTGTAAAACCGGTATATTTCCCATGTGGAAAGAAAATTTGTCGCATACCATATACGTATAAATACCATAAATAAAATCATCTACAACACTATACCACGACTAAGTCAATAGTTACGTCATGTAACTACATCAGTCAAAATCACTACTCGCGTTTAATTCAACATTTGTACTTCAGATTTATTGACTCTATCCGGAAGCAAAAGTATACAAAATAATATACGATAAAATTCGATTGACATATTATACATATGTATAATATATTTATACGGTTACAAATAGCTACGATTTCACGTGTTTTACGAAAGTCCCAACTTTTCCCGCGGCGATTCGCTTTCCAGGAATTTTTTCCCCCTCTTACGTAACGCCAGAATAATACTACCTACGAAATATGCCTCAGAACGATACGAAAAATATTAAAATGAAACACAAACGTAACTCGTAAAATCTTTTTCCCGTGGCGTCTATAACCTTTAAATTCTTACCTATTGCGCGTGGCTTACTTATTCGTAGTTTTCGGAAAATCCACTAAGCTCGCGCCGTTACTACGGCGCATGCGCGTCAGGCATCTCGCCGAGTGTAGTTTCGATCGACTGGAGGTTACGAGCCAAGGCTCTCCTCGTGTCTGGTGATATGTTAGCTGCACGTCAATATTTTTCGACGATTTCTCGTTTCATGACAGAAAATAATATCGTAATTAAAGACTCGCGTACGACACGACTCACGGGAAGTGGTGACGCAACATCGCGGGTCTCGTAACACAATCGAAAGGCGGATTCCGAGTGAAAAAGGGCTTGAGTCCGGGTGCCGTAGCGTGTGCGTGCAATAATCGGAGAATAATATATAGTGAAAGTATCACGCGATATATACATACATATATATATTTTTCGAAAATTTTTGAGACGCCTGCGCGAACGCACGTGTCCGTAATACATAAGTATAAATTGTTAAAAAATTGGTTTCTGACCTAGAAACATAAACGTGCTAAAATATTATTTCTACGAAGATTACGCGATCAAATGAATTTCATCTGGACAGTTTTTATTCTGAAATTTTGTACACAGAATATTTAAAAAATACGTGACGCGAATTGTTATCTTTTTTATCTCTCCTAGGACCCTTTTATTGAATCCGAATTGTACTGGTTTAAAAATCTATTTTTTGGAGATGAGAAAGGAACGGGGTGTAGCGTACAATCAATAATAAGAATGTTAAGTAGATAGGCTAAATACATTGAATCTAATTAATCGAAAGTGATAGTTTGCTATAATTATCTTGACCTCAATGCACTTCGTGTATACGTTGATTCAAATCGCATGATTGACATACCTAACAGATGACATTGGTGAATGAGATTTTTAAGTAATTTCAATGGTAATTTATTGCAAGATCGTTGTAGTGAAAAGCAATTAAATTGAAGACTCATGAATTTTTTGTATAAGCGATTAAAGAGCAGGGCTGTCAATTGACTACTGACTGTGAGATAAAGCCTCTCGTATATCGTTAAAATATTTATCGTCGTCTTTTAAATATTAGCGTGAAAGCGTTTCGTAAAATAAAGCTCATGATAACTACCAATAATAAATATTGACCGCGGCCATTACGACAAGCGATAGTTAAGCAAAAATCCGTGAGAATAAGTAAAGTTGGTTGTACGTATATATCTTACGGTAAATGAAACAAATTTATAAAACAATCAAACGACATACGGCCGACGGTCGCTCGACAATATCAAAGACAAATAATAATTCGAATTTGACCGAAGAGTTGCGAATTCGCACAAGGGACTCTGTGATTTTAGGAAACTCGTAGCTACGAGACGATAAGATTCCACCGCGACTTTCGAGGCTTTCTTGGAAACTAGACAAAATAGGGACGAAAACGGCGAGCGGTCGGAGGAGGAGGAGCCTCCCACCGCCTAAACAATGTCGTAAGTACATAATACATTTATCATTTTATAATAATTAAAACTGATATAAAAATTTTAATATTTAGCTTTCCGTAGGTTGTTACAAAAATTGTCACTATTCCATACCCATATGTACGTTTAAAAAAAATGCACAAACAATGAAGCTCCACCATAACCAGTTATAACGCCTTGCAAAAAAAGCTCCTTCGTAGAACATTCTATCCCCTTAAATCATTATCCAATATTGAAAATGGCATAAGCAAAATTTACGGCAAACATAACCTGTGCGCCCAATGCTCAATGTATAACCGTGAATAGAAAAAAAAAATTATTTACCTCTGAATAAATTCTCATAAGTCACGCTCGCGTGTCTCAACCTGTGGCATCTTACAATAGGTAACTGTAGTGTATTTATATACTGTTATCCATGTGCATATATACAGTGTGCACATACAAAAATATATAGATACATGTGATCCGCCACTTTACCAAAGAGGTTCTAGCACCTAACACAATCTATAGGTAGACATAGTAGCTCCTTATAGAAGCGTCGGAAGACAGATTCAGTGTAACTATGTATAGTATCGATAGAGAGTCAATAGTAAATGTAAAGCAACTTGTATTGATACAACAGAACGTTAACAGTGCCCTGATAGTGCACGCGACAATACATATGTTATTCCAGTTTTCCATTCATGGAGAATACAAACGAGATAGGACAACCGTACTGTTATAACGGGTTAACGTTGTGAGCGGCAAAGCAGTTGAAATGATTGTCAAAGATATGACAGGTAGGAAATTATTGTAGAACGATGTAACATGGCTATTATAATTTATTTATTAATTCGATTACTAATTATTGATTGAAATTGCATTAAACTAAGGATAGATACATAAATTGTGATTTAATATTGATTACTTTGTAAATCAATTATAACTGAGTCACCGTGTACATAGGTATATGCCGGTAGATTAAAAGTTATTTTGGTAGGTGCAACGTCATATTTAGTGCATAAAATAACGACGCAATAATTGCCATTAGCGTCGCTAGTGTTCCGACGCTACGGGACGTCGAGGAACTCATGACTCGATCTTATTTAATATCCTGAATTTGAGCGAGGGAAATTATTAGGTGACCGGAATTCAATTCGTTTCCGTGGTTGTGATTACTTGGGAGGTCAAGGGTGATTTTTTTTATGGGTGTTTCCTCTATTCCGTGGATACGAATTCAGAAGGAAATTGAGCAAGAGTAGAGTCGGGCGGTTCCGGAAGTCGATTGTCCTATCGACTTCGGTTGGTCTTCTACATACATGTTACTGGCATTTCCAGCATATGGATTTATGATCAAACTGTATAAGAGCAGCTAGTAACTGCGTAGATGGTAGATTGGAAATTTTCGAAAACAAAACTTATTATTCAGTCTTATGACAAGTGACGTTTCCTATGCATACACCCATATTTTGTTAAAACATGATGACACAGATGATATACAGAATTATACGAAATAGAGAGGATTTCCATAACCTTGATTAATATTTGTTAAGGACTACTAATATTATTGAAGTCGCGTTCAATTTATTATTACAATTAATTAAATTTTCAGCGAGTGTGACGGCCAGATGTTTTATAATTTTCTAATTAAATTCGACACCCTTCAGAGAGTTTCTAACAAATGTCAATACGACCCTGTGTTAATTGCGTCGCAGGATAAAGCAACTGTATTTGTCTAGATAAACTTGTTTATAAAATATACATTCGGTAAATCTGTGCAAGAAAAATGGGAGGGAGAATTATGTTTATGAGAAAGTGAAAAAAAATTTTGAATTCATATAGAATTTTTATATTTTTATTTAGCATAATCCCCAAACACGTTCCTGTCATTATTTATAATTTTCAGTTATATGATATTTGTCTCTATTAGAAATGGAAGATTATCGACTTCGAATTGAACTGATAGGACTCTACCATACAGAGAGAAGTCTGACATTTATACCATTCGATAAAAACTCATAGAAACAATACCTGCGAATAATCCTTACAAATCCTACTGGTTTCATTTTATTGTGAAGTAATATCATTTGTAGCGTGATTTTTCAATTTACAGTCACAAGGCGACTCCAGCCACCGATTCAGATAATGTTCTCGCTTTCTGGTTCCCTTCCATTCGCCACCCTACTTAGAAGCTACGCTCTCGGATTGTTTCGCACAATTACGGCAATGCTCTCGGAAAGATTTGTTATTGTTGGGTTAAACTCGAGATGCCCGAATCTGCTGTGAAGAGATAGTCTCGACGTACAGAGTTGCCCAGCAGAAGAAAGTACCCGACGGAGACGTCTCCACGGACCGGCAGAAGGCCGGGTGGGACTCTGGCGCCCCGCTGATAAGTGGCAAAGGGCTGTAGAGCGGGAAATGGAGTTTGTTCGGGTTGAGGGCGACAGGAAGAACCTCCTGACCCGAATTATGATTGTTGCGCCCAGCTGTCGCCCAATACCCTGGGGAAACAACCGTGGAGGATCTCCGAAAGTTACGTACCGATTCGCTAAGGACTTAAGGACGACTCGAGGGAAAGGATAAGAGTTATCGGCTATAAGGATCTCGACCAATCGGAATGATTAGTTCTCGAATTTGACTGCTGTCGAAGCAGTCTGTCTTGGGACACCGATGGAGGTGTCACGAGCTGGCTCGCGCTCCCGTGCTGTCTGTTGATAGTTTTTTTCTCTGTGTTTTTCATACGGTATAGAAAGTTCTCGCTTGTGTGGTTTTCGCGTTGCTCTCGCTATATCCAGAAAATCCTATCGATTTCCTGCATGTGTTTTGGAGGTGCAGTGCTGTGCTATAGTTCAGTGCTCACCTGAGTTTCCCCTGCATGCAGTTCTCGGCCTTCGCGGATTAGCTGAAGCAGCTCCGGTGAAGACTCGCAATTTATTAATTGGTGGATGGATTTCGATTTTAAAGCTCTAATTCGTTCTGCTAGGTGCTCGATCAATTGATCTGTTTCCGGCACTATTTACCGGATGCTTGCTCCAACCCTGTCTACCTCGACCTAGCACCCTGAGCAGCCGTGTATTTTCGTAACTGTTCGCTCCTGTTCATGCATCCAGTTGCGTTTTTCGATTTTGCGTCCCCAAAAATCAACAGGATCCGTTAAGCTACCGTCTCTTCTGATAAGTTCCGTCAGAGCTCTCGCTCTGATGGAGTTGGGACTGTTCCACCCCAATTCCCAGGTCATACCGGCTCGTCAGTTCCCAGTGGAAAAAGAATTGGCTGGCGCCCGTCTGGCATACGGATGCATGGACGAAGGGTGGACGACTGAAGGAGACGTAGGTTAGTTCTCGGATTTTCGCTTTCGGTGTCGAGTTAAGAAAATATGTTACAAATTTTATGCCTGTTTTTATGATCTTATAAAAAAAAATCGGTAGAAACTCGCAGGAATTTTCAGCGACGAACACATCCGAAGAGCAGTCATAACATTAACTATATACCTCTCTCAACTTTTAATCACTAACAAACAAATTTTTGTTTATCTGGCAAATTCACTGAGCCAAGTAAAGCAGCCAATGATGCAAAATTTAACAGTCGATAAAATACTTAACCAAAGAATAATACATGCCAGTGCGCAGGGTATAATACACCAATAAGAATAAAAATATAAAAGAGCAGTGTGAAGTAAAAATATATAGCTAGTCACTCTAGCTGAAATTAATTCAAATACCGTCCCTAGGGGTGATACTGGATGAAGAATTCATAAGATAAAGTAGTCAAAATATCACTCTACAATGAAAGATGTAAAAAAATCTATGAATATAAAAGTACGGAAAGTTACTTAAAATAACTTGAAATAAAAAGAAAAGGTAACTCAAAATGAAATACAAATTTACGGCATTAATTAACGGATCATTATTTATATTATTATATATTGCATTATTATTTCCGTTGCCTTTTACTAGAACTCAGTAATTACCTAGTTTTATATATATATATATATATATTTAAAAATTATATAATCCGACTATTCAAAGTAGCAATACTCTCAGAAATTCAGTTTAGGGTAGCAGCAGGGAGAGTATAGTGAGACGGCGTAGAACGTGCCGCTCGACCAAAAGACAACGAACGCTGGTTTAGTCGCCGCGTGAATTTCCCCCAAGAAGGTCGTGTTTCTGGATTAAGGGTGAAAAATCGAAGTGTCGCAAATATATTATTCGTCTACGTAAAGACACGATCCATCGTGATCTATCATCCTCATTGGATGGATGATTCAGCGGTGAGAGGAAATCCATTGCCAAGCCAAGAGTTGCTCGTGAATAAAAACCTTCTTGGTAATTGGGATTCATGATCACATTGTGTAATCTAACGCATCGAGGATCCTGAATATATTTTTGAAAGGTCAATTGATTATTCGAAGAATAAATAAAAGAACATTCTACATACAGTTACTTTGTATAATTGGGAGTTCTTAAACAGCAATGACTAAACGGTTAATAAATTAATAAAATAAGTTGAGCCTATAAAATTGTACGTTATATCTAATACGTGAAATGATTATATGAATTGTGGGCGAACTGATTCTTAACGGAAACTTGAACGAGTAATTTACCAAGTCCGGTTTGAAGACGAACATTAAATGGCCCTCTCTTCGCGTAATTTAGTAAAGTTTAAATTAACATTGATTCCTTTGGTACTAATGCAATATGATAAAAAAGGAACCATGATCAATCTCTCCTATCATGACTGGAAAGAATAATACATGCTATGTCCGTCGGTTTTATTTATTCATGATAAACCGCAGGTCGCTAAATTAGACATTAGGGCGAAGCCTATTGATCTTTGAAAGTATAAAGAAACTTGGAAGCTTAATATAAGAATAACAAAGAGAAAATCAAGTGCCCTAAGAAGATATAGAGAGTACTGTTATTCTTATTTGGAATTTTCTTGCTTTTTTTTAGAACTAGACTTAGACTACTTGGAGAGACGAGGAGGCGAGACTATCGGTAGCGAAAACGCTGATAGTGGCTCCAAGGAGGAAGAAAGTCCTGCGGACAGTCTTGATCGTGTGAAGGTTGTCTTTCTCGGAGCACCAGGAGTCGGCAAATCTAGCATCATCCAGGTAAGATGATCTTGCAATACCTTTTTAAAGAGAAGGAAAAGAAAATTATTAATAAATATGATATATTGACGACTTTCAAAGTTGAAATTGATAAAGTTTGACCAGGATGAAGTTCTTTGACTTTTACCCTTGTGTATGATACATATGTATTTATTATATACTGTACATGTAAAGAAATGTCAGAGTTTCTAGTCTTCTCGAAGTACGTGAAACTAGATTAAAAAGTTCTGTCGAACTTACGTCGAAGGTGCAATTCTATTTCCTTAGATGCAATTGACTTCCTTTCATTTCCGAGTTTCGCTACCGGTATGGGAATCGATTGAATATTGAATATTACATTATTTATCAAAGAGTAGTATAAAGAGAGACGGAGTAGTAAATAAGTGCGAACAGTGACAATAATTGTGGGTGTGGGTGTGTGAAAGAGAGTGAGAAAGAGAAAAAGAAAGTAAGAGATAAAGAAATTATAAAGGTTTTTCATAAAACATGACAAACAAGATACCGCTTGCTGACTAAGAATTCAAAGGTAGCGTTTCATAAGAAGACTTAGGACAAAAGATACTAGAAACGAAAAGTGAATTAAAAAGAAGATAAGGCATCGCAACAAATTTGCTCATTTTTCTCCAAGAAAACAAGTAATGTTTTGTAAGTCTATTAGAATTATTAGTTTTCGCTAGTCTGTTATTTTCAAAGGTTCCAGAATATCTCTTTTATAATAATTGATTAATTAATTAATCTCTTGCTTTAACTCTTCTTCATTTTCACCAGCAATTTGTCTGGAACGAATTTTCCGAAGAGTATACACCCACGGAGAGGAGGGAGACGTTCTACCCAAGTGTCGTCCTTGCAGATCGTCTCTACGAATTGAAAATTACGGATTTACCTACCATTCCATATTTTCCTGTAAGCTCTCACCTCGAATGGACCGACTTCCGGTATTATGGGCTCAGGAGTGCTACGGCTTACGTTCTCGTCTTTGATCTCAGCAATCACGACACGTTTCAGGTACGTCGAAGGATGATGGTGATGAAAGAGTATCTGAATGCGTGAGATGTGAGAAGGAAGCTGAAGAAAACGAAAAATAAGATGATAGAAAATAGTGGATTTAGTGAATGAAAAATAAATCAACGAAAAAGACAGTTCAAAATTATATATTAGTTTAATTTTGTATTACAGTAAAACCTCGTTTATCCGAGGTAATGTGGCGAGGAGGTAACTCGGATAACACGGAATTAATAAAAAAAAATTAGAAAATTTTAATCATTTTTTATGTATTTGAAATGGTAGAATGAAATTTAATCACAAAAGTATATAAAAGTGAAAATTTAACGAACTTAGATTAATCTTTGGGGTACAAAGCATTATTACTACATAACGTGTAACTTTTCACTAAGGCGGCTTAAGAAATTCCGTAATAGAGCACTGTTTCAACCTGCTCATTCGTTTATTAACTGCAATATCTCGCCATCGTTTCATCAATAAAAGGTCACTCGCATTACTTTCCGGCTGTTCCTCAATATATTTAAGAGCTATTTCACGAATAAGTCCGTTGTCTCGGATAACGCAAAGACCCGGTTAATTGAAGGCCGGATGAACGAGGTTTTACTGTATTTGTTATACAATATTACGCAGGCCAAACATACCAACAGAAACATGTCGATTTGTTTGAATTCTATAGTATAACCAATAGCTGGTGTGTTTGTACTGAATAAACTTGCTTATTTCGTACCATATAACTTATAAATATATTATACCAGTATCAGGATACCGCCTAACGATCAGTATCGATTTTTTCTTTAGATTGCTCTCTTGTGTATTTGACACAGCACGCGCTGAATAAATAGAATCAAATATAGAATTGTATAAAAAGTTATGATCTGCACAAAACATTTTGGGACACACGCGAATAGCATCAGCTCCTTTGATCTCCAGAAGATAAAGAAGCTCCTACGGTAAATGAATCGTCGTTGAGATTTGATGAATATCGACATTCAGAGTGGAAGAATGTGCCTTTAGCTTCCTCAAAGAAAGAGAGACAAGAAAGAAAAGAATAAATTGACCTCTTACACGATTTGACGAATAAATCACTTAAAGCCTGGGCGGCATAAATCACCCGGTATTAACACAGTTTAAATAATGACTCGGTTCAAATATAACGATCTCCAATGCGTTTTACAACGTGTCGCGAACTAGGCACTTATGTAGATAGTTTATCAGCTAATTTCGATTAATTATCTACGCTTGAATATCACATATAAGTATAGAAAAATGAATTACGATTCCGAGGAGGGATGAACACTTCACGAAGAGTAACACGCGTCCAAACTCAGAACGTGACTTTGCAGGCATAAGGAGGCGACACGATTTCCTGGGTTGAACTCTCCTAGTCATTTTGAGCCTTCAGGGCAAATGCTGCCTCTTCCATCGTAGGCTATCCTACAGAAATTAACTTAACCCTAAGGCTCTCACTATATTGCCAAAGTACGGTTGCCATGACCAAGTCACGTAGATATGCCATAAAAGTCCCTCGGTGGATGGGATTAGTGGGTCTCGTTAATTTTCCGAAAAGTCCTTTGGTCACTGGTGGGCTCGACATTTTATCTAGGCAACGACACTGCCAACAAGATTGCGTAAAAAACAATTTAGGATTGTAAGGATACTTCGACGTACGGGATATAGTATCCATGAAGACAGATATTTGAATAGGCCTAAGAGCAAAGTAAAATACTGGGACCCAACTCGTTACGGATTAACTCTACACAAGTTAACCGTGTAGAATTCTTTCACAAGAAGAACTGCCCTGTATAGAGTTAAGTCCCGCTCACAATCAGAGAAGAATAGCGCACTCTATTTCTTTAATTACAGTGTCGGTAATGTAGAACACGAATAGGCTTCTTGTTTATCGGTAATAACGAAATCTTTTTCCTCTCTAGTACATACGAACGCTGCGAGATCAAATTTTCGAGGCCAGAGACATGAGAGGTGTTCCATTACTCGTGGTTGGCAATAAACAGGACAAACTATCCTCGACCGCAGCCTCGGGTACTCGTTATGGGGATATTGTCAACCTGGTGCGCAAACACTGGAGATGCGGTTATGTAGAGTGCAGCGCAAGATTTAATTGCCGTGTGGTACAGGTATGTATAGAACTTTCCACCGGTGATTGTTCAATTAAAATTATGATAATAAAGATAATTATATCTTTTAAGGTATTCAGGGAACTGATGAAAAACATTCAGGCAGTGGAGGGACGACCACCATCGCCATCACCAACAACATCTCAACCTCTACGTTCACATTCCAACAATTCTAGCGAAAAGTGCATTCTGCTTTGACAGTAGGACAATGATAAGAGTAACCTGGCATAATTGTCATTGTCAAGGATCTTACTGTGGGCACGGTACCATCTCAGTATTAAAGTTATATAATAAAAACGAAGGACGAGTCTCATGATCATGATTGATATTGCTATCATCGATAACCAATCGTTTATCAAATATCAGGTCAATTCAATTTTCGTTATTTGATTCCACCCGATTTTCGTTCCCGCATCATCGTGTATATAAATTTATTATTACCATCATCATACAGGTTGTAACGTATTGCGAATACAGAAATGCATCTGTCGTGTGCATCTCATCTACATTGTATATACAATGCTATATGTACAATGTAAATTTAGTTTAGAAACTTAAGGAAATAATTGTATCGTTATAAGCGAGCGCAAGTGTTATTTCGTTAGCGAAAAAGTATCCTTAGCCTCGTCCCAGCTCAAGCAATAGTACCTACATCCTAGAAGTTTATAGGTTGTATTTTAATGTAACTGATAGGAATGCAGTTAGATAAGAGTAAGTAAGTAGAGGTTAGGATTGATAAACATAATGAAGCCCGCTGTGTTTTATCCAGTACAGTGAATGCTAGTAATACATAATGTAACTGAGTGTGTTATTGCCATTGTTATTGCCGCTGTTGTTGTTTCTACGAGGAACGGTGTAAATAAAGCACCGTACGTACAATTTGTATAAGTAGAAACAAATACGGCGTTCTAGAATATTTCATTAGAAACGACATGATAGGTGTCAGCATTGTTCATTTCATCAGTCAAATTTACAGGGAAAAAAAATTATATACTGATAATTTTAGTCTTTAAGGTGTTTTTCAAAAAAGAAAAAGAGTGTATGGCCAATGTTTTCCAAAATCTGTATGAGCATAAGGCCAATGCTCATTTGTTGACGTTTGAATAAAAAATCTTGCCTATCGAAGAGAAGATAGAAACATGAGAAGATAAAAGGCAGAGTGAATGTAAAAAAAAAACAAAGAAACACTTAAAATATCCACAGTGCGAGTGTCTCCTCTATATCCAAATTTTATAATGTCCTATACCTACCTTCCCAACGTCTTTAGAACGCATAAACGAAATTTTCAAGTACACGACGGTAATGTGGCCCAATTCTGAATCGTGCCCATCAACGGGAAGAAAATGCTTTCTTATATTTCCCGAGGGATCTACCCGACTCAAGCCACTTATCTTTTGGGATTCAAAAGTCAAAATTGTGCTTGCATGGTTAGGAAATCTCGATCATTCGAAATGTAATTATCCAATTCAAAAATCCATTTTCTATTTCATGGTATCTTAAGATAAGCACAAGGGGAAATTCAAGCACAAGTAACGATCTCAAGGAAGCTCTTTGCGAAAAAATACCAGTTCATTATGACCTGGTGAGAAAATTTCGACATCAGTATGGACCGGCAATAGTTGGTCAGGTGACTGTGGACGATTTATATCGTGGGTTGAGGGGTGTGAACACCATTGTCAGGGAAACTTCGGAATTGGACAAAAAATTTGGTGTAGGTTTTTTTCTTTTTTTGAAAAAATATACATGCACTGTCATTCATTCTTCTTTCCTCTCATAGATCAAATACAGAGGATTGACTATTCCACAAGTAATTTCTCTTTTACCAAAAAATCGAGGAACCAGTCCAAGTCCTGAAGCCGTTTTTTGGTTACTGTTGACTGGTGACGTGCCAACGCAGGAGCAGACGAAATCCTTGATAGCTGACTGGACGTCGCGACGTCAAAGACTGAAGGAATGGTGGTCAGACAATGAAGGTGGAACAATTGGAATGATAATAAGATCATTGCCGAAGAACGTTACGCCATTGGGGAAACTTTGTATAGCCCTGACAGCCTTGAATGCTGATAAATATGCCCAGGAAGCTACGAAAACTGGCGCTATGAGTCATACGCAGTGGGAAGTAAGTGTTAAAGCTTTTTTTACTTTTTTTTTATTTTAGTCAATAAATGTACTTTTACGTTTTTTAATTCTTTATAGTACATATTTGAAGACTGTATGGAACTATTGGCTACACTGCCTGCGATCATAGGACTGGTGAGCAGCGCGAAAAGTCCCAAAAGTGTTCCACAGGATGGAGACTGGGTAGACTTTCTTTTGGACTGTTTAGGAAACATTTCTCATGCAGAGGAAAGTAGGAAAAGTTCCTTAGCTGATTTTCTTAGGCTCTACATTGCCCTGAATGCGTGAGTCGAATCGAGATGTTAGTAATGGAAAACCAGCCGTCTGTGATTGTATTTTTCGTTTTACTCTTCCTTATCAGTGACGAAGATGGCGGATTGCCTGCAACGCACGTAACTCAAATATTAGCTGATTCCCAGGTAGACGTGAGCCAAGCTCTGGCAGGTGGATTTTTGGCTTACAAGAATGAGCCAAAAGCTGGATCATTGTTAAAGGTGAATGAACGTTAAATACAAGACTAATAAACTGCTAAATACAAGTTTTTGCCGTAATAGGATATGACATAACTCAAAAATTATTTCATGCACACAGTGCATGGACTTTCAATTAAGGCTACAAAACATCCTCGGTCAAGAACCAGCCAATGAAATCTTAAAGAATTTCTTAAGGTCTTTAGCCGAGAAGAGTACGAAAATACCAGGATACGGGGAATCAGAATTTTGCGACCCTCGATTCTTGGCACTAAGAGAATTCCTCAAGGAACATGTTTCCTATGATTCTGAGATCAAGGTACAGTGTTAGAACGTTTTCTGAAGGAAAAACGGGAAGATATATAATTTAACGCACGCATGCATTCCGCATTCGTATGTATGTACAACGTCGCCTGACTTAAGGGACTTTTCACTGATTCATAAATTTTTAAAGTACTTATCAAAGTCAAAGGATTCCCAGCATACAAAGAAAATATACTGAAGATAATTATTTAGCTGAAACTAATTGCACAGCTGTACCGTGCAAAAGCTTTTACGTGTTCTGCGTCACACAGTGGAGAACTTTTTAATCGTAACAGCTAATAAAGAGCAGCTATTCTGGAGTTTCGAATCCTTTCCAACCCGCCCCC